GGTGTGTATTACTTGGGACTTTTGCAAACTTGGGGGCATTTACCCATGGGCATTACGGGTCAATTGGGGGCAGCAACACCCCCCCCCCCCCCCCCCCCCCCCATCCCCCCAACCCCCCAAGGCCGTCCACCCTCCTAACTCAGGACATTTATTTATTGCAAAATTTCTTACGATTTCTAAGGTTGTTCATAGGTCAGTTTATTAGGGTAATGTGGTCAATAAATGGTAGATGATTTGATTTAAGGGTTCAAGACCGTGACGTAGCATAATATCGAACAGCAACAGAGCACTAGTGAGTAAACATTGTCCCGGTACTCCGTACTCCGCTAGGTTAGGCGTTGTGGCCTCTGGGATACCCGGCGGTGAAGCCCCCGGGCCTCGGAGAGACTGACTTCATCTCAAGCGCAAAGTCTCCCCCGCAACACTGCCTCACCAGATAGCTTCTAGTTATCATCTAATTAAACCAAACTAATCCGTTATGGCCGAACAACCGAGACTGTACAATATTTTCATTCCTGATGAGAATCTCCAAGACCTCCAGCAACGCCTATCACTTACCAAATTCGCAACTCAGCTGGAGTCCGCTGAACAAGATCCTTGGGATTTTGGAACTCCCGTGAAAGAAGTGCAGCGACTCATAGAGTATTGGAAGGATGGCTTTGACTGGCGGAAGGCAGAAGCCAAGTTGAATGAACTGCCCCAATATCGAACGTCGATCGAGGTAGATGGGTTTGGCAGTTTGGATATCCACTGTGAGTTTTACGCAATACGGATTCCTCAGTGTCCGAGATTCACGCGGTTCAACATGTAGATGTCCACCAGATCAACACCAAAAAGAACGCGATTCCACTGCTCTTTAGCCATGGATGTGAGTATCGGTATTCTCATTAATCGAATCCATAAATTTCCTATAGCGTGCGGTGTCTAATTTCTAAATAGGGCCGGGATCGTTCATTGAAGTCACGAAACTACTACCGATGCTGAAAGGCGACGACCACAGTCCTGCATTCCACGTTGTGGCTCCATCGCTGCCTAATTTCGGCTTCTCTTCAGGAGTGACTCAACGTGGCTTTGGCCTTGCACAATATGCCGAAGTCTTACACAAGCTCATGATCAAGCTGGGCTATGATCAGTATGGTATGGCTCGAAAAGAACTAAAATGTAGCCCTGAACTAACTCCACTATGCACAGTGACCCAGGGAGGAGATTGGGGATTCTGGATTACTAGAACCATCGGTCTACTATACCCCGAGCACTGCCGAGCCTCTCATATAAACATGGTGCTGGCTAAGCCCCCTAAATTCATCAATAACCCATGGACAGCCCTGCAACACGCATTGCTGCCGTACAATGGCCGAGAAAAGGCAGGTCGCGAAAGGACTGAGTGGTTTAATCGAGAAGGCTTCGGTTACAACCAACTCCAAAGCACCAAGCCACAGACCATTGGCACAGCACTAGCAGACAGCCCTGTTGCCTTGTTAGCCTGGATTTACGAGAAGCTGCACGACTGGACAGACTCATATGCCTGGACCGACGACGAGATTCTAACATGGATATCTATCTATTGGTTTTCTACGGCCGGACCCGCCGCTAGTGTCCGCATATACTATGAAGCTTTTCACGCCGAGGTGGTCAAGGGAACATCCTACAAGGACTTGATTGCATACGTCCCGCGAGTGAAGCTGGCAATTGCACATCTTCCTCGTGAAATTTCTGTCATCCCTTACTCTTGGGCCACTGGCCTAGGTCCGGTTGTTCAACAGAACGAGCATCCTCGTGGAGGTCACTTTGCTGCCTGGGAGGTTCCTGAATTTATTGTCCATGACTTGCGGGCCATGTTTAGCAAGAATGGTCCTTGCTATGGAATCGTCCCAGACAAAAATGGTTACTAAGTATGGAGTGACGAATTACTGCCATTTGCGACTTATTCGGTTTAATATTTAGGTATGTGTCCTAGTGATGCCGGGCTATTGAGATGCTAGCAAAGGTGGAGGATTACTTAAAAATGAATTTTCTTGTTATTGAGTTTCTTCATGACAACGAAAAGGAAGTAGAAGGGAAAATATCAATTGATATTGGCGATAACTTGATATATTTCCTCCCAGAGTTGTATGCTCACACAAATATCACCCCAACACTGACCAATAAAGACAGTAGTACGGAGTACAATGAGAGACTTGTGGCAGTGGCACTACCAGTCGCCCTCTCAAAGGTGATTAGTGACGCATTGTGGCTCGACGCCCCGGGGAGAACCACCTGAGATGAATTCGCAGCATCATAACTACCCGCAAATGTAAATTCGAAAGTCACATTTACTTTCGTGTCGGTGTCCGGCCATGGATACCGATGTGAAAACCCAGCAATTGTCGAGCCAGAAAAACCCAACTCAAGAGTTTCATTGGTCATAGACCCATTGATGTGTGTCCCAGTGGGCCATCCAATGAGGATTTTACCCAAATTGCTGTACTCGGAGCATAGACTATCCGGAAGGGAAATCATCTGATCCGAAAGACCGGCGTTGTCATAGCGTGCTGGTTCCATGGAGCTCCTTTCACTATCTGCCCAGTCCTTAAGATCATAGACCCCGTCGAACAGGATCTTGTTTTTGTTATCAGCCGCCTGTGTTACGTTTAACGCAACTGCATCCATGGCCTTCTCGACTGAAGTTTCATTGTACCAGTCCACCGTCGTAGTGAGGCGCATGAGATCCAAGTCTTCGCAGACACTGTATGAATAATCGATATCTGAGACGCGCACGTTGCTCTTCCAGGCCTTGAACCCCAACGTGATGGGATTGAGAGGTCCAGCGGGAGTGGGAGCTTTGGCAGCGACCCATGCAGCGCCTAGCATGCGCATGGATTGTGTGCCAATGGGGCATGTGATGAAAGATGAACTAACGATGTCGCCTTCTGTCAAATTGTTAGGTGGTGTTTGGATTGTGTATTTGAAACTGGCTGAGCCTTTGAAGAACACGCCATCCCAATCGCTGTAAGCGCTAGCATGACCACGGCGTGGTTCCCGATTGTATCGGTCGTAGTGCGAAGGTTGAAGATCGTCAAAGTCAAGGCGGTGGGTATCAAAGCAGTTGAGTCCGCCTGAGGATGGTGTTGACGAAGAGGTGTCATCGCTATCACTGGAGCCGCTGGAGCCGCTGGAGCTACCACTATCGCCATCGCTGCTAGAGCCATCACCGCCCTTTCGTGATAATACCCGCGTTGGGACGGCTAGTAAGGCCAGGATTGTGAGAAAATGGCGACGAAGTAACATTGCTCTCGAACTCGTGAATCAGCTTATAGAATATTGAGATAGAATCGTCTGTCAGCTCATCATTCTAGATTTTCATCAAAAAGAAGAAAACAGAGAACTAGAAAATGCCCCGGTCGAGCATGAGCTTATAAGCACGGGCTTTGACCGTGAAAATGATTCGTTTTGTGCCTAGTGAAGTGATAACCCGGGAGTTATACCTGGCTGACCCTGAATGCCAAGGTGCCAAGGGGTTGGAGCGGGATGGAGCTCGTGTTCACCGAATAACTATTGGATAGGAAGTCATTGAGGGACCATTTTTGAGCAGAATTGTCGTATTGAGCAGGTGCCGTATTGAGGGCTTGGGGGCTGTGGTCCGTGGATTACTCGTCCAGTTTCGCTCGATGGATCCACAAATCTCAGCGAGAGACGGTTGCTTCTGGTTTCCGAATTTTTGGTAGACTGGAGCCAATCGATGGGCAGGAACCACTCAGCTCTGGATCATTGCACAGATATATCTCGGTGTGTGGCATTGCCAAGGGTGGTCAAGGGCGCCGTACGAGATGCCACTATAGAATGCTGTATCAGGCTGTGCATATTCTTGCTGGTTCAATTTCCCGAAATATTTAAACACCGAGAGGTTGCTTGTCGGTGGTTCGCATGTAGTTAAAGTCACTCAGAGTTAGTGTAGTCATGGGACCCTTATTTTCTCGTCGACTGACTCATTTCTGAAGTCGGATTTGCCAGGCTATCGAAAGTTCCAATAATCTACAAAACGAAGGTTAAGCCTTGTATGGCTTTCTGTCCTCTCTGTTTCATCAGCATAAAATGCGTTTAATGCGGTTACTTTGCGGCTCGGAAGAACATACTATGGTGCCTGCGGAGATATCACAAGGAAGGCAAAGTTTCCATACCGTGGACTTAACTGAGAGCAACGTAATAAATACTAGTCATCGAACGTTTATTGAGACACGGATATATCATGGTCATATATATTTACAATGTTTAGCTGTCCAGCAGCACCGGCACCTTCTCAAGCAGATATTCAACAATGGCATCAGGGCCACGCTCGACCTGCAAGCCCTCGGGAATGGCATGCAGCTTGATATCGGGTCGAACAGACCGAGCAATTTGGTGGATCTGCGCAGCCTCCTCAGCGGTCCACATAGAGGCGCTGAACTGTTCAGGGCGTTAATTTGAAATTCTAGCTTGGGAATGTTCGGAAATCCCGAAGTTCGGACTTACCAGAACCTCCGGGTTGTGCTGCTTGACCTTGGCCTCGACCTCGTCGATTCCTGCGCGAGACTCTGTCAACCGAGATTCACACTCAATAATGACGCTCAATATGCTTACTCTCGCAGTTGTCGACGTGGATGATAGTGTACCGATCGCTCAGAGCCTCGGCGACGCGGCCGATGAGGCGTCTGGCGCGCTCCGGAGCGGTGTTGACACTAACCAGGTGGAAGGGACCTTTAGGAGCAGACATGACGGTGGGATACGGATAGGAATAATGACTACACAACCATGACCATCGCGGGGATTTTGTTCTTTTTATTCTCCAAGCTGAAATCGGCCGCGCTCGCCACTTCCCCACATTGTGGGAAGCTGCCCCTCCGGCTTATACAGTGCCGGGGTAGACATACTCCGCTATCGGTCGCGACAGCTCTTATTATATATGGGGTTTCTGCTTCAATTCACTTGTATCCTCTTTTGATTCTCCAAATAATACAATCATGTCCAAAATCGCATCTACGTTTTCGCGTAAGAAATCTCTCAAATTGACCCGGATATCCAGACTGACGGCAAATAGGCTTGGTGCGCTTTGTCCCTAAGTCAAACCCCACCAAGGTTCTAATCGGAGAGCCCGTCGATCCTAAGTTGGATGTTGGATTGGCTCTCTACCAGGGAAAGGAGGTTTCGGTGCGCCCGTTCTCCGGTACTTCAGTCCTGAGCCCTGGCCAGGTGACTGATGCGACGGAGACCATCGCGCGGATTCTGTCCCCCTTGGCGCAAAGCGAGGTTGGAACTATTCGCTGTATCGGCTTGAACGTGGGTTTTAATCATGAAAGGAACATTCAAGAGAAATGAAGTTACTAATGCGCACTATAGTATGCTTCCCACGCCAGGGAGATGGGTCTCCCAATCCCCGAAGTCCCGACATTGTTCATGAAGCCGGCCAGCTCTCTGGCTGACCCTTGGCCTGCACCAACAGTTCTGCCCAAGATTACACAGCAAGATAACACAGGCGACTACGAGTCTGAGATGGTTATTGTCATTGGCCGTGACGCTAAGGATGTGCCCGAGTCTGAGGCCCTCGACTACGTTCTTGGCTACACAGCTGCGAACGATGTTTCTAGTCGCACCTCTCAGATGAGTCAGAGCCAGTGGTCTTTTTCAAAGGGCTTTGATGGCGCATGCCCGATTGGTTTGTTCATGGACTGTATAATATCCAGGAGAATTTTACACTGACTTGGTATATATAGGCCCCGTCCTCGTTTCCGCTGCTCTCGTCCCTGATGCCAGCAAGCTTCAGATTCGCGGTCTCAAGAACGGCAACATAATGCAGAACTGCCCCTTGACGTACGTTATATTTGCTTCCCATTGCTTCTAGTATACAAAGTAACATCAACTAACATTGAATTTCATCGCAGTGACCTCATCTTCAGCGTCCCTCAACTAATCAGCTTCCTCTCCCAAGGCACCACCCTGCCTGCCGGCACAATCATATTGACCGGCACTCCGCCCGGTGTCGGAGCAGCTAGGAATCCGAAGGAATTTTTCAAGGCTGGCGACGAGTTTGCCGTTGAGTTGCTGCCTCACATTGGGACACTTATCAATAAGATTGAGCATCAATGATGATTCCAGAATATAAAACGATAGATTTGACTTCTTGAAACAATACTTTCCAATTGTATATAGTCAATGACTTTGAGCAGCTCTGGCAACTGTGAAATCATATACATGCTGTAGTCACGTAAACTCTATGCGGGATGATTGCCTGCACAACCATCCAAAGTTCCCTATATACGGCGCAATAAAGGCGGCCACTAATAATGACCATCCAATCCAACGAACTACAACATAGATATATTCAAATCCTGGCTCCAAACCACAAGGTAAGGGATTCTGCAAAAACGCGAGTCAACAGCTATATCGCGAAGCTTTGACCAATCACAGAACCCAACCGGAAATGAATTTTTCCTTACCCGGAGTAAGTCTCTCCCACACATCGCCCTGTATAACTTCGGACAACTGTGTTGTAGACAAAAGCTCGCTAAAGTGTCTAGAAAAAGGCAAAACCTTGGATTTGATGCTTGGCCTTTTACTGATCAAATGTAACTATCATACTAGTATGTTTGATTGTATAGCATAAACCCCATAGTAGAACTGTATAGGAATAACATCTCACTCCTTCATTTATGGTGCATGCTGGTAACATTTAAGCAGGGCTGCAAGAAACTCTTCACCCGGCAGTTGTCAATTGTCTGCCAGGGCCGCCCGTGGGCCTCGTTGACCCGCGCTACGGAATTATATCGGGTCGGTGTCCCGAGCTGTTCCCGCCCGGAGTGGTCCTTAAGAGATAGTCTCCGGCTCATTTTTCTCAAAGGAGTTTTTGCTAGATCTCTATTGTTGACTTAAAATCCTTCTCTTTAATTTTTACTCCTTTCTTTATAGGAGTGTTGCTGTTCCAGGTGATATCGAATTTTTATGCCTCTATACACATCCCTACAGATCCCTACAGATGGCGATGTGATTTCTTGAGCAGAACTCAACTTGTCTTTTTGATGCTGCTGTTATGTACTAACCAAGTGTATTTTCTCTCGCCCATTGCCAAAGCTCTTTGAAGAATCATACAATCATTCATTGGCCTAGCTACCTATATGCAATCTAGAACCACGTTGCCGTGTTCGATGCCGACTCATCTAACCCGAACCCGAACCCGATCACTCTATCACTCTATATCATACCCACTGATACACTCTACAAAACCCAACCCGAGACAATAATATCGAAAATTGTGAACGTCAAATACCGAAACCGAAGTCAATTTCCATCCCAGTGCCTTTACTCCTCGCTACGCCAACCCTTACCCCGCCATTGCAAGAAGATGGTGGGAATGACACTGACACAGACAACCAGCGCAGATCCAATTCCCGCGCTGGGAGCGATACCGACAGTCTCGAACATGGGAGCAAACCTGAGCTGAGGTTAGCGACGAACTTGCAAAATAAACGCAGAGAGAAAGAAAACATACCAGAAAGGACCAAGGAAGCCCCAAATCTGCCGGACAAACGTGATGAACACACCAATGTTACCAGCTTCCTGTGGGAAGCAATCGATAGCATAGGTGATCATTACCGTGGTGACCAGCTGGTTCCCGACAGCACCAATAGCGGTGCCAATAATGGGCGTTACGTTCCAGTGTCCGCTGGGTGACTCCTGCGTGCAGACCAGGAAGACGATGATGCCGATTATGGTGAGCGCGAAACCGAAGTAGCTGAGCCACAGACGGAATTCCGGCTCGGCCTTGCGGTTGATGCGTCGGCTGCGCCGGCTCATCCAGAAGTCTGACAGCACGCCGCCCATTTGCTCGCCGATTACGGATCCTATAATTGCGCCTAGGAACTGCATGCCAAGCTGTTCGGCGTTGAGTTCGAACTTCTCTTGCAGGAGTTGGGGAATCTCGACGGTTGCAAGAATGTTGCCGAAGAGGAAAACCATTGCGTATGCGCACGCTGGGATAAGGATTGATGGGTGTCGGGCCATGGTCAGTGGACGGATGAACTCGAACCATGAGAATGGTGTGGGGTCGATCCGTCGCAGTGACATGTACTCGATCTTCATCGTTGACTCCTTGCTGTCGATGCCGCCGCCCAGATAACGAGTTTCAGGGCCAAGGAACAGATACAAGATGAACTGGCAGCCGTTGATCTTTAGATGTATCAGCCCATGAATAGAGTATTGACTACCGTGGGAATGTGAACTTACAATTGCGAGGATCCAGAAGATCCAGTGATAACCAACGCGATAGGTGACGAAGCCGAAAATGAAAGGCCCAACGGGGACACCCAGGGTGACCAGCAGTGTCCAAACACCCATGTAACGGCCACGGTCTTTCTTGAATGTTGTCTCCATCACGACCGCACTGCCAATGGCGGAGGCAGGCGAGATGAAAAATGCCACGAGGGCCCGGCAAGCAGCCAGAGAGGCATATGTGGTGCTCTTGGCACAGCCGATATTACACACAAGACTGCAGATGAGAGAGAGGAGGAAGATTGGCCGGCGCCCATACCTGTTGGACAGCGGCTTCCAGAATAGAGGCGCACCTCCAAGGATGGCAATTTGCAAAGAGGTCAAGTAACTAGCATCTTGCATTCCGACGCCGAGTTCTGTGGAGATATCTAAAAAGGCAGGGATAATGCCGGCGGCGGTAAATGTGCCCATGCAGGCGTGGAACGCCACGAGGACAAGGTTGGTCATTTTCTGCGCGTTGACATATCAGTATTCTGTCCGACGGGATCATTTGCTTTTGTCCCGTTTCAAGATTTTGTAACAGGGAGAATATTGACTTACCTTCCACTCAGGCCAGTTGTAAGGGTCAGCTGGACTCATTCCGGGAATAGGATCGAGTTCCAAAGTCCCGTGTCGCTCCATCAGATAGTCGCGGTGTGCTTTTGGCAGACGAGCAACCATTGACTCGACGGAAGTGACTGCGTGTCCATTTCCTGCGCTCTCGATGAGATCGATGTCCGCTTTCGTGCCTGGCACCTCCTCGAGCTCGTCTCGTCGAGACGAGCTCGGTTGCAACTCAAAGGACGGCATTCTGCTCGCGTTCCCCCGATTAAAAAGGTGGTCTCAGTACCAGGCGATGTGTCGATTGTCGTGAGAATAGTCAAAGGGAGTGGGGGTATTAAATAAGAGGATTACAGGAAAAACTATGGCTCAGGGTGAGCCACTTGAGGGCACCGGGGCAAACACTAATAACCACAGATCTGAAGGCTTCTGAGAAATGTCAGAGTGAGTGTGCATAGCCAAGACACTAATCCCACCGCGTTTGCCCAGTCGGAGCTCTCCTGCGCCTGGGGTAGTTATTCTCCGGGGTTTTCGGCTCCATTGCGGGTCCTCGGGGGAGAAAATGGGGAGAAAATGGCGAGAAATGCGGAGGCACTCCACGGTTCCTGATTGGAAAGCCTCGGTACCGGCGAGTTAGAAGGCCGCTAAAGAAATTGCTGTCATGGGGTCTTCTATATAGCATCGCCATGGCACTTGAACACGGCTAGCCGATGAAGCTTTTTACTATGCAGTTCGACTTTTTCATCCCGAGCCAAGTACCGAAGCTCTAGATTTCGACGCCTTGGCGCAATTTTCCTAGGGTTTAGCAATTTATTTCGCTAGATTCACCGTTCAGCTGGGGAAACCCCAATCGCGACGGCATTTTCAATGCTGCTTGCCAGCCGCGGGACGCGAGACACATATGCAACTTGGTCTGAGCATTATTGCCGATCTGATGCAGTCTAGAGAAATAGGGGGAGAAGGAACATAGTAGCCACGCTTCCTTGGTCGTATTGCCACGACCGATGTTTCCGCTTGAACGCTTGAACGCTTACAAGGGACAGCCCTGCCAAGCAACACCATAAACATAGACCCAAGATCTAGAAGCTAGGTATCTTTTGTATGACTTAACCATACAAAGGATACTTAGGTATGATATTTTCTCACCGAACTAGCTGAAGCAAGAGAAAGAATAGTTAGTACAACTGCGGAGCGAAGCGTAGCAATAAGTCTATTGGCGTAATAAAAGTTTGAAGGCTTGGACGCTCAACTATGGCATTATTTTACAACATAAGAACTCAGTCTGGGAGCACAGGTTCTTCTAAATCACGAAGGTTTGCAAAATGAGGTAGTTGACTTTCTTCATTTGCTTGATTTTAGATCAACATTCATGTAACTAGAGTATCTATATATTTCAACTTGACTATCTATTTGGGGTTGCAGGCAAAATGAAATTCCGTGATCGCATAAGCAGTGCCACACCCCACAATCACCTCTCCACAATTTACTCTCCTACTGCCCCTTCTCTTTATCGAACAAAAATGGCGTCAATAGGGATAATGACGGCGCCGCCTGCACTGCCAGGAGGCAAGAAACTAGTTTGTCGAGTATGTCAAAAAGCATTCTCCAAGGCCGAACACTTGAGGGTGAGTAGACTTCCAACGTTGGCTCCAACTCAAACTTCCCCACGAAGGAGGGACCGCCAAGTGATACGAGCTAACTAATGGGTCTTTATAGAGACATGAGCGCTGCCGTATGTTCCAATTTCATCAGGGCTCCCAATAATTTATGATCCCCACAGAAAGCTCAAAAAGCAATGCCCAGCTAACCGGAAAACTTAGACACGGGATCTAAACCATACATCTGTAAAGAGTGCCGAAGGCCCTTTGCCCGACAAGATGCTCTTACTCGGCATGAGAAGCTGCACGTTCGTGCTATAAATGCAAAGAATGACTATTCGGAGGCCCACTTACCGCCGCAGCCTACCTCTTTCAATTCTCTCCCTTCTTGGGACACGAGGAGTGCTTCCACTGTTGATCCGGTGTCAACTTCAGCAACAAGTCATTCCTTGGAGGAGTCCCACTCCGGCGATCATGCGAGTATGCATAATGTCGACTCGGAGTTGGACTTTGCGTTGGTTTGGCCTGATTCGGAAAACTTGTTTCAGAGCTTAATGTCCTCGGATACGACAGATTGGCAGATTCCGCTTGGTACCTTGCCTTTTCCACCTGTCGTGCAGGATATGAATGGCATGGATTTTGGGTCCCCGAATTCATTCGATGACCGTAGGTCTTCTGTTGGGGCGATACTGTCCGGTGGAGGGCATCAAGCAGTGCGAGATGTCACAGAGATGGTCACGAGCTCGGTGAGTTGAGCGTTGTATTTTGCTGGATGAGCAAACTAGGGCTGTTGAAAACTTTGATCATAAGACATATTGCACCGAGATTTGATCGAAACTGACACTTTATTTCCCTAGTCATCGAGTGTTACGGCCGCCGTCAAATCCATGTCCATCACCTCGGTCTTCCTCGACGAGTGTCTCCACATGTTCTTCGCCCGCTTCATTCCCACATTCCCAATATTGCATCGTGCAACTTTTGTTTTCCGAGAATGCACGCATGCTCTCCTCCTTAATGCCATCGCCATTGGCTCTTTGTACCTAGGCCCCAAGGACTCGGTTTTAAAAGGCGAAGCCCTATGGCACCTAGCACATACCGCAATTTCAACTTCATGGCAGTCTCTGATCACACACAATGGACCCTATGATGCCTGCAAGGGAGTTCAGTTGATGATCACAGCACTACTGGGTCAGATCTATGGGGCGCTATCCAAGAACCGGGCAATTAGAACCACCAGCCAAGTATTCCATCCACTGGGCTTCTTATGGGCAAGACACTGCGGGATGTACGACAGCGAGCCATACTCAATGGACAACTTGCCCTCGATGGATGCTCCCGCTGCAGAAAAAGAACACCAGTGGCGAATCTGGGCTGCGCGGGAGATCCAGCAACGCACCCTGTTAGCCTACTACGTCTTGGACGGGCTCGTGGATCAAACTTCCAGCGATGGTGCCTCCTCTCGTCATGTGGGAAACCCCCTCACCCTCCCAAGTAGCGAGGAAGCCTTTGATGCCGGCACTGCCGATGAATGGTTGGCCCACATGCACCCCCAAGAACCAGATCAGTCCTCATTTAGGACAATTTTCCGCTCCCTTTTCCCACCGGTGGGGAGCTTCCGGACTCTAGAGTACCATTTCTCTGCCTTCGCACTGCGTGTGGTGCTAGAAGGGCTCCAGTCCTTGATCTCCGATTTTGATGACAATGAACTAGCCGTAGGAGTTCCTAGCCAATCTGACGTCCGCCGAGCTTTAGCTCAAGTCCACGAGACAATATCCATGAGCATTCACTTCACCGCAGCAGAGAGACTCGAAATTCTCCTGCGTTGGCACACAGTCTGCCTAGATACAATGATCAACTCGACCGTCCTCTCCCGCCACGTCTGCTCGCGCTACAACATCATCCAACACATCTCCGGTGGATGTGGAACCGTCCGCCCGGGCTTTGATCTAATCAAATGGGCTAATTCAGAAGACGCGCGGCGGGCCGTCCTCCATGCGGTCGCCATTCAAGATATCGTGGAGCAATTACCACGTGGCCGCGCGCATGTCGTGCATATGCCTAGCTCCCTGTTTGCAGCAGCGACAATATACGTTGTCCTTTCACTCGCAGGAGTCGCCACTGTGAATTTACCTCGCAACATCGTTTGGCAAGATGCATTGCTATCGCATTCGGATCTCAACCTGGGTGACGAGGATATCCGACCTCGATCTGGCTCGGAGACAAAGCGCTTTGTCGAGAATGTAAATAGCTCTTCCTCTCTTCCACTTCCTATTGGTGGCGTTGTCAGGAATCTGCTTTACGAGCTCAACTCTATGCAAAAGCTTTTCCGGTGCTTGTCTTCACAGTGGGGTATTGCGCATGACATGGAGGATATTATTGCACAATGGATTCAGCTTTGCCATTAGGTGGTCCGACAGATTTGATCTCTTGAGTTGATGAATGCTGATTACGTGGAATTTTACTTGTCTATTGGCGTTGGGAGGTATTCTTGAGAGTGCTTATTGAGTGACACATGTTCAAATCGTTGGCATATACGTATATACCCCTCACATTGAATCTGAATGTCCATGTTGAAGAAGACCCTACAGATGCTAAGCTTGTTCACATGGTCTGAAGCTGATCAAGGACGCTGCTGATATTCTGTACACAAGCGCTCGAACTGCTATATTGTGTGTTGAGTTATCATCATCTCCAGGTCCAAAGCCAATTGTATCGCCAGTCGGAGTCCCCCGCAACACTCTTTATGAGTGGAAACGTGCTCGAGATTGTGCTAGATAGAATTGAAACCTATGCGGAGTAATCAATTTGGGATAATCACGTGACCGTATTGAAAACGCGGGGTAAACGCGACGCGACACGCGTCGCGCCTCCGATCTTTCCGACCCACTTCCAGTGTCATCCACGCTTCCTTCGGCTCGAATCTAGCCACTGACATTCTTAATCTCCTTGATCTGTGGGTCCAGTGGGCTATCCATTTGAATTCAAGTCAATCGATCCGACCGGGTGGCAGCGTGACGTCCCCATGAACAAGACCAGATGATCGTCAATTAAACCAAGGACCCCACAACTCGGCACCGGCTCCAGCGATGGCCTCAATAGATTTTGCGTCAGCCCGTGGGACCAAACTCAACGATATAGTAGTCGATCACCGCCCCAGCACCGGCCGTGGCAAGAAACTTACCCTTGCGCAAGAGGGCGTTCTGAAAAGACTCTATGAACAAAAATTGCCCGCGGTGTCCAATGGCGAGTTGCCAGCAAAAAAGTTCTGGTTGGATGTCGCGTCACGGTTTCACGAGGAGACCGGTCGCGAGTATTCATGGTTGTCTGTGAAGCGGCGGGCTGCAGGTTGGCGGCAGAAGTCTCCAGAAGTTGACCAGCGACTGGATGCTTCTCATGCTAGCAAGCTCGGGATTGAGGACTTGGTGATTGAACCTAATCATCAAGATATTTCTCATCAATCCCTATCGGAACAAAATTCATACGTCAGGAAACAACTCACGCTGTCACAAAAGCCTTCCTTGCACCCGCGGGGTTCGAATACCCTGGGGTTGTCTCAAATCGAAAGAAGCCCGGGTGTTACAGAGCCAACCCAAGACACCAGTCGGAACCTTGAATCCCTTCTCATATCTCAGCCTCGCACTCGATCAACATCGCCCCAACGTGTATCGCAGCCTAAATACCGTCACCGATCTCCTTCGACAATGAGACGTACCAAACTTGTCTCCAAACGATTGCATCACCAGCTAGCCTCTCCCGCTGATGGAATAGTCGACTCTGGCCCCGACCCTTTGTCCGACTCCTCTGGAGCTTATGAAAATGTGCAGCCCATTTATCCGGGTAAACGAAACCCTGCTGGATTCAACCGCATCCGTGAGTCAGTTGAGCAAAATGAGCCTGAGAAGAACGCCCGTAATTCAGCAATATCTAAGCATGGAGTGAATAAAGTCAGCAACCGTCTTCTTGCGTCGCCAGGCTTATCTGGGCAAGATGACTTACCACTGGCCCCAACTCGGATTATGAGAAGACGTGTCGCAAAATGAACAGGCCTAAAGATGCCCAGAGGAATGACTGGAATATATAATGTCGTATATGAATATTGTTTAGAGATCAGAGCGATGTGGGACGGACCAAACGAGGAACTGAGGACAAACCATTCCCTCCCGCCATAATAGCCACCTACATAGTTATTTCCCTCCAAATCAGACAGATCACTTGTTAGTCTATTTTAATGAAGGTAGTCTCCGATTTCCTACAGGGCCGTTAGAATTGCAGAGAGGTTGATCTACGCCGTTGGTGGATCCTCTAGCGTTGTATGTAAATTTGATGTATGTATTGCCTAATCGAGTCTAGCGTTAGGGCTCCTGCTTAGACACCTATTGAAGAGGGGACAAGCAGGGGCACCGACAGCTCTGCCTATGAAACAAATATGAGAGCATAGTCGTCACTGGGATCAGTAGGGTACTAGAGAGGAGAACACAATGGGGTGACTACCAAGAAGAGAAGTGGAAGGTGTCTGCGTTAGCCTCAGTGGTGCCGCTTAGTCATCATGTACTAGAATCCACCACTGCACTGTATAGTTATCCCAAGTTCAGATCCTAGGTTGTGTAAACATAATTGTAAATACTGACAAACGAAGAACTGTAGAAGCTACATACTGTATTCATGTATATCTGGATTTTAATGCCTGGGCCATCATGGGCAACCAACGTTGGATAACCACTACGCAGTGTATCTACACAACTAAGATGGATTTCCACCTGAAATCATACCTGTGAAGTCACATTGTCTGCGTAGGTTCGTTTGTATCGTTTGCCTCGACGACTAAGCGCCGAGAATCTACGACCAGTCGCGTTAATCTGATCCCTTTAAATTGTTTGCTCGGATCTTCCTCCTCCTCCTCCTCCTCCTCCTCTCTTCTACCCAACGCAACTCGGAACCATTCTTATTCATTCACGAGAACATAACCGACTTGCATTTGAAACATATCAAGCTTACATTTATCCTGCCATACTATCTACCGCAAACTGTTCACACCGCCAAGATGGGTAAAGTGAAATGGGATTCGATCGCTGACCAAACTGTGAGTTTCTTTTTCACTTCGCTATGACTTTTGAATTGTCCTGGGCTTTTGTCTAAGGAGGGGTGTGGATATTCATACTTTCCTGCATGACCATATCAAATGCCTTTCAGATTGACTTTTGCTTTGATCATCCTCAGCTGCTTGGACAAATTTGTTTGCGAAAGTCTTTCCTTGTCTTTTTCAAGATTCTTTCCCCATTCCAAGTCTGCTGGGACTTTCTATGTTCATGGGCTGCATGCATATCTGGCAATGACAATTGTGACTGACAAATAAAGCTCCTTGCCAAAATCCTCGAGACCCATGACTTGAGTGTCGATGTGGCCAAGGTTGCCGAGGCCTGGCGTAAGTCTTTCGTTCTGCAGCCACAACTAATCTCTATATCACTGGAAATGTTCAATCTAACATTTGATCAGCCGTCGAGGACGAGGATCACAGGCCAACACCTCGTGCTCTCAAGGAACGTCTCAACAAAATCAGGGAGAACGTTCGTAATGGCAATGTCGCGGCGGTGTCTGGACCCTCTAGCCCGGTTACTCCAAAGAAGCGTGCCCCTCGCAAAAAGGCCAATGAGACACCTACTCCTGCTGGCTCTTCCCGCAAGCGCAAGCGCGTCACAAAGAACGCCATCGCCGATGAAGACCAAGTCAATGTCAGGGAAGAGGAAGAATTGCCTGCGAAGCACGAGCATTCTCTCGATGAGTCCGCTATCAAGCAGGAAGCCGGCCTGGAGGGTCTCGCCCCCCTTCTTCAGTGGAACCTCAAGGAGGGATCCCCCGATGTCGACAACAAAAAGGTCGATCCTGAATGGACCGAGTACAACGAGGAGGACGCCTACTCCGATGACCAGCTCAATTAGCTCAATGGTCATTCTCAAGGCGGATTCATGTCAGTCGCTTGAGATTTCGGTGACTTGAGCCCCCGTGGTCAATATTCGAATTTGCGTTTTACTTGACGTTGGGTCTCCTTGTTTCTTTTGGGGTGCTTTATTATTCCCCAACAATGCGTGTGACCCGGTCGTCAGAAAAGAAGGAAAAATCGAAAAAAAAAAGGTTGATGAACAACTCGGTTTGTTTCCACCGTGAGGTGATGGGGGGAAAAAGAAAAAAATACAAAAAAAAGCCCGGTGCCCATTTATTTGGATTGCGCCGAAGGACATAGCTGAATTGACAGCCGACTTTTTTTGTCGTCTACTTTTATCCTGTTCTTGTCGTATGAAGTTAAAAGGATAATGGCTGGGATCAGTAAAAGTATTTTATTACGAGCAAGGAGACACGTATAGTCGAGCTCATTGTTCGCTGTAAATTCATCTGCTCATAACCCTTTTGCATATGCTAGTATTCCTGCCGGTTGTGAGATTCTGAAAAACTTCCCCAGCTAAAATTCAGATACTATCTCCATGCTGACACCTTCACCACATCGACGCGTTAGGGCTTCGCTGTGAAGAGTCGCGGTGGTGGCGTTTAGAGATCCGAGGAATCTTCATCCTCTTTGACGATACCGTCAAGGAAGAAGGTCCTTGATCAAACAAAATTAGTACTCAGAGTTTCCATCTGTATCCTCACAAATTAAAGAAACCTACTCTTCAGTCTCCTCGTGCTTTATTTTGCACTTCTTGTCATTGGTATCTTCACCGTCGATTTCTTCATCCTCGGGAACTGGGCCTTCTCCACCAGATTCGGGATCAGCATCCTTGTGCTTTGCCGGTGCAACCTTTGCAGACTTCTTTGGAGTCCTGCGCTGGCGCTTCCTTGTCACGGGCGAAGCAGGGGAAGAGGTGCTACTGCCATCATTCATCTCTGCAGCCTTAGCCCGAAGGCGAGTTACCCGGTGCCGGATGGCGCAGGCTGTGACTCCTATAAGTCTAGCTTAGCATAGTTCCTTTATTAGCCCGAAAAATGTTGGGTAGAGGGTATAGGCGATTGAAACATATTTCCAAGTTGAATTGTGTATGGCAAAGATCAAACGGGAGAGGACCAGTGGGAATGTAGTTGGTTGGGTGACGGCCATGAATAAAGTGCATAACATAAACAATATGCGCTATAGTCCGAGTAAAGACTGCAGTATGGGAGTTGGGGGTTCTCAGGGTAGCACTAACCATCACCCATATACTCAGCAAGAGCATTGAAATCAATCGGGGTAGGATTATTGGCGAGTATGCCGGCCAGTAACTGGAGTTATGATGGTTAATTATTGAAATACAACGATGATGTTGAGACAGCTAGACCAATATTAAAGCATTGGAGTTAAACCATCGCCGTCACGGGTCACACCAACGTCAAAGTGAAGGCCGCAAGGTGACCGCTTGAACCGCAGTCACCAAGACTATCAAGGATATGGAACAAACCAATGGTAAATCGATAACGAAGGTAAATATGAACTTACCTTGGCATCGGCCTTTTCATTCCACGTGACCTTCATTGTTGCTTCGGTCGTTAACGAGCTAGGCAAAGGATATCAGTATCTTTATGAACAAAAGTGACGAGTAAATCAAGAGCATAAATTGAATCTCAAGATGCTTAGAAGTATATCCTGCTCATAGATTAAATTGAAAATGAACGTACCGGCTAGTAAAATAGTGGTGATATGAAATGAGGAGACTGTTTCTAAGAGAGAGGAAGAATTTATGGAGAGTGAAAGGGGGAATGTTCGACTGAAACTGAACGGGGCACAAACAAGTGGCTCTATCCTCTTTTACTTTCCATCGCCATCTCTAAAATTACTAAGAGTGGGATGTTAATTGACTTTATGAAGTGGAACTATATATATGAGTAGGAGGATATGAAGAAACGGGAAAATCTTAAGATGATAACCAAAGATTAAAAAACATACCATTACTTGGATCAGTTCCTTGGGTTGTCAGAAGTAGCATAAAACAACGGTGAGGTTATATTTCCTGGTTCTACGTAGATACTTAGTACCTTTCATACTGAAAAGGCATCGGGGGGCTACTGCGACGAAGGAAATCTACGTCTTTCTTGGGAAATGGATATTAACGAAAAAGGTGCTGTGTTTCAAGACATCACGCAGATAACAAAGTACCTAAGAGCCCTAGACCAAAGGCCGAAAAACATCTTTCCTCGCTATGCGGCAGAAAACGCTGCATAAAAATCAGAATGTAAGTCATTACCTCCCAATGAATGCCAGGCCCAAGAAGCGGAAGATCTTAGAGCTTGCGCTGCTTATTGGGGCTGGCGCTGGGTTCAAACCCATCCTCGTCCTGATTCTCGACAATGGCGTTAACTTCAGACTTTGTGGGCGAGTCAATCTTGCGCTTGGTGGTGGTTTTGGTACCCTTGTCGCCACAGTCAGTGGGTTTGTCGGTCTTGGCCTTGGCAAGAGATTGTGCGGAGATTGCTCGCTGGCGGGCTTTTAGAGTGTAGACGTGCTTCTTCACAGCGGCAGTGCTGTCGCCTGTACTTCGTCAGATGAGTTCGTATAATGGTCATGTAGGATAAAGGGTAGGGTGGGAATTGTGGCTTCAGTGTATAGTCCTCAGGTATATACTTACCCTGTCCCATCGCCTTGGCAATTGCGGCATAATCCAGCGGAGAATGAACGGCTATAATGGCTAAAAGCAACTATCAATTATCAGCTATTGATACCGAGACCTTGCCAATGCTGGGAACTTGTATCCCGGGGGGTGTCGCTGCTGACCCCCTGAAAAGAGCAAACTTACCTTCTTGTCTCTTTCGTGATCCCAGGTACTAGCCATTGTGATAGCAAAAGCTCGTGGGATGGAAGGGGGGATGATTGGGCGACCAAGAGATATTGGTGATGTCGTAGAAAGAAGAAGTGGTAGAGAAAATGAAGAGAACAATGAAAATCTTCCTCACATGCCGTTTGTGAGATTTCCTCCGCGCGAGCAATGACCTTTGTAATATCAAGATGAAATCTGTGACTTGAACCTCATGCTATGTACTTATTGGGTTCTATCCCAGGCGGTGGATTACATGACGTTCCTGATATTATGTAGGCCGCTATACTTCCAGGTTCAAGAAGTCCCCTAATACTTGATTTGTGTAATGCTTGCAGCTGTAATGTGTTCAGGCACGGGAATTTGTAGTAGCTAGACGGAATGTTGTTTGGCACAAAACTCAATTGAAGCAACGAATTATATCGACTGGGGAATCTATACTGAAACACAAACAGCGCAGAAGATAGACATGCCCATAGAAACCGCTCAAAAAAAGAAATTAAAACCTTTGTTCCCGTTGACCATAATAATGAACGTGAACAACAAATTGTTGCCTAGTACTGTCCAGTAGAAGGCGGCGTGGAGGTCCACGGCCCACTGACAAAGTGTGACTCTGAACCTCTTCTTGTCTGCCCGGGTGAATGTTCAATACGCTCGGGATAATGACTCGACTGGTGATAAGGGACTTGCTGAACATGCGTTGTTTCAGGGAAACCCGTCGGCCCGCCGTTGGGACCAAATTGATGCTGCGAAACGTATTGGTTGGCACCGACTTGTGCGATTGGATTGTGATATTGCTGATGGCCTTGAGCAATATTGGCTTGGTGTGGTCCTGACTGTTTTCGTATCATGTGCTGCTGTTGATATTGACTCTGTACATGTTGCAGCGGTGAGAATCCCTGCAAAGCAGGGTCCGACGTAGTACGCTGTGAATGGGAACGTGGGTCCTGGCCTTGTCCGAATCTACCTTGTTCAACCATGGAGTGCGGTGAATGGTTGTGGAAGTTCTCCGCGGAAGTTTGGTAGGGTTGGCCTTCCTGAACAAGAGAAGGATTCGAGACACGACGAGCGAATTCTCTCGAAGACGGCTCCGCATGCTGGTTCGATGAGTAAGACCCAAAGAAGGGCTTAGTCATGTTTGATGGGTGTAGGTTCATCGGGACACCCTCACCAGAGCCATTCAAATGACCTTGCTGTGGTTCCAATTGCCACTGTGGTTGGGAATCGGAAGCTCCGCCAATTGACCTTGCCATTTCCCCCTGTGGATTGCTGGTTATTGTCCAGGATGCTGGTGGCTGGTGATTATGCAATCCAACAGGATCAGCAGAGAATCCTTGGAAGGATTGTGCATGTTGTGTCATGTTATAACTGCCTGGGTTTCCCTGATAGGTACCTGAATTATTACCCCACATTGATGAGGAGATACTTTGGCCTATGTGGTGTGGACCCGTGATTTGATAACCTGGATGTGTTTGGCTTCCATAGAACGCCGGCTGAACACCATTCAAATGTCCAACAGGACCCTGGTGCAACGGATTCTAGAGGCAAATCAGCGCCACGGCCAATCAATGAATGACGCGAGTATTTGAACATACCGGGCCATATCCGGCTGCGTTTGCAGCCATCTGCTGCTCATATCTGCCGGGCAAGTGTTGACCCGTCTGATTCGAATACCAACCCGGTACCCCGGAAGACCCATAAGTTGGATTTTCCGACTGCCCATATATCTGGGAGCCAAGGGAGTTCTATCCCACCATCAGTGCCATTCTTGCAATGCTTACGCAGACATAATGAGCGCGATTCCCTACGGAAATTTTCGCACTGTCGGCCGCAGAGTACATCTCGCCCGCCATTCTGTCCGTGGACTCCAACTCTCGAGTATTGTTGCTTGTCGGATACGATTTTGGCTCCTGCGATAGCCCTGCCCCGCTCGGCGTCGGTGTTGTTGACGGGGTCAAAACGATCGGTTCGGTCGGAATCTCCCATTGCGACTTCCCAGTCGTCCGCTGTACGTAATACCATTTCCGTCCGACACCTTCCCATTGAGGGAGCCTATCCGATATGATTGTTAGAATACAGCTGGAAAATTCTTTGACTTTTGGGGTTGACTTACCAGCCTTCTGGAAGTTGGGGTGGTGGGGAGGATGGGCCTGCGGTGTCCGCAGGGGCCTCAGGCGCCATCTTGGACCTAACAGGATCCAGCCGATGTCAGAATGTCGAAAGGAAAAGCACAAGACATCCAAATTCTGGATCTGAACGGATAAAATGTAATTATACACCAAACAAAGGTGTAGGAATAAACAGATGTAAGGTGAGGTTCAACGAGACTCGCCGATAAGACGATCTCGTGGGGCTTGGCTTTGGATCGTCGTGCACAGACCGAGTGAACAACGCATGAACGCAACTGCTACGACATGTTGTATGCCTATGGTCCAGCAAGCAATCATGTATTCCGCACCAAATACTTAGTCGCATGAATCGCTAGGTATTAATTGTATAGAGAGTATCGAATAGTAGCTCCTGTTTAACCCCCTTCCAAATGAATAAGAAACCCCAGCGCCAGATCCCAGAAACATATCGGCATAAAAAAAAGAACCTGTTCGTCTAGGGTCATAATACAGCTCCGAGAGACGACATGGCTATAAATACAAAGAAAGGTACTGTGGTTGGGACTTCGCCATAGCTTGTTACCCGAACTCCCTAGGATTGGCTAGAAGTCATCGCCAGCCCAGTCCTCGTCGCCACTGAGTTCATCGTCAAGAAAATCATTCTCGTTGAATTGCAGTTCGGTCGGTCGCTGGTTGTCGATCCGAATGTTAACAATATCGCACATTCCCTGTATCTTCCTGGTTTCAGGCTGCACCAACGAAGAACTGCTAGCAGCATCGTCAATTATGTTGAACTTCTGATGTGCCAGCCGAGTGCTTTGGCGTTTAGAAGAACTGGACGGGCCACCATCAGCCGTGGATGGCCGTGGATCATCAACTCCAACACCAAGTTCATCGGGGTCATTCGCTGTGATGAATGTGGTGGGTTTGAGCGAGCGCTTCTGAAGGGAGCGGAGGTTGGGGTCTGGCGGCATGCTGTGTCGCAGGAAAACCTTCTCGAGCATACCGATCCACCGCTCGCGAAAAGTGGCACGGTCACGCCAACCAATCTTCAGGATTGCACTTATGACCAATCGACGTAGATCACGAAGTTGCGGTGCCGCGTTTACCAAAGAGGTGAAAAAGACCTCCGCAGTAGCGTCGTCCCATTTGCGTAACTGAGTGAGCTCGATTTCTTGAAGTTTCACTGGCCACGTGGGAACTTCGGTTTCGACAAGTAGATCTTCGAAGTGCGGCTCGACATCGTGATAGCTGGACGCATCATGCATAGAAAGGTCCATTTTGAAAACTTCGAGGCTCTCACAGCACTGAGCCAGAGTTTGGATGAAAGACATGTTGAGATGGCGATTGTGGCTGAGACTGAGCTCCCGGAGATTGGTGCCATGCAAGGACAAATAGGCTGTTAGATCTGATGACCACAATCGATCACAGTTGTTCAGAGTGAGTGAACGGAGTGTATTTGGTAGGTTGGCCAGGATTTCCCCGCTGACCAATGAGCTTTCAATAAAATCCAGTCGCTGAAGCTCTGGAAGCATATCAAGGGCTTCAAGGAGAGCAGCCTCCTTGGCAGCGGAGGTTTCCTCGTTGGAATTGTCAAAGTGGAGCAACTTCAGCTGCCTGAGACCCTGGAAGGCACGCAGCGAATGCATTCTCACCATCAATCTGACAAGCTCGTCGGTTTCTAAAAAGCGACTGTTCCAGTCCCAGTTACGAAGGGTAATGCCACGGGTCTCGATGGCGGAAAAGATGGCGTCTGGATAAGTCCACTTTGATTGAGCAATGTGCCATGGGGGTATTCCCACTGTGTAATCATCTCTGTGATACAGTCTTACCGTGTGTAAACGAGGTGTCTTTTCAATCAGCTGAGCAAGGTCGAGGTATCCGTAGGGTCCACTCTTATAGAGGAGGACTGGTTCAACCTCAACATGGAGTTGCTTGATCTTGCTAGAGTAATTCATCGAGAGGGACTCTTGCGGTCGTGCCAGCAAAGAGAGGAGCACATGGCTCTTGTAGGCAGGAAGAAGAGGGGGGCAGTGATAGAGCGCGGCTAGCGCAGGTTCGTGAAAGCTTCGACATAGTAGAGCGACATTGACTAGCCACTTGACAGAGTCATTGCGGGCGGAACGGCTTTCGTCGAGTAATGGATACGACGCGCGCAAGAAAATGTCAAGAAGAATTTGGTAGGGGAGAGTTTGCCAAGGAGGAATGACACCGGATCCCAGAAATATCGGGTCATCCTCATCTGCCTTGACACGTTTATGCAAGGCTCTCCCAACTTGACTGGTGGGTTTCGATCGTTTAGTCTGCTTTGGCTTCGAGGTGGTCGCAGCGCGTTGAGGACGTTTGGGTTTGGAAGGACGAGTAGGCACAGATTCGGTGTTCGGATTTGGGGTGTCGATCGGCGCAGATACCGATGCTTCGGACTCCTGGTCTTCCACAGCTCCATCAAAATCAAAGCTATCATCCGTTGAATCTTCACGATAGGATTTCGGCATTCGCGAGCGAAGAGATAACGAGGCACGCCTTGAGCTACGCAAACCTTCCGATTCATCGTCAGAGGAGCTTTCCTCGTGGTAGGTCTGCACCTTTGTGCGGCTGGACCGCGTAGGGCGAGTGGACCTCGAGCGCGAACTCGAGGGCGGCGCCATGACGGATAAGGTCGCGCTAGGATAAGAGAGTGGGTAGCAGAGACCCGAGCGACATTGTACGCACGTCGCGCGCGCAACAATACAAGCCGGAGATGAATATTTCTAGGCTTGTGGCGCGAAAATTCTGAAATAATTATCATTCAAATTGAACCTTGCCACAGTCCGGGGGAGTCCGGTTCCTTTGACGGATGAGGTCGAAGAGGCCAACCTTGGAAGAATGCCAAGACGACAAGCTTATCGATAACACCTGGTAGGTGCCAATGGGCGCTAACGCCAATTAGGCTTAGTCTACACGTGATATCCAGGCATGAACCCCGCCCTCAGGCCACAACACTAGTCCTCATTAGGGAGCACTAGATGGCCCCAAAATAGATTCTCAGCTTGAGCTTTAAAGATGGGCGCTTCCAGCCACCTCGAGGGGAAACCTCCTGGAACCCTACACCATCGGCGCATTGCTGTTCAGAATCAGATTCTCTTCACTCTCTCTTTGTATTCATTCACCGATCATTTTGTGTTGAAGATAGCCTACATCTATGCTGCGGTTCCTGATTTGACGATAATGACGGCTTGCCTATGCGACATAGGATCCGCATGATTATTTGCCTGCATCGCGTGTCTAGCTCTATTCTACAATTAAACATAGAGTTCTGACACTCCGAGTCGTCAAGATTCAGATGAAAACATCATTTCCTCTCATGATGGACTCTACCGATCGCTCCAACCGTGGTGAGCTCGGCAGACCGCAAATGGTCATTCAACAATATGCGCGATATCCTCCGACCTTGGAATCGACGTTGCAGAGTGCTTCCTCCTTGGGAAGCTCTCGTAGTCAAATAGATATCAACAAATCGCCTCCCTTACAGCGAAGAGAAACCCCCAGGAGCTTACAGTCTTCCCCGAGGGGCATGCATTCTGCTATACCCCCATCATCGGCCAATCGCTCCGGGGCCTCCATGTCTCCGCCAGTTTTTGATCCTCGTCGCCATCAGCCTATGAAAGATTCTGCCGATCACGCAGATTCCCGAGCTCTTCCGTCACGGGATATTACTGATGAAACGATTGATGACGCCTATGTTTCATTTATCTTGTACTGCAATCCTAATGTTCCATCCTCGGTTGACACATCAGATCTGAGAAAGACCTTCCGGTGTCTGCCGCGCAGTGATGGAAAAAGCTTCAACATCTTTACCCTATATGGCCTCATTCGAAGGCGGCTGCAGAATGAAGAGTTGAAGACCTGGATTCAATTAGCAATTGAGTTGGGTGTTGAACCACCTTGCCTTGAAAAGAAACAAAGCACCCAGAAGGTGCAACAGTACACTGTTCGCCTCAAAGTACGTCTGCCAAGCTTCCAACCCAAATTTCACCTTGCTAATCTCACCCAGCGATGGATGCGTGCTATGCATATTGATGCTTTCTTTGAATATTGTATGGGACTGCCTCATTCTTACTATACACAGCTCCCACCATCTGGTCCTTTTGTTAGCGAATCTCGCGATGGTGTATTATTGGAAGAGGATCTTGCACTCAGGGCACTTGTGCCACAATGGAAGCCAAAGAGGGGAAGGAAAAGGGTCGAGGATAGGTACACCGAGGAAGATAGAGCAATCAAGCGGCCCCAGTTGGACACATCTGTGGGCGCCCAGCAGCAGGGTAGTTTTCAGTCCCACTCCGTGGCATTCCCACAGAGTGCGATTCCATTCAGTGCATTTCCTGATGATGCTGAATCCAATGACCCCTGGATACCGGCGACATCATCGTTTCCGAATGGTTCAAGGCCGGACCAGCAAAATCCAGATATACGCTGGAGACATCCCGAACGGGATGCCTCTCCTGCTAGTTATCCACAGTCTGCTATCATTCCCCGAAGTCATCTACCATCAGATGTACTCAAGTCTGCGGAACCACGGTCCGCAGTTACTCCGTCAACGGGTGAAAAAACCCGTTCCAGAAGACGACATGGCCCTGCAGTTTCGTCTGCTTGGCCGAATAGCAACGGATTATCAGCCGGGAAAGGCCGAGGAAGGCCACCAAATAAAGGGTCATCATCGGGTTCCTTTTCTACATTCCAGGTCAATCCTAGCCGGGAATCATCGCAGGCACCCAATTCTAATACTCAGGCTCCTTCAATTGCCCTTGACAGAAATCCGCCCCAAATATTTCAGACCCCAACTCACAATAATCCTTCAACATCTATCTCTCAGGGGAGGCCCAATAGACTTCAACTGCAGGTTCCTCAACATTCAGGGGCGCCTGTTAGACTTGCCTCTCCACCGAGACTAGTAGTCAATGGTGTGAATGGTGCTGTCGTTCCCGGGTCTGAAGGGTCCAATGAGCCCCGCCAACATGTTACCACAGATACCACAAAAAATGGTATCACTACTCAAATATCTTCTTCTGGGGGGCAAAGAAATGCGGTCATTACTCCGAATCCCTCCATTGATGAGGTTGTTCATGCACTTTCTGCCGAGCTTCTTCGTGCTAGGCTGACAGGGCAGACGGCGAATCTTGCTCCTAACGAGGCGGCTGCTCTGGCTTCGGAGATGGTGATCAATTTGTCGTCATTATATTCACAGTTTTACCTTGGGACTCCTTCGCTGCTACTGGCCTTACATCTTGGTGTTGGTCATCATTTCGGACTCGCAGGCACTAATCCAGGGTCACTGGTTATCAACGTTGAACGTGCGACACCAAGCAGCGATGAAGATAGGAATGGCCCTGCCACTAAAGAATCATTCAGTGATATCCACTATACCGTCTTCCATGAGTACAAAACTTCAAGCCAGTTTTCGATGCAAATCACGCTCGCAAAACTCAATCCTAGTATGGGAAGGAAGGATTCGCCTGACCATGCAAACGTGATTATGGGCCCGAGTAATGAGAATATTGACAATGATAAGACGGCAAACCTGGATTTTGACGATGATGATTCTAGTCATCCTGTTTCCGAGGCAACATGGAAGCAGCGTTACACAAGACTCCGTACTCAGATGCACAAAAAGGACCAGGCTTTGTCGAAATACAAGCGGAAGATCGTGGAATCTGTCATGGCAGACATATAACGCTTCTCAACGAAGATCTCTCTTAGATTTATGTCAAGATATTAGCTGTCTCTACCCATTTGTGATGTGATATGCACTTTGCAGCTTTTTTTTTCTGTTTATTTGGAAGGATACCCCTTTGATAAGTTCAATCCTACTGTTTGTTTGACTTTATGAATGAAATTCGTTACCTCTGTACCCGTTGCCTATGTTGAGTCACACCATGGGCAATGCATGCCTTACCAAGAGACATAGATATGAATTTTGACTGCTTGGCTTCAAGGTGTCTGGCTTCATATCATTATTATTCTCTTAGAAATATAAAAGATATCAAAATTTTCTTCAAAAGTATGCCTAGGAGAGGCCAATCAAAGTACTTTTGTCACCCTACTTGGTAAGATACTATAACCATGTCATCTTTTATAATATTGAACATCACAGATTTTTCTTGTTATCCAAAGCTGTATGTAGGCAAAATGAGTGACGTTAGTTTAAGGGAGGAGCCAACACCTGTCAGCTGAAAGCAGATCAAGCAAAATGCGCGTTGAATGGCTATCTAAAGACAACTGGAAGTCCTTAGCTCCATCGCTCTTCTCACATTCTACGTATTAACTTCTAGCATCACGTGCTTCTTTACATCGAACAACATCCGACTCAGCTTCATCTTCTTACTAGAATGACTTCCGTTAATACGCCCGAGGAACAGGCCATCGCCTTAAGGCAAAGGTACGTAGCATCCAATTCAGTTTCGGCACAATATCTCCATGTTCACAATCTGTTCCTACAATCCAATATACCTGCTAACGTGCTGGCTGCTATAGATAAACTGGGACAATGTCTCACTTGATATTGGCATCAACATGAGCCCCGAAGCAGCGTAAGTTCTTCAAGGATTTGATGAGTTTTAGTGCAATTATTGACGGCCAGCAGCAGGAGATACTACTTCAGCATTGTGAAGAATGCCAAAGAGTTCGACCGCTCTGACAAGTATCCTGAAATCCCCGGAGACCCTTCCTGGCAGTCTGTCACGGCCGAGGAGATTGGCCCCATTATCATTGTTGAAGACTCAAATGATACCATTACCTAAAAACTAAATCCAGAGGCGGGCCCCTAAAGACACACCCGCCCGTCCTTAACATATTTAACGAGGAAGTAGGAATCGACGACAACATCACAACTTTGAAAATAGAAGCGAGTAAAGGAAATAAATTAAAAAAAATTGGATGTTGCTCAGCTAGTTGTATAGATTTACAGGATGAGTTAAAATCCAATTTTACCTCGTTTTAGACGTGAGGTCGTAGTCGTGATTTCCCTAATGGCTTAACACAAGATAGTTCAACTCCAACGGTGATAGTGCTGGCGGTGTCCACCTCCCATCACCACACATCCACATCTTCGTCGTCTGGGTCCTTCTCCTCGTCCGGCTCTTCCTCCTCGGCAAAGTGTTCCAGGCAAAGCCTGTCGCTGTCGATGGCAAACTCGAGGCGGCCGGTCATGAGACAGCACGCGCGCACAACGGCATACGGGTCATCGGCCTCCTCGCCCTCGCCGGGATCCTCGCCGCCTGCGCAGTCGTCGTGGCCATCGGCGGCTGGCGTACCTAGGTCGCCCTCTGTGATGATACGCAAGCGCGTCACGCCCGTCTCGCGGTTACTCTTAAAGCAGAGGCGTACAGGGCGGGCGTACTCGCGCACGGCATCAATGTCGGTGGCGACACAGCACATGCCGAGCGCGCGCTGGCTGCCATTGTCGTAGGTCAGGATGATGCTGCGCAGGAGGCTAGTATCTTTGGTGGTGTATACCTGCATATACGTGACGCCGGCCAACGGCACGTTGCTCTGGAAGGCGTCCTCGGTGAGCTGCTCATCCGGGTAAGCCGAGTGGTTAAAGCAGTGGCGGCGCGTTCCGTTTCGTACGCTGGTAGCCCAAGCAGCCGCGGTGACGTCGGGCGCGGCGGCCACGTTGTAGACGCCGACGTCGGTAATGACGCCATTAATAGTATTGACGGCGCTGTATACGAGCGCTCGCGGCTGTTCTGAAGGCGCGGTAAGGATGGTTTCGGAGGGTGAGTTGTAAAAGCTGTAGCCGAGGAGCGTGTCGCCAGAGAGCCGCTTGCGGAACTGGCGGGGAAAATTAATATAAGCGTCTCTCAAACCATTTTTCTCTACAGCATCGTCCGCAGCGTTCAAAACTCACCATGAGCGTCAGTTCGTCCTGAGTTAGTTGCGGACTGTAGCCCTCCTTACGCACGCCTACGGCCTCGATGCGATCCCGGGCGCCAGTGACATATACTGCTATGCAACCCGCGAGGTGGGCAACGCCATACGGGCGGCGGTAACTGTGGCGGATGGCTCGGCGACTGTGTGGGCGTGGAGGCCTAGCACGTTGCCGTCGGACAGAAGAGTCAAACCGGTGATAGCTTCAAGGTCGACCACATGAAGGTACGACGTGGGGCTGACGCGCTTCAGGTGTTTTCGCATATAAGCGACGCCCTCGATGGGCGGCGGCGCAGGCGTGTCCCAGATTTGCAGGCCGGGGAGGCCCGCGGGGAGCTCAATGCGGCCGAGGCCGAGCTGGGTCGTTAGCATTCTACCGGCTGTCCGTTTCACCAATTGCAGCCTCCAATACACACCTGGAAATGAACATGGCACCGTTTAGTGTCTTCGCCTCGCAGAGCGTATAGGCCAGCTTACCGGCGGACGTGGTGCCGTTGTAGGCCGGACGGGCCGGCAGCCGCTTGATGTGTAGCAGGCCGTACGTGTCGATCGCGAGGCGGATGAAGCTGTCCGTTGCAATGGTCTCCTCGGCCAACTCAGGTTTCTTCTCGTCTGATACCACACGGCGTACCAGCAGCCGGCCTCTCTCCCAGGCTTCCACCTCGGATAGTAGGATAGACGCGGGCAGTGCGGCAGGGTCGTCACCGTAGGTCTCCGTCTTCTCGTACTCGGCAAGCGACAGCGCCAGGCGTGCGGCCGCGTTGAGCCGCCACAAAGGACTATCCTTGCTCAGGTCCCTGACGGTACTGGCCAGCTCTGGTGGCATGCGCGCCATACCAGGCAGACCAAGGCGGTGTAACAAGGCTGGACTGGGCATGGACATCCGCGCGTTGTCGCACTGGAGCAGGGAGAGGAAGGGCGCCTTTTTCCACGGCGTGCGCCACGAAGAGGCGATCCAGAGGCGCTGCAGGGCGGCATTTTCCGTTTCGTTTATCTTCTTATCGTCTGTTGTATCCTTTTTATTCTTGTCATCTCCTTTGCCAGTTTCCTTGTCCTCATTTCCAACCTTTTCCTTTGTCGGCTCCTTCCGCTCCTCATAGCTTGCCGCATGCTCCAGATACACCTCCAGACAGTCGGCGTGCACAGTGACAACATCCGGACCGACAGCGCACGTCTTGCAGCCAGCCCAGCGGCACAAATACGACTTCTTGGATGCCTTGACGGTCGACGGCGCAAGAAATAGCATCGTCTCAGTGCGACTGGCAAAAGCAGACCCGTCGGGTATGCCGGACACTGGGTTCTTCAGCACATGTGGTACTAGACCAGCAGCTAAGAAGCTATTTTTAATCGTCTCCGATTTAAAAGCTTCAATTCGTAGAAGGGGGTATACTTCGAGGAAGTCAAGTTTATTAATATAGTTAATCCTACTCCGTATCTTAAATTCAACCATCCGACCGTACGCACGTTTCAGTACCGCAAAACAGCTAATATTTAAAGGTTGCAAAAGATAAGATGAATGCGCTAGTATACATATCGGTATCACCTTATTTTACTCGCAAATTTCGTTCAATTCAGGTATTAAATGACTTCCGTGGCCATCAAGTATCAAAAGCCGGTATTCCCTCTTTATATATAAAGTACTAGGAATAAATATCGTCTGGGTCGATTCCAAATTGAAGGATTGTCTTTTAAACCAAATTGAACCACTCCCTATGATTTTAGGGTTTTCACATTTCGCTCGCTCGTAGTTATACCGTTTTGAGAACCGAGAGGAGAGAAGAGGACGCCTTTTAACGAAGTTCGTAACCTAATTTTCGCCAATTTTACTACACGGTCTCCTCAGTATTTCATCTAAAGATCAAGAAGTACACTTCCAAAGAGGCTATCATCTTTTGGGCGCCCATCCTTCAGCCTGATCGTAGAATCCTCGCACACCGAAGAACTCTTTCACTCAAGTTTTGACAAGTCAAGCTTGCTTCTTCTTATCCTTCTCCGAGCCTTTGCCCTTCAGCATGGCGGAACGTCGGTTTACAGATGCTTCCCCAGCCTCACGCACAATCTCCGTGACGGTCTTGATGGCTTTCTTCGGGGGAGTCTGAGCCGCCTCAGGCTGACCGAGAAAATTAGTTTCAATCTTATTAGGACGGATAGAAGTCGGCTTGCCTTGTAATCGCCATAGATATGGCCGTTGGTCAGATTGTGTGCTTTCTTTAGCTTGGCATACTTCTTCTGAAACGACTTTCCACTAGCGTAGCTAAAATCCTTGGCTACGCGGGCGAGATTGACCTGTGGCTCAAGTTTTAGTATGTCGACTGTGGGTTCAACTGAAAGTTTCACTGAAGTTGTCGATGTATCGTACATTGTTGGTTTCCTTGTCGGTATGTTTCTTGATCGAGTCTAGATACTCTTCATCCGAAGGGTTGTTCTTGTAAGAAGGCATTATTTCGGCAATATTGGAAGGAAGTTCACAACCTCCTTCAATGAGGGTAGATATGAAAATAAACCGAATTCTCAATTGCAAGAAAAATGACGAAGAGAAAAAAGTCGCCCCAGGAGACGGTTAAATACATTGTTCAATAGCATCGATTAATCAGCGACTGGTTTCTCTTAGTATATTCTTTTGGCAATCTAGCAGTGACATAATACAAGGTTTGTCGCGTTAGTGCACGTTGATGACCTGCATTATAACTTTAACCTAAGGTCCAGGCTTGGCTTCTCAGCCTTCTCTTATAAAAAATTCCCTAAAAGAGAGACCTCCCTTGAAATAACGCTCATGACTCTATCACAGATTGGTCTATGAGTACACGCCTAAATAAAGATGACCATCTGCTTTCTGAGAAATTCTGCACAATACTATGTTTAGCTTTGGCAAGTGAGAGAGAGCACAAGACTAAATCAGCATAGTTGGTAGTAATAACGAGAGTACTAGCTAATGAACATATGAACGAGGCCCTTCTAGTCTCCAACATAATCATTCTAGATTCTTTTCAACTTTGACAACAACATGACCATCTTCCTGATTTCCTGCGCTCGACATTTCTTCCTCGGTCTGTTTTTGTCCTTCTTCGGCTTTCATAGTCGGGCCTTCCTGGCGAGAAGGAGAGCGTGGTTCCCAGCTGATGGCTGGAGCAGAACTGGTGAAAGGGTTCATTTGGTCAAAGTCCCGCAAATCAAACCCAGATTGAGTGCCTGGTGATGAAAAAGGATAGCCAGTTGGCATTGTCGGGAACTGGTATGGATTTTGCATGAAGGACGATGATCTTGCGGGGCTAGGTGATGGTATCGCTGATGGTATGCTTGACGCCAGCTGGAACTGCATCGAGGCAAAATCCTGAGGAAAGTAATACTGTCCTTCGGCGCTAGCCTCCAACATCAACTGCGGAGATTGTTGCATAAAGCTCTGTAGGTTCGCATTACCCTGAATGCCAGGCTCGCATTTTACAAAGGGATTGCCAGGAAGAGAAGAATCAATCGATGCCATGGTGGGCATCATGAGCGGCGGAGCCATTGGAAATATGCCTTGCATCTCAGCAGGTGGATCCATGGTCTTTCCCTTCTTGCTCTTTCGCTTTGGCTTGCTTGCCCCTGTGTTTCCTTCCATCTGCTGTCGGAAGCGAGAGTACCGCATACGAGCGGCATGACCATTGGAGACTTCAACATCGGAGGCGACCCGATTCCAATCGACCTATCATATTCAGATAAGATTAAATCAATCTTCAGTTAATAGTTGGGTAATAAACTGACCGACTTCAAGTCCAATTGCTTGATGATTGTGTAGAGGAACTTAGCAGTGGGAGTGTCAGTCTCTAAAACTTTGTGCCGCTGACCCATGGTTGAAAAAATGGTCTCAGTGACAGAATGATAAAAATGAGGTTGTGAGGACACTGGGAGGATTCATGAACAGTTTAGATCGGCTATATAACTGGTATAGAATGAAAAAGGATCATTAGGACATGAGAATTGTTTGCCAGCCACATCAATGCTTGCTTTGTACTTTGCAAATGTAGGAGACAATAATACCTGTAGGAATCGCATGCCTCCAGGTACGGGTATAGCAATCTAGTTTGCGTTATTCAACCCCCAATTCGTCCTGCAGTATCCCGCCTACTTCTTTATACCTGCACTTCAATGAAACTTGATGTTTACAGTCATTTCTTTATGGCTTTTTAGAAAGCACGCGAAGACAAATAGATACCTACTTCCAAGGTTAGGTAGTTGTATTAAGCAAAGGGGCACGTGCGCTCTTTCTCATGAGCACGTGATGCGTATTACCCTAGTCCGCGACTAATCTTCTCAGTGGCAAGAAGAGGATTGCTAGTCTATTTTAGATACTGACTACATGAAATTATTTCCTGTATTGTGTACGAAAGCTTCAGACTCTTTGATTCATTGTGAACCTTATGTGGTATGTACTGCAAAACTAGGAAACGGCTTTTTGTGCTAAGACAAACACAATTGTACCACACGAGTGAGCTTAATGACAAGCTGACTAATTTAACCCCACCCGTGGACCTAACCTTAGAAAGCAGCGGTTATCCTCGACTCGATCAACTACATTCATTAGATAAACGATCAATCGGCCCTAATACTAACTCCTCTTTCCGAAATACGGAGATATATTCTCGCCGGATTTATCATCATGGCTTTAGTGGCTATAGGGGCGTGCTACCTTGACACAATTCTAACGTGAGTTCTTTCAGCTGTCTTGAAATTGGCATTTAAAAAGTCCAGTATTCACATGCTTTGGTAGAGCCCCCTATTACCCAAATGAAGATGAGAAACTACGTGCAACCAGGATCAGTCGCCGGCGCGGTGGGAATTGTCCAAACACTCTGGAAGTTTTGAGTCAATTGTTACAATATAGGCCGTCGAGTGCCGAATCATCTTTAAATCTCATTGCTGTCCTTCCCTCCAAATCATCCATGGCATCTCAACAAATACAATCAAGCCTAGGAAATGAGGTTTGGCTAGATAAATGCATTTACCGAGAGTCGTTCAGTGAGCCAGCTTCTAGTTACATCATTACGAGCCAGGCCACCGGTAGTAGGACGATTGTCAATTACAACGAGCTACCCGAAATGACCCACCCCGAGTTCGCAGCAGCTGTTGAGCCCTTACATGCCGTAACTGATCGACCCTGGTTTCATTTTGAGGTACCTTAAATGTTGACAAGGTGCTCAACTAGTCATGAATCATGCTAACTCGCACTCAGGGCCGTGCACCAGATGTCACATTGGAATGTATTCATTATATTCGGATGCATTTTCCAGAGGCTAAAATCAGTGTTGAGATTGAAAAGCCAGGTCGTCCAGGCTTGCAGGGGCTTGCAGACGCAGCAGACGTTGTTATCTACTCGAAGGGCTGGGCCCAGGTAAGATTTATTTTCGACGTTTTTCAAGCACATCTAATAGTTGAGCAGAAAAATGGATATACATGCGCTGAGGATTGCTTGCGGGATCAATCATTGAAGACAAGCGGAGCGTAGGCTTTACTGTTCAAGTCCCCAGAGAAATAATCTAACCTGTCGTTTAAAGATCCTTGCTGTGCTGTACTTGGGGTCATGACGGGGCCGCAGCACTTGAACCAAAGACCGGCAAATTTGCTCATGTCCCGGCACATACTGAGGAAATGGGAGTCGTCGAGTGAGTTTTGACCTTTCCGATATACCACAGCACACATTAGACCATACTGATAGTCTATAGCACCATAGGAGCTGGAGATACATTTAATGCTGGCTTGCTATACGGTCTCGTATATCGGGATCATGATTGGGATTTTCGGAAGAAATTGGAATTTGCAAATACCATTGCCGGCTTGAAGGTCACACAAGAGGGCTTTGCAAACCTGCAAAGAGCGTTGAACTTTCCGTCATACTGACTCGCCTTTTACTTGACTGAATCTCGTCAGCTCTCCAAATTGACCAATTCAAAGTCAAAATATTGAGCCAATGCACAAGTCTGCCACTTATTATATCAATCTTTGGGAAACAAAATGGCTGTAATCGAGAATAGTTAACGCTCTGTTGTGTTGTCGACTCAATTTAGACAAGAAATATATATTTTTCGGTTCGTTGAATTTCAGTCTACCTTTTGGAGTGAAATTAGGCAAGCAAATCGTAAGGTGGCCAGTATGAAAGGCTACATATGTATGCAACTATGTGGGTAGCAAGTAATAAGACCAAAGCAAGGTTGAGTAATCCCCAGATGAATGTTTGGCAGGAAAACAGGGCGGTAAACAACGGCAAATGAATCGGTAGCCCATATGACACGTGACATAGCAAGGTTCAGGGCGGTGTAAACAAAAAATATTCTGCCATCAACTTTTTGATCTCGGCCGTCTTTTGCACGATCAATTTCAATTCCATTTTTTAACACAATCAACCGTCATCATGGCATCAGTCTACAAGAGTGTCTCAAAGAAGGCGGCTAGACAGCCTACTGAGGATATGTCCGACGAGGACATCCAGATGGAGGAGCTCCTCGATGCGGAAGACGACACCACCGATAGCGAAGAGGACGAGTCCGACGATGGCGAGGCAGCTGAGGTTGTGAAGAAACAGCTTGCTTCTGGATTTATGCCCAAGACCCGGGTACTTATCTTGACTTCCAGAGGCGCTTCTTACCGGTATGAATATTGCGCCTTGAGATATACTAGAAGGATTTACTGATCTGATAATTTGTTTTTTTTTCTCTAGCCACCGACACCTCATGTCCGATATCTGCGGCCTCCTCCCTCATGCGCACAAAGAAACTAAGCTCGACACGAAAAAGAAGGCCGCTGGATACAACCTCCTCCTGAACTCTCTTGCCGACCTGCATTCGTGCAACGTTATCTTCTTCCTCGAGGCCAAGAAGAACGGCCAGGATCTTTATCTCTGGCTTTCGCGCCCTCCCAATGGTCCCACTATTAAGTTCCATCTCAACAACTTGCACACAATGGGCGAGCTCGGCGCTGGATTTGCAGGGAATTGCTTGAAGGGCGGCCGCGGCTTGGTCGTGTTCGATCGCTCCTTCGACGAGCAAGGTCCAGATATGGGCGCTCCTGGTAGCGAATACCGTGCGCTTGTTCGGGAGATGCTGCGCGGAGTCTTCTGTGTGCCTAAACGTGGTGTCAGAGGCATGAAGCCATTCGTCGACCGCATCATTGGTATCTTTGGAGTGGACGGCAAGATCTGGATTCGCGTCTATGAGATCCGCGAGTCTGAGGCTGGCAAGAAAAAGGATGGGGAAGAGACTATCAAGCCTGTACCGAAGAGCAAGGACAACGCCCTGCCCGAGGTTTCTCTAGTCGAGATTGGCCCCCGGTTCGTTCTGACCCCCATTGTGATTCTCGAAGGCAGCTTTGGTGGACCCGTCATCTACGAGAACAAGGAGTACGTCAGCCCCAACCAAGTCCGTAGCGACATCCGACAGGGCAAGGCTGGCCGTTACTCCCAGCGCCGAGACGGCCAGACTGATCGGGTGGCCAAGCGCTCCGATCTAGGACTGTCCGAGAATTCTGTGCGGAAGGTGGATGCGTTGGACACAAGGAAGCTGTTTGCATAGGGGGTTTTTTTTTGTTTCGTCGTGCTATTTCTAGACTTGATATCCCTCGGGATGATGTTTCGACTACATGTGTATATTTGATGCGACGCTTTTCATCATGGTCCGTTAAGGCGTCGGGGCAAAGTCTCATCCTGGTTAATTTCAAAAGTTGATTATTTCTATCTGTTCCTCGTTTTGGGTTGTTTCATTACTGTCTAGAGAGCTTTTTCTTCAGAATAACTGGAAAGCAGGTTGGTTGAAGAACGCAAGGGGCAACATTAGCTAAGCGTCATATAAAGCACTCCCTCGCCATTGCCCAGCCCAATCTCTCTTTGCCTCCTGATACCATCTATCATGGCATCATTTTTGGTGGTTAGCCCTACATGGCTACAAGGAGCTTGCTCTTCCAATATGTTTACTTTTGATCCCACGCTGTCTCTTCCTCCTGTTAGCCCCAACGGCGGGGTCTATATCCAATAGGCCCACCCACCGTACGCGCGACAAGTACACGAGTGTTGATCGCTTCAATTCGTGACTTAAATTTGATTCATACATAAATCCTCGAAGATTGGCCACTATCTTCTTTCAAATTACCTGGTAACTACAAATAACAACCCCTGAGCAGGTATGTGATCACTTATTGATCCTTTAACATGAGTCACTCTAACGGTATTCTTCTTTACAGAAACTACATAGCATATTTCCATTATGCGAATCGATCATCTTGCGACGGAGCTTCTACTCCACATATTTCGCTCGTGCAACTCAATCTCCGATGTCTTGAATTTATCAATCACCTGCCATCGACTTCACCGCATCCTCAACTCAACAAGCAAACTGCATATCCTAGCCAGTGTCGCGGAGACCGAATATGGTCCCCTTGACGATGTCATTCAAGTGGTGACGCAAAATGAGAGCCAGGCTGCTCATCTTATCCGACATGCGCCCATGTCTGATTCCCTTCTGAAACAAGTCATTCAGCTCGGTCTGGTGGCACGAAAATGGGAGACGATCTACCCGTTCAAAAAATGGAAACTAGACTTCGAGAATCGTCGCTCGCTCACTGACGAAGAGCGATTACGCCTACGCCGCGCAGTATACCGGTTATGGCTGTATCACAGTGCATTCCATTCTGGTGTTTATGATCGCCATTCTCGTAGTCTTCGCCATGTGATATTGGAGCGCGCTCAGTTGCTCCACAACTGGTCCACCCAAGAGCTGGCCGAGATTGAGGATTTGCGTCTCGTCATGGGTGATATTGTTCAGAATCACATATGTCCTAGTAATGGGACTATCCAACGCAAATTCCGCAAGCGTTATCCAGACAGCAGCCAGCAACTCTCGTTCAATATCCATCTCAATTATCCACCGCTTTCAACTACTTCTATGTCTTCCCATGGTCACTCCTTGCTTCAGAATGGCCCTGATACCTCGATTCAACAATTCTTCCACACGGCTCACCCAAGAAATTATGCCGAGTCGCCAGCCAAATTTAGGTCTCGGTTTCGCAATGATCTTTCTCATGATCCGGGGTATGAAGGTTGGGGTGACGAGATCCCACATTACTATATTATGCAGGACATGCTGAAGCTCGATCCTGGTCAAATATTATGGTTGCGCGACCATGCTTTGCTGAAGGAACAGGTAGAGGAGTACGTCTGGTCCCTAGGGGAATGGTTCCGCAACAACGGTGAAACGTTTGGTGACACCCTGGAATATGTCATGAATGAACGTGGGCTCGAGCTTGGAGAATTTAGATCTGCAGTGGCTGATCGTGACATGGGCATTGTCCTAAACTAGATTTGTTTGTCGACTTTTTGAAATTATCGAAATACATACGTGTGCGAGGGCTTTGATTTTTCTTTGCAGAACTCCAGGAAATATTCAATTTACATGAGGCACTTAGTTGTAAATTGTAAATAAAACCCCTCCTAGCGAGCGTTGTCAGTCTTCTAGTGGACACTGGCCAGGAGAGGTAAATTGCCCTGTGGAGCACGTGAACCGTAATGACGAGCATCGCCACTGTTCTCTTCGAAGGTTGTTGGGATTGCATGACTACAACATTGTACAATTACACTAAAATAGGTGGAATGAATATACGAATTTGAGAATTTCCATACAAAAGCCACGCAGCCGCAATGTTAGACGCCCAGCCAAGCTGTGTTCACCATCGTAGAAACATATCAAGCGAACAGAAAAAGGGGATCAATTTCGTTGAGGATCACTGGGAAAACGAGCAAAAAAAAAAAAAGGACTGAAGAAGGGGAATCCAGCAGCCGGTAACATCGATTTGGGTAGACCCCTATCTTCCCGTGGGGTTTCTCTAACAGATCCCGCCTGTGTATCATCTTTGTAGCAGTCAAATTTCAGACTCCAACACAGATACAGATCAAGACCATCTCAATGTCACATCGCAAAAGAAGAGTCATGGCAGTCGCTGTTTCGTCCTTGCGAAGGGTAATCTAGCAGCAGCCCGGCTTCTGCTCGCTGTCTTGCTTGCTGGGGTCGATAACGGGACGGCGGTCGAGGACCTGCTGGCCACCCTCTCCGGAGTCGAGAGCCTTGCTAGAAACGATGCGGTAGATTTCTGTCGAATTAGCATGTTATAATAAATTCCAAGGAGTCGACAACCAACCTGTAAGGATATTCTGGAAAGCTAGCTCAACATTGCTGGCATCAAGCGCGGAAGTCTCGATGAATGAAAGATTGTTCTCGCCTACTGAATGTCAGCGCCACACAGAGAAAGTGATTCCGGAAAACGCACTTGCGAACTGCTTAGCCTCCTCTGTGGGGACCGCGCGCAGGTGGCGCAAATCGCTCTTGTTACCAACGAGCATGATGACGATGTTCGAATCGGCGTGGTCACGTAGCTCCTTCAACCAGCGGTTGACATTCTCGTAGGTCTGGTGCTTGCTAATATCGTAAACGAGGAGGGCGCCGACAGCGCCACGGTAGTAGGCAGAAGTAATCGCACGGTAGCGCTCCTGACCAGCGGTATCCCAAATTTGTGCCTTGATTGTCTTCGAGTCGACTTGAATGGACCGGGTCGCGAACTCCACACCGATCGTTGACTTGGAGTCTAGGTTGAATTCGTTGCGGGTGAAACGACTCAAGAGGTTGGATTTACCAACACCAGAGTCTCCAATAAGCACCACTATTCACTCCACAATACCTCCGCAGTCAGTCTAAGGATCTTTTGAAATGGGGCAAAGGGGGGGGTGGGATGGTGGGATAAGACGAGGGCGGGCCTCGGCGTGAAGTGGCGAGGTTACCTTTGAAGAGGAACTGTAGAGGATATCATCATCAGCATTTGGTTCTGAGACATGGAGGAACTCGTGGTCCCAAATCAACTCACGTCATATTCGTCGTTGGCCATTTTGAATGTGATCGAGCTAGTAAAGCTCGAAAGGTAGTATCAAAGTACAGGTAAACGTGGCGGGCAAGTGAAGACTGAGATGTGTACTTGTGGCCTTGAGAAAGTGAAAGTCAGATATGTCAGTATTGATTTCGCAGCAGGCAGAAAGAAAACAAGGGGAGCGAACACACGGGAGGTAATAGAGAATCAGCAGGGGATAGTCAGTGATACCTGGGCCGAGTGTCTCTCCTTAATCGTGTCCACCCATTGTGGATTAGTGTGGAGATCACGTGGGTTGGCGTTTGGCGCGCGGGCGGTATCCTTTATCAATGGGCAGTAACTGATCAACTTTCTTGTTGTTACTCTTGCTCGCATTACTTTTACTTCTGCTATTGTCTCTGTGGGCTTATCCCTCTATTTTCATTAGATCTAATGAATATGAAATACGGTACGCATTCGCTCTCCCCGAAGCCCTGCAACTCAAAGTTTCAGCCCAAGTACTGTCTTGCTTGCACATTTGGCATGGGGCGTTGGACGCTGCACAATGAAGCATTTGTTGACTCGATTTCTAGGCTACTACCATGGCATCTGATTCTGAGATGAATGATGCCTCTGGAGTTGGTGATGTCGACTCTCTGGCGTCTACCGCCCAAAGTGAAGAGGAAGCGGAGTATCTCGTGAATGACATCCATGCGGAACGGAGGTTCTACGTAGAACCAGATTCTGAGGATGACGAAGGAGTCTTTATCACTCAATATTTGGTTGAGTGGGCTGGGTACAGCATGGACAGATGCAGTTGGGAGCCGAAGGAAATGTTTACTTCGGAAGAGACCCTAGATGGCTGGGAAGAGAAAAAGAAACAAATTGCGGAGGGCAAGGTGACTCCCTTCAATCTCAAGTCGTGGGAGAAGCATATGAAGTTGTTGGAGAAGAAAACAAAAAAGCGAAAAGAAGAGCGAAGGCGCAAACGAGAGCAAAGGGCACGGCAGAAAAGCCTCCCCCAAACTGAATCATCTCGACTGGCCAATCCCGATATCATAGATGCCCATGAGCCCGAACCACCTATTTCGTCTCACGGAGCTCCCAATCGCCTCTCCGTGGATTCAACCGCTTCTTCGGCCTTGTTTGTTCCAGCTGAAACCCCACCACCATCAAAAAATGCGGCTCGTCAATCACTGCTACAAACAGCACCTCCTACTGGGACAACATCTAGGAACGAGCCTCCAAAACCAAGAACCTCCATTGCACAAACAGAAACAACCTCAAGCAAGCTTCCAAACTCGCGACTATCTCAGCTTGCGAAAAGAATTACTGCCAAGTACAAACTCCCTGCGCGCCAGAAAAGCCCCCCACAAGCAGCAAAGCCAATATTATCTTCTTTCGCCACAGGCCCAGGTGCCAAGCGCGCATACCGTGATAAGAAATGGGGCGAACGACCACCGGACTTGTCACAGATGGAGCTGATGAAGCCTTCTGAATTTCCACCAAGGATGAACATAGGCAGCACCATCTCAGTGGTTGGCCCATCTGTAACAAGTCCCAAAACCCTGGAAGCCCAAAATCAATCTGCTTCTGAGAACCCAGTCGATTTGACCGGTCTACTAAAGACACATATTGGCCAAATAGACGATAAAGCTGCAAAGCAGCCACAAGAACATGTTCTTCTCGCACCCTCGTCAGCCATGGCTCCTCCAGTGTCTCGCTCTTCAAACTTAGGCTCCACTAGGTCAGTTTCGTCGTCTGGCTTAGATCCAGAGAGACCTATTGGTTCTCTAGATTCCCCTCCGCAATCTACTCAGTCAAAGTCCATTCCGCAGACCAACCTCACCTATCCCGGTTCTGTAGATTCTATTGCCTCTACTTCCTCGTCTCTAGGTGAGGCTCCTTTGACGAATCCTGTCGGGCGGTCAACCTCCGCCCTTACTGCGCCATCACTAGCTCCCCGTCCCTCACCACAGGCCAATATCAACACATCTACCTGTCCTCCGGCCTCGACTGGCTCAGTCCTCCCTCCGGTCATTCTATCTGGGGGGCGTGCAGAAGGTAATTCAGTGAAAGACGCTGGACTACTCTCGGGTTCCAGTCTTACTGTTATCTCGCCAGCCATTCCAACTAAGCCCCGTGCAATGGTCAATCTCGAGAGGGTTACTGAGAATCGAGACTCGCAGGGCAGCCGTGAGACAGTCCAACAATATAGATCGAACTCCCCCAGGCAGCCTAACACCACAATAGTGGCTAATACCTATCGACCGTCAGAGCTCTCTCGTCGGTCATCGCCCTCTCGATGGTCACCGCCCTATCGACGGCCACGGTCACCACTATCTCGCAGGTCACGGTCACCGCGCTCTCGGTGGTCACGGTCACCGCGTTCTCGATGGTCACGGTCACCGCGTTCTCGGTGGTCACGGTCACCGCGTTCTCGATGGTCACGGTCACCACTATCTCGCAGGTCACGGTCACCGCGTTCTCGCAGGTCACCATCACCACCTTATCGGCGATCACGGTCACCGCCCCCCGGTTGGCCGTCAAGGTCTTCCCTCCGTAGTATGGGTGATAGTTACACGCCTCGTAGCCCGTCTCCGAGTCATTATCGGCTTGCTCCAAAATCTTCAAACTCAACTGGGTTAGATGAAAATCCATCAGTCAATGCTCCAGCATTGGTTCCCACCGGGCCCAAAGCTAGATCGTCGGCTCAACCTAGTCTTTCCATCGCTCCATTGGTTCCAAGGATGCCGGTTCGTGCTTATCGGCCGTCCACTTGCATTAAGATTGGTAAATACTGGTGCGTCAAGGGAGACGCTCTTGTTAATATGTTTATGGGATCGGACCGGAAATTCCTCGGTGCTTTCAGATTATGCGGCTTCCGTACGGATATCCAGAAATCTCTAGTCATGACCAAGAACCCGAAAACAAAGCAGATTGAAGTTTGGTTTAGACACCTATGCACAGTCGGGGAGTACGAGAGACTATGCGAATCTAGTGTCAGTACCAGATCTGTATATTGTCCCTTATATAATGCTAACATTGGCTATAGGCGACAAATTCTGTATTGAGTACAGGTTGGGTTGAGGGCTTCAGCGACACCAACGAAAATTTGTTTCATCTAGCAGAGAATCTGCGAAAGGACGACCTCATTGCCATCCACTATCCTCCGAGGAGAAGAAACGGAAATGGACCGCCAATTGTATTGGTTGCTTGGTCATACGGGTCACAGGAATTCAAGTTTCCACATCCTGATGATGAAGTGCCACCTGGCATTCCTCTACTCGTTGCCGCTCGCACTATGCTCGCACCGATCGAAATTCTCTGGTCAAGTGGGCCTAACCAGCCTCACGGAAGACCGCATGGCTTTTTGCCAAATACATCGCTTTCACTGCGCGTCAAGGCGCCTAGGGATGATAGCCTAGAGTCTGGCAGTCCCCCAAGACGGTCGGACTTCCACCGTGATATAACAACGAGTGGATCCGTGCACTCGCGGGAGACGCTGGCCCCAGCGCCAGCCCAAAGCCTTCCGCCCACAAGTGAACTCAGGGATAATTCAATGTGCGCTATCCCTCACCCACAAGATGAGCAAGCCGCTCGAGCGGTTCAAGCGGTTGAAGATTTCATGAAAGCCCACAAAATCAATGTGGAAGAACTTGCGACAATCGAGGAAGGTGGGAAGCTATCAAAGGCAGATATTTTCTATTTGCACTTTCCCCTAGGCAATGAAGAAATACAAAAGGAACTGCAGCTTCTTCAGGTGCACTTGAAGTATCATGAGAAGATTCTTTTCACAAGCAACAGCCCTGGAGATTGGGCAAAATTTGTGCACAACAGCAGACAGGGTGTAGCCATAGTATGTGATCGATATTTTTACACGTTCACAATTGTCAGACAACTAATCAAGAGCAGTTTCACGAATCATTCGTTGGATACGATACTTTGCAGCCTCCTCTCAATTCTGTGCTTCCTGCCCACTCGTTCAATTTCTGGATGGTTCGCATTCAGAGACCACTCGAATTAGTTGATCCCCGGTATTGTTCACCTAGTGACCACCGTCTACGTATCTTTCCGTATGGCGGTGTCATACTTCTCACTGAAGATGTGTTGACAGACCTAAAAGGGGTGGCGGTCACTCTGCAATGGATTCGGAATGCAAATAAGCACAAACGGAAATCTTGGACGTTAATGTTTCCCCCTAGGATACTTGAATGGATCGAAATGAGACTCGGTGACGAAAATCACTCGCAAGATCATGGACTGTATGTCATACCTTTCTATCGTTGTTTAGCTCAAGCTTCTTACTAACCTGAATGTAGCCTGTTGCTCATCTACACGTTGATCATCAAGAACAACGTTACGGATCCTCGCGCAGCTTTGTTTGATAAAGCCAGTCTACATCACAACTCAAGAAGCAACGTTATCGCACCCTCTCTGGATGAATACTGTAGTCGTACAGAGCACCACGACCTCAGAATCAAGGACAAGGTTGAACGCGATGCAGATCATCTGATCGAATTCTTCGCAGGGTGGTCATTGATTAACATACCACGCTTCCGCAACTTCGTCGCTGTCACATCACTCAGTGCTCCCACTGGGGCACGGTGGGACAAGTGGGGTCATATGACTGTCATGCGAGGTGGTTTCGGCCATTTCTTTAAACGGTTCAAAATAGATTCATTGACCCTCATGGCCTACCTGTCGGGTCCCAAGCTGCAGCCTTCTAGCCAAGCAACTACCCCGGTGGCCATGAGCACACCCCAGACCCCGAATTGGACATCTCACAACTCCAATGCCTCTATTCAATCGACCCTCACAGGCAGCAACGGCAATGGCACGAAACAGTACCCTGCTCCCTACAAGTGATTCTTGTGAAGTTCCGATCAAAGCAGGCTACTTCAAACAGCATGGTTGCTCTCATATTCTCTTTTTGTACAATCTTTTATGATACCCCGGTTGCTTTGTTCTTGTTGTACTATGCCTAGAAAGCCATGAAGCCATGAAATGAACCCAAACTTTTGTGAAAAGTTTCATAGGAGACTTTTACTCATATATAGTAATTCCATTCAAAATTGAGATCCACGTTCGATCAGTAATGAAAGACCGATCGTACGAACGTATGGAGCTTCCAAAGGTATTGCTTTGCTGAACTGCACGCTAAATGCCGCCAATGCAACTGGGATACGAAGAAAAAATACCCGGAAATGTATAAATACATAGTCACCGGGGAGTGAGATGAAAGTATACCATTTATTTACACTTAACCAGTTGCTCGATTCTGGTCCTGGGAGTTCAACGCATTGGAGCCATCCGCATCATCTTGCGTTTTACTCTTTTGGGCCTGGTCTTTCTTTTCTCCGCGAGTCTTTGCTTCCCATTGACTTTCCTCGGCGGAAATTAAAGCATGGAAACGCCCACCCTGTCCACGGGCAAGGTAGATGGGCTGTTCCTTACGGTCTGCCACGGCCTCGGTCACGAGGACAAATTTCACACTCGAGCCGGGCGCTTCGAACATGGCGTCACTGAGAATGGTCTCCATCTCAGTTCGCAGCGCGCGTGCGCCGGTGCCCATTGTGAAGGCATTGCCGGCGACTTTGTGGAGTGCCGGTGTGGTGAAGCGCAGCTCGATACCCGAGAGGGAGAATAGGGTCGTGTATTGGGCTAGAAGGGAGTTGCGGGGTTCGGTTAGGATGCGCATAAGTAAGGATTGAGAAAGTGCAGAGAGAGCGGCGGTAACGGGAATTCTGCCGATCAGCTCTGGGATGAAGCCGTAGCTTTGCAAGTCTGAGGGTGTTAACAGATCGAGTGCGTTGAAATAGGTTGGCTCGGCGCCAGAACCGGCTGGTGATGTAGAGGAGAAGAAGGGGAGGTGCTTCTTGTATAGTGCTTCTTCCTCAGATCCCGGAAGGATTGGAAGTGGCTGGTTGGTAGAGATATTTGGCGAGCCAGGGAAATCACTAGTGTTTGAGGTGGTCCGAACTGGTTGACCAAACCCTATGGATCCACGAGATATCCGGTCCATGATGGCTTTGTGCAGTCCAACGAACGCGCCAGAGAACACGAACAAAATGTTGTCCGTGCGCACATTGTACACTTCTCCCTTGGCGGCTGGATTGGGGTTGTTGGGTTGAAATGACCCATTCCCCAGAGGACTGTTGGAGGGATAGCTATTCGGGGCATTCGTTGCGCGGGGATTCTTCTCTGGCTTGGCCTGGACCTGCACGGTTGTGCCTTCAATGATCTTGAGAAGCGCCTGCTGGACTCCTTCGCCACCGACATCTTTGCCATGACTGACCTTTGCAGCTGCAATTTTGTCCACTTCGTCAAGAACAATAATCCCACGCTCTGCTTGCTCAACGTTGTAGTCCGCAGCTGCCAAAAGTCGGTGAACACACACTTCGGCGTCCTCTCCGATGTAACCGGCTTGTGTGAACACAGTGCAGTCGGAGATACTGAAAGGCACAGAAAGCACCCGAGCGAGAGTCTTTGCCATAAGTGTCTTTCCTACACCAGATGGACCAAGCAACAAAATATTGGACTTTTCAAGCTGTAGCGGCGACGTATCGGCGAAATCTGCTTGGTCCAAGGGGGTGTCTGGGCGGGATTTGGGGGCTTGAGGTATTGTAGCAGTCTTGCGCACGCCTGCAATGTCATCTGCTGTATCGAAAAATCAATCAGAAAATGAGCGAAAGCGCAAAACTCAATAGGTGATATACCGTCTAAGGGATGAATCTCGAGTGCTTCCCTCCGCTGACGCCTCGCGAGAGCCTCGGCTGCTTCTTCCTCTCGGCGCACTAACTCTTGCACGCGCTGGTAGTGATTATACACGGCGACACTGAGCACTTTCTTTGCGCGATCCTGACCGACCACATATTGATCAAGATATTGCTTTAAGACTTTCGGTGTGATGCGGGGAGCGCCGAAGGCCGGGGTTGATCCTAATGGCCCCGGAGTAGGACCTCCAGTCTCGTAGCTCCCAGTAAATGGTTGTGTTGTAAATTCTGACCGGTTAAATTGAGACGATGTGGGAAAGGTGTTGGAGCTAGACAGTTGGCGTGTTGACCGGCTGTATGATTTAGGAAGCCGACACCGGACAATGTCACGACGAGCCAAGGTCGCCGCGAGGCGAGGCTGTAAGTGCCGCCACAGCATTGCTGGGCGCCAGTGGATCACAGGCGGTTTATAAGAAGTGGGTAGAGAACCTTAAAGTCACAAGGTAAAGGAAGGATCTCGGGAGAATTGGAGAGCGATGGATTAGATACCGGATAGTTAGCCTTCCCCGCAGGTGATCTTATCTGATGAGTCATCGGGCCGATGAAGAGGCCGGGTGGACCGGCGGGTAAATTCAAAGACAATAACGATGTACCGAGTATGCCGATAGAGCGATTGCTTTATTTGATGCTCGAAGCCTTAAGATATGTTGTGTGCTTCATGTAATCTTGAAGGTCCTATTACTAGAAGAGCAACCCCCGGGCAACTGATCCATAATTTACTATATTAAGATTGGGAGATAACTCTTGTACCGGTGACGAATTACGACGTCCCTTGAACAAACGGTGTGGGTGGTAACTATGGATGGAATTGTGCTTGATAACATAAGCTGGTTAGTTCAAACCATAGCGTTCAATATTTCAGCTATTGGAAATTTGATTCTGATTCATGCGAGTGGAAAGACAGTAATTTAGTAAGATAAATACATGGGTATTTGATTATTGGTCTCTAATATCGAGGGCTGTTTGATGGCGTCTGTGGCCCCAGAAGGCGTTGAATGCCCCCAGGGATATAGGAGCTTGAACCGCAAAACCTGCTTGGCACCGTAGATTTCACCGTTCAGATCCTATAGAAGCAAGTGGTCCGATCGTGTTTTGGTTGAGCGTCGTACACTCCAGTTTATTTGCCTAAACTCAACCTTTAGCATTGTCCTTGGATTGTCATTGCCAGAATTCACTTGTGAGACAGATATTCACTGCCAGCAGCAGCAACCGGAGTCGTGGTTCAATCACCAAGAATCTTTTTATTTTCATCCTAGCCACCCTTATTTATTCGTCTTGAACACAGGCTGCTGTTCCATCGTCTGTGAGATGAAGTTACGGAGCGCCGACCACCGACTGGCCGTCGGGTTCGACTCGGTACTCGCCTCGCCATTGTTGGCAGCCGGAGCTGATGTGATGTTGGACATCTCGGTCAGGTTCTTGTTGAAACGGTCGCGCTCCAATCTTTCCATTTTTTCCCGGCGCTTCAGGGCGCCTGGCTTGTGTCTCAGGGTCTTCTGCTTGATGACATTCACTTGACTGGCGGCATCGTTGGATTCTTCAGCTTCGGGCAAGGCATCGGCCAAAGATTCGAGGTTGGCGACGAGTTTTTTTGATGCTCGTCGACGCTTGGGGGTCTTTTGAGAGTTTTTCTCGATCTTAGACACGAGGGCAGCATGCTTGATCTGACGCTTATCCCTCTTGCTCGTGCGAAATTCGTCACCAAAGACACTAGGTTTGGCTATCGCACCTCTGCCCGAGGCAGTTTTCGTCATTGATTTGCGAATGGGGGCCTGTGAAGATAGAACGATAATTAACCGGCTGAAAGTGGAACAAGATAAGTAATAGTGCATCTTACCATGTTGACATGTGAGATCTACAGCGGGGAGTTAACGAAAAGACGAAATTGCGACGGGAAAAGCGAAACCCCGTCGACTCCAATTGTTCACCGCCCGCATCCACTCTCCCCACTCCTTTGCCCAGGAACTCAACGCTGTTTGGCTCTCTCCTCAACTAATTAGTTCATGTGTGTGTCAAAGGCGAAAACAAAAAGTTATGCGCTAAATTGCCATCTCCGAAGTCGACTTTGCGTGTGACATCAGAAGTTTGTGATCAGAAGGCAATAATCCCGAAACAGGTTGGAATTATCGGGGTCCCAACGATAACTTGTATGGATATTCGTCTAAACCTACGTCGGATCTGCGTTCCTCACACCTCTATCGCCCTATTTCGACCTCGGTCAGCCCGGTTCCAGACCCGATTCATTATTCCACCCCGTTTGCCCCCGCCGGCCTCTTCTTTGCCTTTTAAACCCTTCTCCAGACCACTTTCCCACAGATCAATTATTTCTCCTACACACATCATGGGTTCTACAGCTCCTCATCAGCGCAAGCACAAGATCACGGTGGTGGGCTCCGGTAACTGGTAAGAGATTAGTCTTCAAAAAGAGCTGTGGATTTGTGCTAATTGTGTGCTTCCTCGACAGGGGCTGCGCCATCGCTAAGATCGTTGCCGAAAACGCGGCCGGAAACCCCAATCTCTTCGAGGAGAAGGTGGAGATGTGGGTATTCGAGGAAAATGTCGAGGTCCCGAAGACGTCTAAGAACTATAATGCCTCACTCGCCGGCCCTCAGAAATTGACTGAGGTGATCAACAAGGTCCATGAGAATGTCAAGTACCTCCCAGGAATCCAGTTGCCAGTCAACCTCCACGCCAATCCGTCCCTAGAGGATGCGGTGAAGGACAGCACGATTCTCATCTTCAACCTGCCCCATCAGTTTATTATCAAGACCTGCGAGCAAATCAAGGGCAAGATTCTCCCCTACGCTCGTGGCATCTCTTGCATCAAGGGTGTGGACGTCAACAGTACAGGTATCCACCTCTTCTCGGAGACCATTGGCAGAATCCTGGGCATTTATTGCGGTGCCCTGTCTGGTGCAAACATCGCCGGTGAGGTCGCCCAAGAGAAGTGGTCCGAGACCAGCATCGCCTATGACCCCCCACACTTGGACTCCCAGGCCCCCACTCCCGAGCGGTCGCCTTCTTCCTCCACAACCAACTTGGTGGAGTTCCAGCACAAGGATACCACGGGTCAAATCTCGGAGGTCAAGTTGCAGGCCCTGCCGTCAGCATACCCTCCTGTGGACCACCTCGTGCTGAAAACACTCTTCCACCGCCCTTACTTCCACGTGCGTGTTGTCAACGATGTCGCGGGTGTGTCTATCAGTGGAGCTCTTAAGAACATTGTTGCTCTGGCCGCTGGCTGGGTTGTCGGCATGGGATGGGGTGATAACGCCAAGGCGGCTATCATGCGCGTGGGCTTGATGGAAATGGTCAAGTTTGGAGACACATTCTTTAGCGCCACGATTGACAACCGCACCTTCACCGATGAGAGCGCCGGTGTGGCAGACTTGATCACCAGCGCCAGCAGCGGTCGTAACTTCCGGTGTGCCAAGTACAGCGTTGAGCGCAATCAGCCTATCGAGGAGATCGAGAGGACTGAGCTCAACGGCCAGAAGTTGCAAGGTACTTCTACTGCTATAGAAGTCAACAGTTTCCTGCGGACACAAGGCATGGAGGATGAGTTCCCTCTGTTCACTGCTGTTTACCGTGAGTTTTTCTTTTTTTTTTCATACTGTTCTTTTGACATGTGACGGCTCGATCCAAGCTAACATTGCACAGGTGTTTTGGAGGGAACCATGAAGGTCGAGGAGATTCCTTCTTACATTGAGCGGTAAAAAGCCCTTGAATGTCCTCTACTTCTATGTTCATGTTACTTATCAAACCATTTGGCTCTCTCTAGCCCCCCTCACGCCCGAGCCCCAGTTTCTCCGTCACAAAATTCCAATGGTAAGGATAATGGCGCTCGATTCAATTCTGCACGATTATAATTACGGCTGGATTCGGCATTGGACATGGCGTGTATAGACTTTCATGGCGTGTATTTATGAACTGAAGCGGGATTATTTACTAGACGATTTGAATCTTTAAAAGACTGTCAAAACAAGTGGATGCATAGCGACGTAGATGGTGTTGATAGCTTACCAAGGAAAATGAGTGCATGATGTCATTCCCCGCGCGGTCTGAGCTTTCTCCAGGAACATATGAGGGGAACGCTGGGTTCTCTTGTCTTCCGACTTTTCCTTCCCTGCTTTTAAATTCTTTCCTTCTCTCCTTAAATATTCTCTATCCTCTTCACTATTGCAGTGACAGTAAGGCGAATCGTTTGAGATTCTCCTGTACTCTCACAATCCGTTGGGTTTAATCGTTATCAACCCGTCGCGATGGCCTCCCCACGTCAGGTCTACTTGCTTCCTTTGAAGGATGACGGTTCTCCAGACGTGCCTGGTGGGTACATTTACCTGGCCTCTCCGCCAGAATCCGGATATGTGCTTCGATTCATCATCGAGGGAACGAGCTCCATTTGCCGACAAGGCAGTCTCTGGGTGAATATTCCCGAGGAGGGAAAGCCCTTTGAACGTCACTCATTCCGGGAGTTCAGGTAGATCATCCCAATTCTTCCTATATGTTGTGTAAATTGAGAGTGCCAGTTGCTGAATAAAAGTAGACTGCAGCCCAACTTCAGTGAGAACATTCAAATCGATATTCCTGTGACATTCGCGGGCGCGTTTGCTTTCTATACAACATTTTCTCCGCTGCCAGAGTTCTCGGTCGACAAGGTGTCTACCCCGAAGCCGACGAAGACACCTGTTCACTACATTGATGTGTCGCCCAAACTTACCGTTCAGGGGAAAGATTTGCCGCTTAATGCACTCTCTATCTTCTCGGTAATCTCAAAGTTCATGGGTCAATATCCAACAGACTGGGATAGACACCTTCGTGGGATCGGTCAGCGGAACTACAACATGGTTCATTTCACACCCCTGATGCACCGTGGCTCGTCCAACTCGCCCTATAGTATTTTTGATCAATTAACATTCGATCCCGCATTTTTCCCTAATGGAGAAGATGATATCGCTACATTGGTTGCGAAGATGGAGAAAGACTATGGCCTTCTCACATTGACTGATGTGGTATGGAACCACACAGCTAATAACAGCAAGTGGCTGGAGGAGCATCCCGAGTCTGGTTACAGTGTGGAGACCGCGCCATGGCTGGAGTCAGCCCTCGAGCTAGACACGGCGCTTTTGAAATTCGGCGATAGCCTCAAGGACGCCGGTCTTCCGACAGAATTCAAAACGGAGCAGGATCTAGTGACTGTTATGAACGCTGCACGCAAGGAAGCCATTGATGGAACTCGTCTATGGGAATTCTACGTTCTCGACGTAAAGAATGACGTTAAGAAGATTATAGACGAATGGATCAATGCAGACATCGATCCTGCGCTTGTCCAAAGCGGCGAGATGCAGCAATTCAAACACTGGTCGCTCACGCAACAAGCCAATGTTCTCCGCGAGCTTGGAATTCCGACCGTTCAGCAGATTCGCGGACGTTTTGGCCGCGCCGTCGACCCAAAGTTCGGAGCAGTTGCTCTAAATGTGCTATTTGGAGATTACGATAAGGGCCACACCGACCTTGCTGAGGTTGAACACGCCCTGTCCCACATACTCGATGAGGCCAACTTGCCATTCTACAAGGAGTATGATGCAGACGTCGATGCTATCATGGACCAACTGTTCAATCGTATCAAGTATCTCAGAATTGAGGATCATGGTCCCAAGATGGGTCCTGTCACCAAGGAAAACCCATTGATCGAGACTTACTTTACCCGCCTTCCTCTCAATGATATCACGAAAAATCACGACCCTAAAGCCCTGGCTTTAGTCAATAACGGTTGGATCTGGAATGCCGACGCGATGAAAGATAATGCCGGGCCCGATTCCAGGGCCTACTTACGCCGCGAAGTTATTGTGTGGGGTGATTGTGTAAAACTTCGATACGGATCCTCTCCTGAAGATAATCCTTTCCTCTGGGACTATATGTCGCAGTATACCCGTCTCATGGCTAAGTACTTCAGTGGTTTCCGAATCGATAATTGCCATTCGACACCGCTAGTGGTTGCAGAACATTTGCTGGACGAAGCTCGCAAGGTCCGGCCTGACTTGACTGTGTTTGCGGAACTATTCACAGGCTCAGAGGAGGCCGACTATGTCTTCGTCAAACGGCTGGGCATCAATGCTCTGATTCGGGAGGCCATGCAGGCTTGGAGCACAGAAGAGTTGAGTCGTCTTGTTCATCGTCATGGGGGTCAGCCGATCGGAAGCTTCGAGATGGATTTGCCTTCTGCCGGCAGTAGTCATGCTATTGCGTCAGCTAGGTCTCGCAAGAGTGGCGAAAAGATCACTCATATTCGGCCCTGTCCAGTTCCGGCCTTGTTCATGGACTGTACCCATGACAATGAACTCCCTGCCCAGAAGCGCGATGCTCGAGACACTCTTCCAAATGCTGCACTTGTGGCAATGTGTGCCTCCGCGACTGGAAGTGTAATGGGCTACGATGAGGTGTATCCCAAACTCATTGATCTTGTCCATGAGACTCGACAATACACCTCTCACTCTTCCAATTCCGAGACTCTAGCCGTCGGGTCTGGAGAGGGTGGGATTGGTGGTGTCAAAAAGGTTCTGAATGAACTCCACACTATGATGGGAGTTGAAGGCTACGACGAAACTCACATTCATCACGATGGTGAATACATCACTGTGCACCGAGTCCACCCTAAAACCAGAAAGGGTATCTTCTTGGTCGCGCATACCGCATTCCCTGGCAATGAGAGTGGTGCGATTCTCGCCCCAACTCATATTGCCTGTACCAGTGCCAAGCATATCGGATCGTGGCAGCTTGAGGTTGATGCCAGTGATGAAACAAAGGCGAAGATCCTAGGCGATGACAAGTATTTGAAGGGTCTTCCCAGCCATACCCGGGATATAGAAGGTGCAGTGATCGAGCAAGATGACAAAGATCTCAAAATCTCCGTACTGGGTTCCCTTGTTCCCGGATCTATTGCTCTTTTCGAGACATGGATTCCCGGAGCAGACCATGCCAATGGATTTGAAAACAACCTCGCCGATGGTGCAGACGACGCATTCTCTGAGCTCAGCTTGATTGATCTGAACTTTGTGCTATACCGGTGCGAAGCTGAAGAGAGAGATTCTAGCGACGGTCAGGACGGTATTTACAGCATTCCAAAGCTTGAACCTATGGTCTATGCTGGTCTTCAGGGTTGGTGGAGTATTCTTGAGGATATCATCAAGTATAACCAAATTGGCCACCCGCTCTGCGATCACTTGCGAGAGGGTCAGTGGGCTTTGGACTACATCACTGGTCGCCTGGAGAGGGCGGCTACTAGGGAAGGATGTGTCGCCTTGAAAACTCCTGCTGCATGGCTTCGTGAGAAGTTCAACGCTGTCCGCGACTTGCCCAACTTCCTTTTCCCAAGGTATTTCGCAATCGTTCTGCAGGTTGCTTACAATGCTGCGTGGAAGAGGGGTATTCATCTCCTGGGAGAGAACGTGCGGCATGGCCAGGAATTCATTCATCAATTGGCTATGGTCAGCGTACAGCAAACTGGCTATGTGAAATCCGCATCCTTGTGGCCAACCAAGATGGTCCCCAGTCTTGCAGCCGGACTGCCTCATTTTGCAGTTGACTGGACAAGATGCTGGGGAAGAGATATTTTCATTTCTATCCGTGGCTTGTTCCTTTGCACTCAACGCTTTGATGACGCTAAGGAGCATATTCTCGCTTTTGCAAGTGTAATCAAGCATGGCATGATTCCCAATTTGCTGAGCAGCGGAAAATTGCCACGATACAATTCTCGGGACTCTGTCTGGTTCTTCCTCCAAGCCATCCAGGACTTCACTGAAATGGCACCCAACGGCATTGATATCTTGCAAGAGAAGGTTCCAAGACGATTCTTGCCTTATGACGACACTTGGTTCCCCTTCGATGATTCTCGGGCATACTCTCAGTCTCCGACTCTTCTCGAATGCGTCCAGGAAGTTTTCCAAAGACATGCTTCTGGCATTTCTTTCAGAGAATACAACGCTGGTCCCGACCTTGATTGTCAGATGAAGCCTGAAGGTTTCCAGATCGACGTTAAGGTTGACTGGGAAACGGGTCTGATTTTCGGTGGCAATCAGGATAATTGTGGTACTTGGCAAGACAAGATGGGAGAAAGTACCAAGGCTGGAAACAAAGGTGTCCCTGGAACGCCCCGCGATGGTGCCGCTATTGAGATTACCGGTCTCGCCTACAGCGCTCTGGCATGGGTGGCACGTCTGCATGAATCCAAGGCGTATCCCCATGAAGGCGTGGATATCTCCGATGGCAAGAAGATTACTTTTGCTGAATGGGCGCGCAAAATCAAGGACAACTTCGAGCGGTGCTACTATGTTCCCCTTGATCCCAGTGAAGATAGTCAGTACGATGTGGACGCGAAAATCGTCAACCGCCGAGGAATCTACAAGGATTTGTACAAGTCTGGCAAGCCCTACGAAGACTACCAGCTCCGCTCCAACTTCCCCATCGCAATGTCAGTCGCTCGGGATCTATTCACGCCTGCAAAGGCTCTTATCGCTCTGTCAATTGCCGACTCCACAATCGTGGGCCCTGTGGGTATGGCGACACTGGATCCCTCCGATCTCAACTACCGTCCATACTACATCAACTCCGATGACTCCAGTGACTTCGCGACTGCCAAGGGTCGCAATTACCATCAGGGTCCAGAGTGGGTCTGGCAACGCGGTTACTTCCTCCGTGCTTTATTGCATTTCGATCTCCTGCGCCGAAAGACGCCCGGAGAACGGACTGAATGCTTCCAGCAGGTCACCCGACGACTCTATGGCTGCAAGAAGGCATTGCAAGAGAGTCCTTGGAAAGGGCTAACAGAATTGACGAACAAGACTGGGGAGTATTGTAATGATTCGGTAAGTTACTTTCGTTTCGATAAATTTCTCATTTGTACAGGATACTAACGAAAAACACAGTCACCCACCCAGTCCTGGTCCGCCGGATGTCTGCTTGACCTTTACTATGACGCATCGATGCATTCCTAAATTTGGATTGGGGCTTTTAGATAAACGATTGGATATTCCCCTGAACATATCGCATAATTAGATATCATGCATGAAAGATTTTCCCAGCTTTTGACTGGATTCATGGTTGCACCACGTCAGGCTGTGACACAAAATAGATCATCTATAGAGCGCACTTCAAACCTGAGTCAATGTAGATATCTGGCGTTGGTATGATCATGCAATCCCCGGATTATGCCCAGGGGTGCGTATAAATGATGACTCATCCATAGTTATGCAGCCGGCTCCGGAAGCCGTCATTGAAGGTTAAGGTTTGATGAACAGCAAAAAACAAAGGGGGAGACTCCCCATTTATTCACAATCTCCCTTTGAAACCCAAATCGAAGGACTCGACAATCGCGGCAACAACAGAAATCGAATCGTCTCCAACATTTGACCATCTCATCCCCCTGACGTCAGTCATTTCAGTGGGCCCGCATGCCCTTGACGAACCATTAGCTCCGACAGCACTCGCTCGTCGAAGCCATCACGGAAACCCGAAGTGCGGAGATCCCTTATAAAACATATTCATGTCTCTTACGGCATCAGCAGCCTGCGCTGCGTTGACATTGCTTGCCGACAAGCCTGATGACGGAAGCAAAAGGCCATGGCGTCCCAACGACCCTGTGAAAGAACAGCGCGATCTATACACGCAGTTTGTAATTAGCTCTGCGCTTGGTCTCATCGCCTTTTTGACGTTCTGTGTAAGTATCTCTGTTACTGTGAGGTGTCGTCAATCGCTGACTGCCTTGCTTATAGATTTTGCGACCAAAATGGACCGAGTTGTATGCTGCCCGACGACGACAAAGAAATGCTGCTTCGCAGTTACCTGAGCTTCCAGATACCCTTTTTGGTTGGATTCCCGTTCTTCATCGGATTACAGAAGAGGAGGTGCTGCAGTCTGCGGGCCTAGATGCATATGTGGTATGTTCGAATGCTATGGCTTCTCCAGACAATGCATGGACACTTGCTGACTTGAGTCTTTGGGCAGTTCATGTCTTTCTTCAAGTTTGCGATCCGATTTCTTCTGGCTGTCTTTATCTTCGCTGTTGCCATCATCCTCCCTATGCACTACAAATACACCGGCCAATATGGAGTTCCTGGCTGGGATAACGTCCCCGGCAATGATACCATGAGTTCACTTGGTGGAATCGAAAAAGAAAAGCCAGTTACAGACCCTGGATATCTTTGGATATACGTACTGTTCGCATATGTCTTCAGTGGCTTGGCCATCTACATGCTTCTTGACGAGACAAAAGTAATTATTCGCACTCGGCAATCCTATCTCGGGAATCAGACAAGCACCACTGATCGCACCATTCGTCTGTCCGGAATCCCGAATGACTTGGGAACCGAAGATAAGATCAAAGAATTCGTGGAAGGCCTGCGAGTCGGCAAAGTGGAGAGTATCACGGTGTGCCGAAAGTGGCGGGAGCTGGACGAATTGATCGACGAGAGAATGAAAGTCATTCGTGAACTTGAGAGAGCATGGACAAAACATATGGGATACAAGCGACCAAAGAACGATGGAAATACATTGCCGCTGACGGAGCAACAACCCCGTGATGCAGACGATGAACGGTCCGGACTCCTGTCCGGACACGAGAACGAGCATGTCTCGGAGTATTCGAATGAAAGACCCAAGACTCGTATCTGGTATGGTCCATTGAAGCTTCGTTTCCGGATGATCGATGCAATCGATTACTATGAGGAGAAGCTACGGAAGATTGATGAACATATCAAAAACGCCCGAGAGAAAGAATATCCTACTACCGAGATTGCTTTCGTCACGATGGAGTCAATCGCCGCGTCTCAAATGCTTGTTCAAGCGATCCTTGATCCACACCCAATGCAGATGTTCGCTCGACTTGCACCGGCGCCGGCAGATGTTATTTGGAAAAACACTTACTTGTCGCGTACTCGACGAATGGTTCAGTCATGGTCCATCACCATGGTCATTGGATTCCTCACCGTGTTTTGGTCTGTGCTCTTGGTTCCTATTGCCTCATTGCTGGAGCTGAAGACACTTGAGACGATTGTCCCTCGGCTGGCAGAATTCCTCCAGGAACATCCGATCGTCAAGTCGTTGGTTCAGACCGGATTGCCTACCCTCGCATTCTCGCTGTTGACAGTAGCTGTGCCTTATCTCTATGAGTGTAAGTCTTTGAACATACCCGTTCTGTAGTTCAAATCGCTAATTATCTTTGCAGGGCTCTCGAACAACCAAGGAATGGTGTCACGTGGGGATGTTCAGCTCTCCGTGATCTCCAAGAATTTCTTCTTCTCGTTCTTCAATTTGTTCCTTCTGTTCACTGTGTTTGGAACAGCGAGTGGCTTCTATGGGTTCTGGGAAAGTCTTCGGGATGCATTTAAAGATTCTACAACAATTGCCCTCGCATTGGCCAATTCCCTCGAAGGCCTGGCTCCATTCTACATCAACCTGTTGATTCTGCAGGGATTGGGCCTTTTCCCCTTCCGACTCCTCGAATTCGGAAGTGTCGCACTCTACCCCTTCCAATTCCTATCAGCACGCACGCCACGGGAATATGCGGAGCTGTCAACTCCTCCCAAGTTCAGCTACGGTTTCTCCATCCCGCAAACCATCTTGATATTAGTCATCTGTGTGGTTTACAGTGTGTTCCCGAGCTCGTGGCTGATCTGCCTATTCGGGCTGATCTACTTCACAGTCGGCAAATTTATCTACAAATACCAACTGCTATATGCCATGGATCACCAGCAACATTCCACTGGCCGCGCGTGGCCGATGATTTGCAATCGCGTGTTTGTGGGGCTGTTGGTTCATCAGCTGGCCATGATTGGTGTTCTGGCTCTGCGCCGAGCTATCACGCGGTCGCTACTCCTGGTGCCACTTCTAGGCTTCACCGTTTGGTTTTCATACTGGTTTGGGCGTACATACGAGCCCCTGATGAAGTTCATTGCCCTCAAGAGTATCAATCGGGACCAGCCGGGTGGTGGCGACATCTCCCCCTCGCCTTCATCGACCTTCTCACCGCCATCAGGCCTAGATCGCGATAGCTTTCCGATACGCATTGGCGGACATGACCTCGATTTGCGGCTGAGGAAGTACGTCAACCCGAGCTTGATTATCCCGTTGGATGCTGCCTGGCTCCCTGGTCCCAACCCCGCTCGAGGCAACGGAAACGGCGCGTCCGCGCTGGACGTCCATCCGACACAGAGCGTTTGATCTCGCTGGTTGTGTAGGTTCGCCTGATCTACCCCTTGTGCCGTTTGTCAGTATACTCCATTCCATTTCTGCATGTGTCTTTGACCCGTCATGTTTTACGATCTTGATACCTTGTTCGCATTTCACGATCTTGTTCTGATGTATTTTCATGGTTATGATATCCTTGTATGAAATGATTGTTTTCCTGTTGTGGGCCTGTCCCTCGTTATTCCCCTCCCGCGCAGTGATTGAGTTTGTTATTTAGTTTTCCAGTCCCCTCGTTTATGTGGTTCAATGTTTATGTCAAACACGAATATAGAGCCGGCATAGAATTGGCTTATTGTGTCTGGAAAGAGAAGTCGTCTAGAATTCATTGGACTTGACAAGTCCTTTTACTTCTGGGCTTATATCTAGGTCGCTAGTGAGGCGCAATCGCTATCATCTGTAAGAATCAACCGAGTCCCTAAGACTAATCGCATTTGGAGCACCCGGCGCACCGAGAGGGAACATGATTGAGAGCGGTATGGGAACGGAGCTGTAGATACATTTACTCGGTGTATACGATACCATAATTATCTTGCGTCAATGCTATTTCTGGCCTTCTCCTTCTCAAAGCGCAAATCTGTCTGTACGATACTGGTCCGTGGATTTCGTCGCTTTCTAATTACCCCTCAGGCGTGACCGGCTGCCTTTCGGACGTCCAAGGCAGGCTCCAACCGAAGTACGTCTGTATCTCGGATTCCTCGGCAAAGACATCAGGCTCGCTTAGGTTTACTTTTTTTCTCGCATTCCTCAGTTCCAAAATAAGTCCGCGAAAAACGTGGAAGTGTCTGAGCACAAAGTCAATAGGTCCCGAAGAAAGGGATGAGAAAGCCAAACCCTTATATTTTTTCTCTAGCGAATGTAGAAGTATTTGGATGTATATAGCTTGGTACAGTTGTCAAGATAAAAGGTGCAGGAAAGGTGCGTCTCAAGGATTGGCCTCAATGAGACAACCTGAGACATTATTCTGCTAGGGGCCACACCCCAATTGTGAATTTGTAAACATCGATATGAAAACAATATACCGTCCAATAGCCATTATTTGCATCTGGAGATTATTGGCTTCGCAAACCGGTTCGATCTAACCCACATCCCAGGCATACTTCGAACATCCACAGAATCGCCGTCTTCTGGAATCCCTGGGGTCCACATGGTCGAGGCACATTCCTGAGCAGTGGGGGATGGCACAATTTGTCTCTCTTGCGGTGAGGAGATGAAACAGTAAGAAAAGAACAGAGACAAAACAAACCATCCTTGGGCGTTCAGGAATGTGGGATATGCTGAACTAAATACTAGTTGTTCAAGGCTGTTAGTATTATCTTCTTGTTATGACCATCATCACACGATTAGAGACATCTGCATGTAAGCAGTGAGGTTCGACAGTGCCAAGCCATGCGCTGCATCCGGGGCGCATTCCTCGATTCTCTCCCCGAGATCTGGAATGTCAGTGTTGCAGATTGATAGTGGGCACTTCCTTTGGAACAGGGCATCTTCTTAGACTGCAACACGGCTCTATGGCTGCTACGGTTGATTGAATTGAACCATGGGAAGTCGAATAAAATCTCGATGCGTAAGTTGAGCTTGATGGTTAGGCCTATGGATCACCAAACCCTAAACTCCCGTTGCCTCCAACGTCCATTCCAGCATGGAATGACAGTAGCTGCATTTACTGCATCTACTACATGACTGCATGATGTACTAGTATTAATCACCTACCTAAATAGGCATATTCGTTTCTTACATGTCGCTTGACGTGCTCCACTTTTTGTCGGATTTCCGCGAGGTACATCTAAGACTCACTCTATTTTGTGAGTGTCGACGTCAGACTCGTAAGATTGTAATTCATTTTAACTAGATGGCAAACTTAGCTTATTGCCTCTGGAAATGATGAGGTGCAGTATTTAATTAAACAAGTCAGCCCTTGCCTCGCCCTCGAGTCTCCCGGGTCTCATTTTGTCGTATCAAATTCCCGTCGCACCCGCTTTCAGACGTGAGGCCAATACAACCTTGCACTTGGCACGTACTTCATTCAAACCTTAGTGTCACGAGCTGTGTATATACTTTAATAAAAGTAAGTGGACACCCTTCTTGAATTAAAATTGCTGGCAGTTCGGGTTTGAGAGATTGCAGATCGGTGGGCTTACTGGTGTTCTAGGCGATTCATCCGGTGGACGTTTAGTGCTGTATAGACCCGGTTGAGTGAAAGATCTTTTCCCTGGGTCTTTGCGTCACTAAATTACGGTCTTGGGTCGTGCTATTTGGTGTATTTTCAACTGAAGGCACGCCAATCAATTAATTGCCGTCAAATTCACTTCACATCCAATCCCAACATCTGATTTGCAAGAAATGTTCTGGATCGAACAAAGGGATTGAGATCCAATGAATAGTGGATCACTTCCTTTGCTGGAAGGTTATATCAACATGCCTGCGCTGCGGTCTTCCGGTCAAGACTATACCCGTCTGATGTCCAAGAATGCCTCTACCACGCACACAAAACGAAACTCAACGAGGCCAATACCCCCAATTTTGAATAAGTCTGTGACAAAATACATGGCACAGGGTCAATATCTCTCAAAACGCAATTCAACGAGCAGCTCATCTCGTCCCGCTGCAAATATTGCACCGGCAGAGATCCTACTGGAGATTTTCTCCATGCTGACACCGCGGGACTTCGACAACGCCCGGCGGACATGCTCACAGTGGATGCGAATTAGCCTAAACCACAAGCTACTTGAGAACATGTTGAAAAGAGCAGGGTGGTGGGATGCATGGCTGCAAGACTGTCAAACGCCACGCGTCTCTCGGTTAGATGAAAGCGAGGTCTGGAGAATGAGCCGCCGCTTTGCGACAGAATGTCTCCTTTCGGGGCGAAAATTGAATGCCGAGAAGCCGGGGTTTTTGACTACCGCTGTGGTAGACTTTTCGAATCTGTCGGATTCTGCAAGAAGAACATCCCGCACTCGACTTCAGCCGGTTTTGCAGACCGAAGGCAAACGATCCGGGTCAACTTTCAGCATTAGCAGTTGCAGCAACTACCTGCTTGTAACGACAGGCTACACGATCTATATTTATTATCTTTCGGGTCAACGGTCTAGGCCAGCATCTGCACCCTTCAGCCATGGCATAGCGCTAGTCTCACGCATCTCGTGTCCGTTCGAGATTCTGTCGGCCGTCATCGACACCAGTAAGCCACAATTCACCATCGCTGCATTGCTCTGCAGTCGTGTTGGCATGATCTGCAACTTGGATATGGCTTGGGCCAAAGACTCGACTACCAAAGGATCTCATTTCAACAGCAAAATGGCCACCTCATCCCGCCACTTCTTCTACAACATCTGCACAGTCGACAACCCACCCCGGACAGTTGCTCTCTGTCCAGGGCGGCCGATCGTCGCTTTCGGCTGCGCCGCTGGCATCGAGATTCATAGCCTGAACGAAACAAAGCACCAGGAGCAACGCAGACACTTCACCCTCCCCCAACCCTCCGAAATCCTTCATTTCCTCCCAAGTAGTCCGGAAACACCCAACGAGCTACGTCTCATTTCTTCACTATCCGGACCAGGCTTGCACGAATGCAAATGTCCCCCTTCACCTTCACCTTCCCCTTCATCTGCCTTGGCATCACCAAAACTCGACCCAAAAAGCAACCAATTCCATTTCCTCGCAGATATTCAGTCCTTCAACCGCCGCATCATTCCCCACACCCCATCCCGCAGCTTCGTCCGGGCAACACACTGTCACCACTATCGTGCCGTCCCCATTAACGACGGTTTGCATATCATGTTCATCGAGCCACGCACAAGCCTGCTATGTATCGGCACCGACGCTCCAATAGGCGGGCCAACAAGCCTAACCCGCGCATTCGTCTGCGTCCCGCCACCTTTCTCAAACACTCAAAACCGACAAATCAAGACACCACCCCCATCCCCATCCCCCTCAAATACAAATCCGCCTCCAACAGACCTCCCAGTCCCATCAACCTTCACCGCTGGCTCCGACCTCCGCTGGGGTCTCCGTATTGTCGCAGTCTATGGCGACCGCCTCGTGCTGTACTCGATTCCCCTGGACGTATTCAACGTCATCCGCAAAGAGCGTGAACGTCAGGGCGACGGGGTGATGGGTTCCAGCGATCTCGCACTCGACTGGTACATTGACTCGGAGCGATCCCGCAAGCGGCGCGAGAGTCTGGTGCAAAACCAGAATGGGGATTGGGATTTCCTGTTGTCTGTCCCATATCGGCCTACCGCTATGATGTGGCCGTTCAAGATCTATGGCAAGGAGATTGGGTCTGTTAAGGGGACTGTGGAGCTTGCTTTGCAGTCTTCTGAGGGTGGTGTCAGGGTTTGGGCTTTTGGGAAGGATGGCAAAGCTACGGTTTTGGATGTTGATACTGGCGATGCTCCCACCCGGTCTCTTGGTGTTGGTTCTGATGGGGAATTGGAGGACCTTGGTATCGTTCAGCGGGCTTGCTCAACTGGGATACGTTCGAGAAAACGCAAGTTTGAGGAGGTGAAGACAGGGTTTGCGGGTCGTCATGGTGCTGGTCGCTATTCGGCTGATGGAGTCAATGTCAAGCCGTGTGCTGCTGGCGTTCACGGTATACATCAGGATCCATCTGTTCGACGCTCATCTTTTGCAGCTTGCATTATAGATTTTAAGATTCCCTTGTATTAATATGATTTGTGAATATACTACTCTCGGATGTCCAGGTACTGAAGGTCGTGTTTGTAGTCGCCTTGGTCTTCCTCTGTTTTCCTATTTTGTCTGTTTTGTCTCTTTCTCGTTTCTTCCCTTTCCTCCCTCCCCCTCCCCTCTTCCTCTTCTTTCATCTCTCATTTCCCCTGCTTTAGGAATTCTTATATTCTTACACTCACTCTCATCTCACCTTTCAGCGTCCATCTTGGGAGCATAGTAAGTTGACATCTATTGAACTATGGGCACAACTCCCCTCGCCAGTCTCCCTCGAGACTGCTGGCTGAAGATATTAGAGTATCTGCCAAACCAAGATTCGAACAACTTGTCAAAGGTTTCACACGACACTCGTGCCTCCACTGAGCCTTTCCTGTATCGGTCAATTCACTGGGACTGGCAGCATCCCCCCATTGATAAAATCCTGCTCCTCCTCCGGACTATCTCCGAGCGGCCAGAGCTGGCTTCCTACATCTGGCATGTCAGTCTGGTATGGTGGGACGTGGAGTCCCGGAGAACAGAGGTCACTGTCCCCGAAGGAAGGGCCGAATGGAACAAGATGATGCTAGAATATAGGCACACTTTGATTTGGGCCCGGAAGCTTGTTCGAGACGCGAACTTCCCGGCAAATCGCGATATCAGATGGCTCGGACGGCTTTTTGATGGAGACGCCTACGCGTACGCCACAGTGCTGATCTTGCAACTTCACAACCTTCGCAGCCTTCGACTAGACTTTTCATTCGTGCTTGAAGAGGGCTTTCCCGGGGAAATGTTGCATCACTCTCTCTTCGGCGACGCACCCCTTGGCATGTTAAGTCAATTCTCAAAATTGGAAATGGTCGACTATGGAAGCAACTTTCCTCCCACTGAATTACGCGACAATATCAAACTGCCAAGAAGCTGTCAGTTCATCCCTTGGTTCTACCTTCCTTCCTTGAAGGTTCTCGAGATATGGCTCCTTAGTGTGGAGGGTATTTCTGTCCTCCCTGAGAAGACACCGAAAATACCCTTGAATTTGTCAAAATTGCGCAGTCTTGTTATTTCCAAAACATCTCTTTTGCCTGAGGAAATCGCTTCGCTGCTGTCTCAAGTGCCATATCTGGAGTCCTTACATGTGGGTATGGTCTACAAATGCCGCGCAACAGCCGAATTTCTCAAAGCACCCGAATGCCTCCTTCGTTCCTTGGAAACTTCAAGTCAAACGATCGAACATCTCTCTATCAGCTTAGAGCTTCTCCCATGTTGTCTACAAGCCTTCACTCTGCGTGTGAGGAATCAAGCTGGTAAGGCTTTTTGTGGCATGTTGATGAAGTTTCCCAAATTAAAAACGGCATCTCTACCGCTCAAATTTCTCATTGGCTGTGGTACCCCTTCCTGGGAACTTCGCGATGTACTGCCATCAACTCTCGAAGCCATTCATATAAGCCATGATCTCTGGCCAGCCTTAGGCCTGACGGAATTCGGAATGCAAACACTCAAGGCATTTGAGTTACTAATGAGACACAAACAGGATGGTTCTCATCCTTACCTGAACACCTTCTCCTACCAGGGAATGCTTCAGTTTGACAATGAACTCAATGCTGTGGGCTTCCTTTCCCGGAGCAACTACATCTACTTGGTTAAGCAGGAAGCAATGCATCTATTCTGCCGCAGGAAAAGGTACAATCTATTTTCTCAGTATTCTGACTGCACACATGGTTTCATGTTGAGGGGTGTGATCCTGGTAGACAACGTCGTCTACCGGCTCCCTTGGCCGTTCGTTGGGGTCGATGAGCTCCCCACAAGCATGCCTCAACATTTGAGGATTACTGCCCAATCGAACGGGGCCAATGTGTAGACTCATTGTATGAATAGCAGATTTTTGAAATGTCTCAATGTCTCCATAGTGAATATGACCAACTTAAAAAAAGAACTTCCAGCCAAGGTACAAGCAATTTAGGCCAAGTCTACGCAGGGGCATAGGGGCCAGGGTTACTTTCGGATTTAATGCATACAATGATGAGAACGCACACCTAGGCTTTTAGCCTATTGCACTAAACACGATCCTATCTACCGAACTGCTCTTCCTCGACCCCTTCCGCAGGCGCCTTTCTGCGCCGCCAATCGGCGAGTGTGTTCTTCTAAAAACCTTTTCTGTACTTGCCTTGGTGTTTCTCCATTTCCGTTGACAATTCCTTCAGATGTCCCGGAAGTCAATAGCATTTAAACGGGTCTTAATATCTTGGCGGCATACCAAGTCGGCTTCGAGGTAGCCGTAGACCGATCGGCCCGGTATCTCCACTATAAATGCCGCTGCCCTAAGTGGGATCTTCGCTACTGCTAAAAAAAAGAAAGTCGTAGCAAAATTGCCCTAGGGTGGAACGTGTTGAGCTTCAAACCCGAAAGAAGTAAAATCATTGAACTTTTTATCCACTGTGACACGCTTAAGAAATGCCCCGTCGTAAATGAACCTGAATATCTTAACACAGCTTATTTCGTTTCCGATTTTTCCCGACGAGCGCGAACACCTTGAGCCAAAGTCGCCAGTACTGACTCGGTGTCCTCCCAGTTGATGCAGGCATCTGTGATACTGACACCGTATTTGAGACCGGCCTTGCCCTCCGCGGAGACCTTCTGGTTGCCTAGCGCAGGTCAGTATAAACAGCTTTCGACAGATAGTAAAAACGTTCGAAAAACTCACCCTCGTTGATGTTACTCTCAATCATAACACCCATAATAGCATCCTCACCGGCAGCAAGCTGCTCAGCAACCACAGCAGCGACCTTGGGTTGGTTCTTGTGGTTCTTCTCGGAGTTACCGTGGCTGCAGTCAATCATAAGACGAGGACGCATGCCCTTGGCAATAAGCTTAGCCTTGGCATCCGCGATGCTGGCAGCATCGTAGTTGGTGCCCTTCTTGCCTCCGCGAAGGATAACGAAGCAATCGGGGTTACCGACGGTTCCCACGATAGCGACAACACCGGGCTTTGTGACGGACAGGAAGTGGTGGGGGTGCTTAACGGAGCCAATGGCATCAACTGCGACATCGAGCGAGCCGTCGGTACCGTTCTTGAATCCGACGGGGAAGGACAGACCGGAGGACAGCTCGCGGTGGACCTGAGACTCGGTGGTGCGCGCACCGACGGCACCGACCGACAGACAATCGGCCAAGAACTGGGGGGAGATTGTGTCGAGCATCTCGCTGGCGATGGGCATGCCCTTGTTGGTCAGGTCGACGAACAACTGGCGCGATACGCGGAGACCCTTGTTGATCTTGAAACTGTTGTCGATATCCGGGTCGTTGATCAGGCCTTTCCAACCGACGGTTGTGCGGGGCTTCTCGAGGTACGAGCGCATCACGATCAGCAGCTCATCGGCGTACTTCTCCTTCATCTTCATTAGGCGATCGCAGTATTCCAGGGCCATTTCCGGGTCGTGGATGGAGCATGGTCCGATGACCACCATCAGACGCTGGAGCTTGGTATCTGTGCCATGGACAATCTCGACGGCTTCATTTCGTCCCTCGAGTACGGTCTGTCGTGACTTCTCGGTCAATGCGATCTCATGCTGAAGGAGATTGGGTGGGGTGAGAGGGTTGTAGCCGAGAACTAGAGCTTGTTAGAGACCAATTACGCGTAAAATGAAACTGTCGGACTTACTGCGAGAGTCTTCCAAATGACTGTGGTTGCCCACATTAGGGTTATCAATGAAGAACTGTGGAATTGGCGACGTCAGAGGTGTAAAATTAAAAATCAATGAGGGGCTTGACTCACCGACATCGGAGGCAGAGGGGAGGTGAAGAGGGCAGTTTTTCAAGGGCAATTGAGGGAAACGGAAGTAATTGCAGTGAACAGAAGAATACCAAAATATAAAAATAGAGAGAAACCTTGGAGCCGCTCGCGAATGAGTCAAAAGCTCAGAGTATAAGAAGTTCCACGTGATCCTCGGTGAACTTGGGCCGGCGCTGGAGTTCCAATCACGGCGATCCCATTTATAAAAAGAAATGTGGGAAAATGTGGACTAAAACATATCATATTGATATTTCGGTATAAGAATCAGGCCACTTGCATGCAATACTGCTCATCCTTGTGTCATCCTCCGAAATAATACATGTAGGTGATTTCCTAAGCCCCGTGTCTTCAGTCTTCAGATTGGCCCTTGTTGCACCCGACGGTCGAGCTCCTGCAGTCCACGAACCAGGTCTTGACATATATCTGCATGCTGTTCCTTAACATATTGCATCTGCTGTCGGTATAGCTGCATTCGTGCTTCTTGCGCCTGGAACAGGTCGTCAAGGATCCGACTACATCCCTCTCGGTAGATCTCCAGGACTCGACTGATAGTGGCCTTTTCTGCCGCCAGCTGAGTGGACAAATTCTAAACGCCAGTTAGCACGGTCCCACTCACATAAACAGTATCGACTAACCAAATTGGTTTGTTGAAGCAGGTGGTGCGCGTCTTTCTGCGCCACTTGCAAAGTTGATATCCATTCCATATCATCATGATCACCCCTTGCAGAGGATTGATTCGATTTATCAGCTGACTGTGTTGACCCTGATATATCTGTTCGGGACGATTGGTCAAGATACTCGTGATTCTTTGGAGCGCTGCCTAATGCTCTCTCGTCGATCGTTCTCTGGGAAGAACTTGGTCCAGTCGTCGATGCTTTCTCGGAGTGGGCCCCATCAGCAGTATCCTCCTGGGAGAACGACGGGCGATGCTTTTTAGGCGGTGGCCATGGATGAGATTTCGCCAGTTTTTCCGTTTGGATCCCATATTCCAGGAATATGTCTCTCTGAAACTTGGTCCACATGAGCCCTTCATATTTACTCTCAGTAGAGATACTGCATGAGCTTCGATCGTATTGACTTGGACTGGTGTGAGTGACAATGATTGTCTCTTCGTGGCCACTTTCGCCGTCCAAATCAAACTGAGGCGAAACCATGCTCTTGGCTGACTGAGGCATGAGTCGAGGACTACCGTTACCGTCGACAATGCTGGTCCTCATGACTGATTTTGGGGGATGGGGAGATGCATAATTCGGTTCCATTAGGGATTCATTGGTGAGAAGTGGCTTTTGAGACTCCGGGGTATGGCTACCCTCGCGTCCCTCAATCCCTGCTATGAGATCATTGAGTTTTCCTACCTCTGATATCCCCGAACTGTCTGCCTGGCTTTCGTAAATGTTAGTGGCGTGTGAAGGGGTGGTCGGTGCGGATCTCATGGGCTGCAGGGTTGCAAATCCGGGGATATGTTCCATTTCCATGTGGTAATCAAGGATTGAAGGGCTGTTTCCCATCAAGCCTCTGCCGGCTTCAAATTCTGAAGAACTCGCTGGAGTGGACATTCTGTCATCGCCCAGGAGCTTCCAGAAGCTTGCGTCATCCAGCTGTTCTATCTTCTCTTCCTTAGGCGGAAGTGTTTTGGTAATCAATGCTGGATTGACAGTCTCAGGCTCGGTTTGGTTCGGGGGTATTTCAACAGGAATTGCTTTGTCCAGTACTCTTCGAATATCTGAGGATTCCAACACTGTTTCGATCGGCATTTGGTCAGACTGCTGCTTTCTAGGAGATTCCTGGGGTTGCACTGAATCGGAGGAAATGATGAGAGGTGCATTTCGGTCATTGACTGGCTCGTAATGAGAAGGCTCTGCTCCGTGGAGCGCAAGCATCAGCTTGTTGCCAACACTCTGTGCTCTACCACCATTTTTGGGATGACTCTTGTCATGAACCGTCTTGGCCTGGCTGCTTCGTTCCTTTGGAAGTGCCCTTGACTCCAGGATGGTGACCTTTGAAGGAGTGATGCGAGACGGTCCTTTGAGGTCGATGTCGGAACTTGAGGATACCTCGGGCATCACATAGACAGATTTGCCTTTATCTGTTTGTCTATTGGACTGTGCCCGATGCTCCAGGATGCTGACTTTTGAAGTACGGGATGGCCCTTTGCCATGGTCTTCGAAATCCGAGGATGACTCAGTTGTCACCGATGTGCAGCTTCTTATCCCGACGATCACACCTCGCTCGCTGTTATTTCCATGCTTGTTGTGGCCATCTGTCGGTAGCGAAGGTTGGTTCAAAGCTTCGGGCACATGGCCATCTAGCTTCGTGGCGTAATCTTTGCTTTGCCCGTCCAAGGGGCCCATATCAGAAAGCCCGTTATTACCTAGAGGGGCTGCAGGAGGCAAGGCGCTTGCAGTAAGTGTTATCAATGGCAATTGTGGCCCTCCGTTGCTGCCCTCCTTGGTAGTAGTGCTCTTCCTGTTCGATTTCCTGCGTTTGGCCGAGGTCGTTTGTGGCTTTGATTCCATTGCTCGCTTGCTTCCTGTGTTTCTGCCAACTGTCTTCGGTCGCTTCGGGTCTGTATAGGCAACGGAGGTCCCTCCATGGGTCCCTTTATTCTCAGCTATCTCATTGGGTGTAGGACGCAGATCTTCATCCCAGTCCACTTCTTGGGGTTTGGGTTTGGGTGGCCTTGGTTTTGTGAACTTCAGTCGCACAATCTTCGACTCCGAAGACTGGGATGGAGGGGCTTTTTGCTTTTGACGACCTGAGCCTTTGAGGTATCCCGGGGTCGCTCGGTCTTTGGCAGTCGCCTTACTCCCGGTGTCTGGATTGATTGGTTCAGATGAGCCCTGAACTGGCTTCATGGTCGCTATCGTCATACATTTGGAATCAGAACATGAGGATGGTATGTAAAAGAAAGCGTGTTCTCCAGAGCTGCGCAGCTGGTGAGGGTGCTGAACTAAGCCCAGTTCCAGCATATTGATCACATGATACCTCATCTATATGTTGTACAACATCACTCCAATTGTCCTACTATGATATACATGAAAGGAATATAGATCCGATAATCAACAGCCAGGTCTCATTTCATTAATATCTATTAATTCTCTTACAATTATGTGGGGAAGTATATTCATAGCTGTGTTCTATATATTATTGTGTTCTACTTTCACTGAATATCTAAAAATGCCGAGATTGATAAATCTAGATTCTGGGGAAGCCAAGTGTTCTATTTATATCTCAAGTTGCGTGCTTGTCACGTCTTTGAGATCACAGTCATCTAACTATCAAAAGCAGCTTCCCCATAATATTCTCTCCCATTCTCCTCAGACCTGATCCTACTCAACTGCTCAAGTACCATCCCTAACCTTCAGAATCCACTCGGAATCAATGCATCTTCAATCCTCATCCGATCGGCCCGTGGAAACTCCGCGATCCGTGACCCATCCACGATTAATAATCGCCACCATTCGATCTGGTTTGCTGACAATGCATCAATTCATGCGGCTGACAGGCTTTATAAGCAATGCAGGTTAACCCTGCTGCCAGATCTCATGTTCATACGCCCAATATTGCGTTATAGGTCTACACGATGGCACAACAAGCGGCACAAGACGGCGAAGAGATGCCAGCTTCTCGATGCCTGTTCGATGCGACCCAACCGCTAGACCGGCTTCGAGGCCTTCTCCTCGCCGACTATTCTAAGCCTACGAATGCCAAGCTCGAGACCGACCCTATTTCCAGAACGAATGTTCAACGCCGTCGAGCCTCAAGCGTCGCCACTTCCCTTGAACAAGATGCGACTCTTCCCGAGAAGATATCCATACAACAGGAACACGGGATTGGTGTATCTGAATCCGCCGCCAGGGATGAGACGGTTCTCTATCTCGCGTACGGGTCAAACCTAGCTTCCAAGACTTTTCGTGAAGTGCGCGGCATCAAACCACTCTCGCAGATCTGTGTGCTCGTTCCCGAACTTCGTCTCACCTTCGATCTTCCAGGAATCCCGTATGCAGAGCCGTGTTTCGCAGGCACAAATTACAGGGAAATTTCTCCTTTGGCAGATGACGAGGTCGAACTCCAAGATCACGAAACAGATGCGGATAGCGAGTATCTGTCAGAGAAGGCAGCGCTCATGGGTCGGACACAGCAGGTGGAGGCAGTCTCGGGTTGCGACAAGCGTCAATGGCACAAACCTCTAGTCGGAGTCGTCTACGAAGTTACATTGGCCGACTACGCGAAGATCATCGCCACAGAGGGCGGTGGTCGTGGATACCGCGACTGTGTCATCAACTGCCATGCCTTCCCTCAACCCTACAACTCATCCGACCCGGTCCCAGACTACCCCACCACACCAGCTTTCAAGGCACGCACCCTACTCTCACCAGCTGCGGAGAATGCGCGCCTTGAATCGCAATCCCGGAAAGGCGATACGACGGTGCTGCCCAGCCCAAAGCTGTCGTGGTGGTATACGGTCTGCTTGCATTTCCGGCCGGATTCTGACTACGCTCAGCCCTCTGCCCGCTACCTTGGGTTGATCAAGACTGGCGCTGCGGAACATGATCTTCCTGTTTCATATCAAAAATATCTTGCGCAGATCAAGACTTATCGTATTACAACCGTGCGCCAAAAGATCGGGAAGGTGATCTTCCTGGCCATGTGGGCGCCTTTGTTGATTGTGACTTTGGTTTTATCCAGAATATGTGCAGGTCCTGATGGTCGTATTCCGCCATGGCTGGTGGCTGTGGCTAATATCACGTTTTCAGGTGTGTGGAATAGCTATGATCGTTTCTTCGCTCCTGTCTTTGGGGATGGCGAGCGGACTCTAGATGATACCTCGGCCTGAAGTTGCTTCTGGGCCTTTTCTGATGAGCTTTATAGCCATATATATTCTTCCATATACATACAACAATTAGAAAACGATCTGTACACTCGTCTTATTACCACGTCGCAGAACATACCATTTCATATTCCTATGAAACAGCAACTCTAGACTTACATGGTTATATGTAACGATTTCATCTGTCATAATCACAAAGGAAATTAAATTCAGATGACTCCTCGAAGCACACAGTTTTCGAAAGGAAATGAAAAAAAGAATATATCTAGGATACAGATACAGGTGTTCGGGGAGCGTTCTAACAAAACACAGACACAGCGACCAATAGATAGACACATAGAAAATGATGAAACAGAGAGGCTTCTTTGAAGCACCTGTATCAAAACCGGGGATGTGGTATGGGTTCCCCAAGTCGTACCGGCCCCTTCAGCCTCTCACATTTTCCCACTCAAAAAAGGCCTTGCTGCAACATTTAACGGCGGGGGCCGATCGGGGGGCTGTACACGATCTTTCGGGTCTTGAGAGGGGCCCACTTGTAGCGCTTGACCCAGACGGAGATGGCGAACAGACCGGTCAGGAGGACAACGGACTTGACACCCATCTTCTTGCGTTCGTCCATCTCGGGCTCGGCGGACCAGTTCAGGAACTCGACGACATCCTTGGCCATCTGGGAGGTGGTGGCGGGGGTACCGTCCTCGTACTCGACAACACCGTCAAACAGGACACGGCCCATAGCAATACCTATCGCCGAGTTAGAAACACTAAAAAGGAAAAAAAAAAAATGGTATGGGCTTGTCGTTACGTACCGGTACCGGGGAAGTAAGGGTTGAAGTTCATGCCCTCAGCGACGGTAGCACCAGCGGGAGGCTCGTCGGGGTAGCCAGTGAGCAGGTTGAAGACGTAGTTGCAACCACCGTGACGGCCCTTGGTGATCAAGCTGAGATCGGGAGGAAGAGCACCGCCGTTGGCGGCACGAGCGGCCTCCTCGTTGGGGTAGGGAGCGGGAATGTAATCGGAAAGCTTTCCGGGGCGCTTCTCGATGTTACCCTCGTTGTTGGGCTCGGTGTCGTACTCGTGCTCCTCGGCGAAGGCCTTCATCTCATCGACGGTGTGCATGGTTCCGACCATTGAACGCCAGGGGACACGGCTGAGGGAGTGGCAGGAAGCGCAAACCTCACGGTAAACCTGGAAACCACGGCGGAGACTTGGACGGGGTCAGTACAATGTATGCTGGCGAGAGCACGAATGTGGCTTTAAGGAGAGAGCACTCACGCGGCGTGATCGAAAGTTTTGTTGAACCGCTCGTGCACCCAAGGGTACTTAGTAGCGTGGAGTCTAGATAAAGTCACCCGTTAGCTTCCACCATTGTTCTCAGCATGGATCGCACAATGAGCCATGAGGTCGGCGATCCTCCTGGGCATTTTCACTCACCCCTCCTCAGCAGGTGTCATGGCGAAGGCCTCCTGGCCATAGAGGTGGTAGTACCATGCGGTGGAACCGGCGGCGGCGGCAGTTGCAAGCGCAGCAGTGAGTGTGAGGTAGAAGGGGGAGCTGGCGGCCTCGGCGCCGGCGGCGGTGGAAGAGGCACGCTGTTGGATATTAGCAACGGAGTCCTTGGATAATCCAATGCCGGTTTAAGAGATCAATTGTCCTTTTCCGTGAAGGTCAATGGGGTGAGGGCGTACCGTGGACTTCCCGAGGGACTGGCGGGCGAAGGCCCGGTTGGACGCGCGCAGAATCGAACGTCCCAGCATGACGATGTTTAACCCAAGCAATTGAATTTGATTGGGAATAGGTGCTGTAACGCCAAAGCGAGAGAGGGGTGGGTGGGGAGAGGAGGGGGGATGGTACAGAAGAGAGATGCTGGAGGTTGAGGTTGAAGTCGAAGAAACTTGACAATTGATGATTACCCCCTTGCTCTGATTGGCTCCCGGCCACGCTAGAAAACCGACACTCGGAACATCGCAATTCTGCTGACCTATAATGGACTTGATCTATATAAAGTCTACTAATTGTTTAGAATAGACCCAATCTATCCTTTCTATAGCTTCTTGTTCTTCTTTTTGTTCTGTGTCGTCGTCTTTTTTTCTCCGGTTGTGCGTATCCCGGGATTCACCGAGAAAAACACGCATCACCGGAACACCAGTGCTCTGTTGGAACATAGCTAGAAGACTTTTAAATCAGGTTGCTACTTACTATTTACATATGTATCTATATGTTACACTAATCCATATTTCCCCAACATTCAATATCTTCTTCAAAGACCGGGTATCTCGGGTTCTATCCTGTACCTCCATACATAGCTCCATAGGTAAGTCTTACTATAGCTATGTTTGGCTATATCAGCTTGTATTGCAGCTTATATCATATTAGGGAGAACATCATTGATTTAAATGGCTTTTCTGGCTCTCAATGGTTCAAAAAAAACTAGAATCAGAAAGTATTATTCTATGTTAAATCTCAATCCTTCTCCCGATGTATATATTTAGCCACCAAGTTGCTTTAAAAATCTTTCAATTTTCTTAATTCACTTTCCTCATAGCTACACAACAGCCACAATTGAGCTTTCTACAGCATCAAAAACCAAATATCCTTCAACTGTCTTATTTCCTTCCAATTAAAGAAAGCCCGATCGTCCACTCCGTACAGCTGACTCTATGAGAGAGCGGTGTACATTTTGCCAGCCCGAGGAGGCGGCGGCGTTGGACCCTGTCTGTGCGTGATCGTGCAGCATTGGAATGTGGTTCCTGATTTGTAGTTGAGAAATAAGTGGTTAGATGTGAAGATGTCTGCTTGAGAACTCGACATCAAATATACCCCGAAGACGCCGTGTCTGCTCGATATCGAGACCGAACCATTCCCCACAACCCCGCGGGACAGCTTGGAGCGAGTCTGAGGCTGCCTCAAATTCTGAGATCCCCACGAGTGCCTTCTCTTCCGATGCAGAGTCCAGGAACACAATATGCCAGGTGCAAAGAAAGGGCCCACAGCCGCAGCTCAGGCGCGCAGAGATGTGCTGGCCTCGCTGCGCATGGCATCAATGGAAGACATCTCCAGAGCTGCTCTTCCAGCAGGTACGTGAGATGAAGACATACGGAGGCGAAAGAAACACTTGCTGACAGAAGGAAAAATAGAGATCGTATCCTCTATTCTCGACCATGTCGGCCCTGTTGATTTGATCCGAGCAGCACGGTCCTGCAAGCTTATACACGAGATGGCGTATGATGACACTCGATGGGTACACAAGTTGAAACGAATCGGATGCTGGGACGAAGCAGATGCTAGAAAGCATGCCGAAGTGGTGTTTGGGACAGTCGCCAATATGGAGGTCGTCGAGCAGCAAGAGGAGGCTGAGCTGGTTGGACCGGTTCCTGCGGCCACTGATGACCCTTCTAGTGACCTGAAAGCACTATCCGATGGATTCGATAAGATTGAATTAGTCAATACGGCATCACAGCCCACTGTATTCCAGGATCTCATGGATGAACCCGCCCTGACCGTGTTGAAACAGGTAAGGTCAATCCGGGGTGAGGCGCGTCAGGAATACGGCAAGATACATGCTGCACTGGCACCGTTCTATGAGGACATCGCGCGATCTGAACCATCATCTGAAAATTTGGTTTTCACGAAATATAAAGATCCCCAGGCTCAAGCGCAGATACTGGCACAGTTGCTAATGTTCTCCAAATCTGACATGACACAAGGATGGGACGAGCGGGTCGACCGTTTAGAGCGTACAGTCTCGATGTTTGAGACTGCGGCGCTGAAGGAGTTCCGTCAGGGGTATGAAACCGACGACATTGATGGGGCCATGCGGAAATACGCACACATTCTATGGACACTCAACGGTGGGCAAGCTGCCGTGGACCTCTTTATCCATCACAATCACCTGATGACTCGGAAGTCTGACCTAGGAAGCGTCGCTTCCTGCATTGACGGGTCGACCGGCCAGCTTAAGATGGAGCAGACGCAGGCTTTTTTCACACGTCTCAGTGTCGCATTCAACGACGAAATATCCATAATGAACCGCGTCTTTCCCCCGGCCTTGGATGTCACATCAACCTTTATGACGAAAGTTGGCGAAGATGTGTTGTCTCCTTTCCTCGCGGCAATATTTGATGAGCTGCATGGCGTCAGCATCAAGTCGTATCTCACTGCAATCTCGACGACCTTTGTCCAATGCATGAACCTCTCGGAGGCTCTGCTTCCCATACGAGGGTCCGATGCTAAATTCGATGAGTATCTTGATAATGTCGTGATCAAGGTCTACGAGCCACACCTCGATCTGTATTTGGCAGAAGAGCTTGATTTTTTCAAGAAGGCCTGTGAATTTACAGTGAGTGAGTGGGACCGGCATCTCTCCGAACAAGCGGCCTCAACAGAGTCTTTTTTGATGTCAAATGTCAATCGCCAAGCCGACAAACGAGACTTCCTTACTTCTTTCAAGAAAGTGATCATGATGCCGGTAAACATCCTGCCGGGTTTCTCTAGTGCCAAATCAAACGAAGAATCCAAACCAGACACGGAAACAAGCAGTCCAAACCCGTTGCAACCATCTAAAAATACCAATCGATTTTCGACAATATCGTCGCCTGCCCCAGTGGCCGTCGACGAAGCTCCAACTACAGAGCTGGCAGCAAAAGCAGCCATCATGAAGATAAAGATGGAGGGTATCCGCTCACTGTTTAGCATCGAAATTGCACTTGATCTAGTTCATTCCGCCAAGTCTAGCTTGGAGAGAGCCGCTCAATTTGTGCGGCTTGGCGGCGAATTTGGACTTGCAGCAAAGCAACAATGCGAGGCAATTTTTGTGACATTGCTACGTATATTGGGATACCAGCACGTTATCGTTGGATTCGATAAGGCTGTCAGTCATCTATCCAACTACCGACCTCGCGAACAAGGGGAGCGTGACCAATCTGGGGTCGAGCCCCTGGTCACTTTCCTAGAACTGGTCAACGTCGGCGATTTGATCCTGCAAATGATGGATGTATTCTACGAGCAGGAGTTGATCGGCATGAGATTGACTGATAGGAACGATTTTGTGGACCCTGCCAATAAAGAAAAGAAAAAGTTCGAACAGATGCTCGATGAACGTGTCGCAGCTGGCCTGAATAAGGGAATCGACGTTCTCATGGAAGAGGTGGACTACATTCTGGCAACCCGACAGCCAGCCACCGATTTCAATCCTGGAGTTTCCCCAGATCCCCACCGACAGACCATGGATGTAGGCGTCAGCGAAGTCGCTGTCGCTGTCGTCGACGTGGTTTCATCGCACACGCAGATGCTAGTCGGGAGCACGGACAAGAGCACCCTAGATGTGTTCAATCAAGAAGTTGGGCTCCGCTTATTTACCGCTCTATGTAAACACCTCAAGCGACAGCGCATCAGTGTGGAGGGATCACTCAAGTTGATCAGGTATGTATCTCGATCTTCAGCCATGCAAAACAGCAAGCTGACTTGACTTCCTAGCGACATGAACCACTACTTCAAGTATATTCAAACCTTGCGAAACAATGAGCTACTTCTCTATTTCACGGCATTCCGTGAGCTCGTGCAGATTTACTTGATCGATCCTGGCCATGCCAAGGAACTGGCGACTGTCATCGCGGATGCGGATCGGTTCCATGGAATTTGGCGTGTGGAGGAGGTATATGAATTTGCTGAGCGGCGGGCTGACTGGTACCTCGTCAAGCGGGACGTGGAACGAGCTATGTATGGATTTGGTTGCAATTTGATGTAAATAGATACCGATACCCCCGAGAATTGCATAGCGAGTGGCGTATAGGGCCCTACAATGCGGACATGCATGTCAGTACGGAATGTTCTCCTAGGGAAAGTCGACTGCTATGAGTATATAAAGAGCGATTCATGTACAAGGATATGGTACATATTTGCGGGATTTGATACATAGAAGTAGAGAAGTTCTATAATAATGTCACCAATTCTCAGTTTCAGCGAGACGAAACAAAGCGAAACCAGACGAAACCAGACAGTCTAGCTGCACAGAGAAATAGAGATAAACCAGACATCAAAGAATCAATACGAAATATGAAATATCAACTATCAAAGATCAAATACGTTCGATACGATGCAACCCCGTAGCCCTAAGAGTCTGACGTCAACACCGGCGGCTGCTGGAACATCACCACAGCGGCTGAAACGGAGATGAGAAGAAGGGATCCAACTTTCGCCTTGCCCGGTTGCAGTCTAAAACATTAATAGAATTTCAAAATGGCTCTATTTCTTCCCAGTCTTCCCAGCAATCTTCTTCACCCTCCAGGTGTTGAGTACGTTCGTTTCTCAAGCTCTATGAAGAATATTATCTGAAGGAGCTTCTATGAGAACAGAACAGGCACGCACAATAAATACCTATGGTTGCCTAAGACAATAGACAATACACGATTATTGCATCACCACCTTCCAATAAGGGGATATCGTCACGGCTTAGGACCGCCGCCTGAATTGGATTCGGACCCTGGTGCTATCTATTGATCTGAAGACCATAAGAAAAAAAAAAAGAGCTAGATCATGCAATAGCCACCTGCTCACAATAACTCGAATTCTTCAAAATGGATCGAAACACTCACACCAGAACTACACGATGGTTGGCCATTCTTACACTCCTCACCGTGCAAATACTCAATGCAAACGCCGACGTAGTAACCGTCTGGACGACGGTAAAAGTGCCAGCGCCAACACAAACAGCCCCCGTGTCACCATCCTACACCTCCCTGGACGAGTTCAAGGGCGATATGCTGAAAGTCACGAACGATTACCGCGCCAATCACGATGCCAAACCACTGAAATGGAACGACACTTTGGCCGATTACTCGAAGGAGTGGGCATCAGCCTGTATCTGGAAACATTCGGTATGTATCAATTCCCCCCATACTACCAGATAATAGCGCTAATAGTATTACCTTCGCAGGAAAGCAGCTACGGCGAGAACCTCGCATACGGATACCAGAATGTCTCTGCTGCTGTCATTGCCTGGGGTGATGAAGGCGAATTGTATAACTTCGACAAGCCGACAGGCTTCACTGAGGCGACGGGGCATTTCACTCAGTTGGTCTGGAAGTCAACTACGCAGGTTGGGTGTGCCGCTGTCAACTGTGGGTATACGAAGAATGACAATGCGAAAAGAGATGTCGAGGTCGAAGTACAAGATGATGTCTTCGAAGAGGATTTGTTCGAAGGGGTGGTGATGACGCCTCGTTTCAGTGTGGATGAAGCTGGAGGAGATGGCTTGGAAGGGCTGAAGGTCGCGCGAGGCGAACCGCGGGCTCAAGGCTGGTATGTGGTTTGCGAATATACACCTCCTGGAAATGTTGTGGGCTTGCATGATTCCTACTTCAAAAAGAACGTCTTGCCAGAGTCCTCGTCTTCAACCAAGTCTTCTTCGTCCACGACTTCTGAGTCCTCTTCCACGTCTATCACTGAGCCGTCGCCGAATGCTGCGACATCCACTACCATCGGAAGTCAGAGTCAGCCTACGGGAGGTGCTATGAGGTTCGCGCTGGACTCGACATTGGGCATGATGCTGGTAACATTGGGAGCGGTGGGCGTGGGAAGGGGGCTTTATACTTGAGAACTTTACTCTTGAGATGGTTTACTTTAAATAATTTAAAATAAGAAGTACAAGGTTGAACTTCGCTAGGAACTGGTTTCGTAGCCATCTCTCATGCTTATCCACATTGCACATTTGGTCGGGAGGCGCACCGCTCGATCTATTGATTTTTGTAATGTCCCGATCCTCACTGGGCTTGCCCAGGGAACCTAAAAGAAACACAAGGGGACAGAAGGCTGGGTTCAGGCACAAGCGCGAAACGCCAGCAAAGAAATAGGGGGAAAAGAGGAACAAAAGGAAACACATTATTTGCGAAAATAGAACAGACAGATTCATCAGCCAATGACCTCCTCGGTCTCCTCGATAATCTCCTCCACAATCTCCTCGACCACGGAGTCGCCCTGATCTTCGACAACCGGGCGCGCGTCGCTGGCGGCTGTGGGTGAATCTGCGTCCTCGGGGAGGTTGAAGGCCTCCTTCTCTTCCGCCAGGAGCTCCTTCTCCCGACGGAGCCAGGCGACCCACTCGCTGAGTACACGCTTGCGGGTCTCGACAACGGCGGTGTTGGCGATGTCGACAGCGTACTTGTCTTCTTCGTCGAACTCCTTTGAGTACTCGCGGAGATTCTTGCGCACTTGCTTCTGCTCCTCCTTGCTTAGAAGAGTGGCAGGGCGTGGGCGCCAAAGGAACTGCTTGAACTTTTCGGTGGGGTTCTCGGAGAGGGTAGTACCGGAGAAGGTGTGCATGTTCCAGCCGTTCTCCATCTATAATGGGGTCAATATTATGTAACACAATCAAAAATAGAACGAGGTAAAATCTTACCGAGTGAGTCCACACACTGGCGCTGCTAACAACGTAACGACCAGTGGAGTCCCAGTCAACATCGGTGACACCGTAGTGCTCTACAGTCTTCATCAGTTGGAGGTTGGCTGCGAGATCCTTCTCAGCCTCGATCTTCTCGCCCTCGAAGTCGAGATCCCAGAAGTCCATGTCAAAGCTGGTCTGGGAGTGAACGGTGGCGACAATAACGAATCGGCCCTTGGGCGACCAGTAGATGCCGTTGCTGGTCTTCTTCTCAATGGTGCGCACCAGCTTGAAGTTACCGGCAGTGTAGCCCTTCTTCTCAGGCGCGAAGAATGAAACGGAAGTCTTAGGGAGGACGGCGGCACCAGTTGGTGCCTCACCGTTGGCGATAACGACGAATCGGGATCCATTGGGCTCCCAGGCAAAGTTAATCACGGTATCCTTGAGACTGTCAACAACCTCGACGGGCACACCCTTCTCGCGAACGCGGAAGATCTCCAAGTTAGTAGCCATAGACTTCTTAGACTTAGAGTGACGGTCGACCTTGACGCAGACGTAGGCACCCTGTGATTGCCAGTGCAGCTTGACATCGGAAACGTTGAACAGGTTACGGGTTCGGACAACCTCCTTGGAGGGAACGCTCATCATACCGACACGGGCGGGGTTGCTGCCAATTTCAGGAGTCCAGAAGCAGAGCAATTGCTCGTACTGCTTGATACCCTCGCGGGCGACGGTGGCAGGGGACCACTCGAAGTCCATAGCACCCTCAATCTTCACGGAAGTGCGACCAAGAAGGTTCATGTTGGGAAGTTCGTAGATAGAGAGAGATTGGCCTTGGAGCATGCGAGCAACGTACTTCTCGTCCGAGGACCACTTGAAGGCAGGCCACTGCACCTTTTTCTTAGGCGCAACATCGCTACCCTCAATATCCGCAGGGGCAGCCAAATCGTGCGACACAAACGAACGGAGAGGCTTGCCAGTCTCGATATCCCAGATAATGATGTTCTTGCCGTCCTCCTCGTAGGTCAATATGGGTTGGCCTTCCTCGACCTGGATGGGCCGTGCTGACCACGTTGTCAAGTAGCCCTCGAGCGGGGAGAACTCGATCAACTGCACGAAGGGGTGGGGGAACTGCTTTTGCTTAGAGAAGGACTCGCCGCCCCAGAGTTGGACACCCTGGGGGTGAACGGAGGCGAGGAATGTACCCTTGGGGGACCATTGAACGAAAAGTTGTGTCCAGTGAGCGCGGTCCACGACATTCTCCGGTGGGTTCGTCTTGTTGTTCCAGAACACGCCAACCTTGTCGTTACGGTAAAGGGCGAATTGATCCCGGGCGCTGGCATCTCCCATCCACGAGCGCAGGTGCTCCTTCTCCTTGAACGGTTCCGGGACAGGCGGCTTGTATTCTTCATCAATACGACCTTCACGACCATAACGCTCGATATCCATCAACTTGTTGACAGCCATAATGTGCTTCTTATCGAGAGGGACGCCGTGCAACTGCTTGACGGCGGCGACTGCCATTTCTGGGGTTTCATATTCCACAAAGGCGAATCTATATCGCGCGAACGAAGGTTAGAGATCGTCCATGATTCCTCCACATCTCATTAGATATCCAATACGCACCCTTCAGTCATCTTCTTGTCGTTAACGGGCATGAAAACCGCATCTTCGGAGGTGCTGCCAACGGAGTTGAGTTTTCTCAATAAGAACTTGACGAGTTTTTGTCGGCTATCTTCGGGTACAACGGGGAGGCCATCGATGACGATAAATGTGTCCAGTCCCTCCTCGACTTTCACTTCATATTGCTCCTTGAGATCTGTGGACTAATGTGTTAGAGAGGGGCACACAGACCACGACAAATCTTGCACTCACCGGAGAAATCAATCTCCTCCTCCTCTTCCTCGTGGAGATCCTGCTCGGACAGGGTATCGAAACTGGGCGCCATGATGGGTATACCGAAGGCGTCTAGAGGCTTCGGAGCAAAGATAGATCGGTGCAATCCGCTGATGGATTTTCGGGCAGAAACAAATCGCGGCGGCCAAGCGGGTTCTTTGTGTGGACTGACTCAGCACTGAGTCAGCACTTGTTAACTTTAGGCCTCAGGCACAAGATACCACGTGACGGAGCTGCATCAGCTTAGTCATAATTTCCCCAGCTTGAGGTCGGGCCCGTCAATCATTATGGACGTTTCTAGAGGCTATCAATGGATAGACATTTCTTTTAGACTGCATATCTTGCACGGAGCTCTTTGCCTGACCTGGTCTTTGTCTAGCATCTTATCTATAATCCTTTTGTCTCTGCAATTTTTTTCGCCTGGCCTTTCTCTGCCTCCAATGCCCCGCCGGTCTTAAGCGCCAGTGCGACTTGAGTATAGCCCACCTGACAACTCCAAGCTCTCCATCGACCACCATACTCCTCTACAAACCCCACGATATCCTCAATTGCGAACTGCAAATCCCAAACCAGCTCATACGTCTGAACATAACTGGCCAAGCTACGTGATCTACTAGCAACAATATGTCGTGTAAGCTACCTCGGTGTTGCCCCGGTGCTAATTTGCCGGTGCTCTAGAAAGCCTCCTAACTGACCGGTGATCTTGCGCAATAGTGACCTCTGACTTGCGCGACAAATATATCGACATAATTGATGGTATTTTGGCCAAAAGCGACCTCACTACCATCTCTGAGAAGCGAATCCGCAAAGGTCTTCAGGATGCCGTCGGCTATGATCTCACCCCGATGAAGGTCAGTTAAGTTACGACGATCTATGGCGCATTATTACCCCAAAGATATTCAGGATGACTGGCGAAGAACTGTGACTGACATTCACAAAGGCTACGCTCAAGCAGCTGATCATGGAACGATTCGATCGTTACGCCGAACAAAACGGGGTGGGCGGGTCGCCTGATGAAATTACCCCAAGCAATGATCAGCGCGATGGTGATTCAGCTTCAGCTGCGGTGCCCTCCCCGCCTCCCTCCTCATCTCCTATAAAGCGCCAGGCCTCCAGCGATGCCACTTCCGAGCCTGCAAGCGCATCGCCTCCTGCTAAGAAACACAAGCCGGATACTGATACCGATGCGGATGCGGCATTCGCAGCCAAGCTGCAAGCTGAAGAGAATTCACGCGCGCGACCCACTCGTGGGGGCAACACTCGGCGTGCAGCTCCTGTGAAGAAGAAGAGCAAAGCCAAAACTTCGAAGAGGGTCAAGGCAGAAGACGACTCAGATATTGGCTCCGGCGAAGAGCCAAAGAGGGAGGTCAACCGAAATACTGGGTTCCACGTATGCTTTTCTATATCATCCCAAGCCTCCCACCATTTCTAACACAACCACAGAAACCTATGAACCTTTCCGAACCCCTATCCGCGCTTCTGGGAGAGCCCACAGTGAGCACCTCTTCCGATTATTTCTCTCTAGGATTTGCTTGCTAAACATCATACAGCTTTCGCGACCCCAAACCGTCAAAAAGGTTTGGCAATACATTCGTGAGAACGAGCTTCAGGATCCCAGTGATCGCCGACAAATCCTATGCGACAATGCTATGCGTGCTGTCTTCAAGCAAGATCGAGTCCACATGTTCACTATGACTAAAATTCTCAATCAGAATTTGTACAATCCCGATGAATAGTCCGGGAGTGACAGGTTGGCTTTGATCCTTATGGAAGAGCAGGCTCCAAACTAAGCCCTGCTTCTTAACGATTCTCCTTTGTCTTTCTTGGTTTATTTTTTGCGATGCATGGGGATGCTGGCGTGAATTCCGAGCAATTTGCACTCGCCATTTTTGTTTCTTTTGGATTTGATTTGCTCATGCTCTCTAGCGGGAGTTGGTGTAGCCCTCCATAGTGATTTTACAGTCTCAAAGGTCCTGGAATCTGCTACCTACACGATATACATAATTGGAGATCCTTCCGATATAGACAGTAGATACTGAAATGCGTGATCCTGGTCAATTATATCATTGGACATCATATTTGCTCTCTGCGTGGCTTCTGATGCTCATTTTCTTTGTTGAACCCCATGGCCTGCATATGTAGCCGGTGGTCTTCCTATTGACATGGACCAAACAGTATTTATTTAGCTCTCTGCTCATCATATTTTGACCTGATGAAGCAGGTCGGCGCCAACAAGCCAATGAATCTGCCTAGTACTTTTACTCACTGGCATGGTGCTTGTATAAGGGAATGGGGAAACAAAACCATACTCCTTGAATAGAACGCTCCATGAATCACTCAATTGCTCGGTCGAGCTTTTTCTGTAATCAAAAGGACCAAGAGAGTGGTCGGTTGCAGGCCTCACATCCTTATCAAATGCGGCATGCGGGATCAGTCAGCGGCATCTCACTTTTCCCCGAACCTCTCCCCCACCACAATCCACAATTTCCAGGCCTCTGCAGCTCCAGCACACCTGATATTGACGCCAAGCCGTAGCTTGCATTGTGACATTCCTTCCTCCGCAATGACCGACAACCAGGCCTCAACACCAGAGTCATCCAGCCAGGGTCGCGGTGGGCGTCGCCGCGGCCGCGGAGGGACAGCTCCCTCCGGCCGTGGAGATTCGCAACACAATACCGGCGATGGAGAGAAACGCCCCAAGCCTCGCACCCGCGGCGGTGGTCGTGGCAGCGGCGGGGATATAGGCCGACAAACTCGCACTACCGATCGAACCAACAATCAAGATACTCAGCCTTCGAAAGCCACGACGCCAGCAGCAAAGAAACCGGTAGAAGAGGCTACAGACGATGCAGATGATGGAGAAGTCTGCTTTATTTGCGCTTCTGCCGTCGAACATACCTCGGTCTCGCCTTGTAACCATAGGACGTGTCATATTTGTGCGCTTCGGTTGCGTGCACTGTACAAGAACAGGGCTTGTGCTCATTGCAGGGTATGATCATATTGTAACCTTTTTCCAACAAGCTTAGGTGCTCTTCGTTGGAGTTACATTTCATGTGCTGACTTGTATACCAGACTGAATCGAACTTCGTGATCTTCACTGATGATCCAGTGCGGCGATATGAGGATTTCAACAAGAAGGACTTTGCTCGGACGGACGACAACCTTGGCATCGAATATGAGAGCGACGAGATATTCGGAGATACGGTGCTGTTGCTGCGATACAACTGTCCGGACGAAGACTGCGATGTGGCCTGTTTGGGGTGGCCAGATTTGCACCGCCATGTAAAAAGCAAGCACAACAAAGTTATGTGGTATGTCGATATCAAGCTCGCGCAATTCTTGAATCAATAGCTGACTGTATACTCCGAATAGTGACCTTTGTACTCGTAACAAGAAGGTCTTTACACATGAGCATGAACTATTCACCACGGCGGAATTGCGTAAGCACGAAAGGTCCGGCGACGACCAGCCTGGAGCTATAGACCAGAGTGGCTTCAGAGGACATCCGGAGTGCGGGTTTTGTCGCCAACGGTTCTATGGTGACGATGAGCTGTACACTCACTGCCGCGATAAACACGAACGTTGCCACATCTGTGACCGACGCTCCTCCCACCGCCAACAACAATACTATATTGACTACAACGCATTGGAAAATCACTTCCATAAGGATCATTTCGCTTGCCTGGATAAAGAATGCTTGGAAAAAAAGTTTGTCGTTTTCGAGTCGCAAATGGATCTGAAGGCCCACCAAATCGAGGCACATCCCGATAGCCTTTCTAAGGACATTCGGCGAGACGCCAGAATGGTTGATTTGTCCGAATTCGATAATATGCGCACTCCTTACCAACAGCAACGTCAGCGGCGCGGTGCTGGTCGAGGCCGTGACCCTAACGCTGAGCCACTGCCAGTCTCCAGTGCACAACCAATGACTCGTGCGGAAGTTGCATACCAGCGACAAATGGCTATACAGAGTTCGCAGTCTGTCTCAACACGAAACTTTGGCGGCCAGCTGACTCGAGATGACGTCCAACCCGTTCGTGCTCCAGAGCGATCCGCCGCTGCCACCCCAGTGCAGTCTACCTCGACGTCGCGCTCTCAGCCTCTTCCTACTGCAGCATTTGAAGGCCTGAATATTTCTGCAAACTCCGCGCCAGCTACCGCACAAGACCAGACCCGCCGAATGCGCCATGAGGCTGTAATTGAACGTGCTTCGAACCTCCTGCGCAATGATGCCACCAAACTCGCCGAATTCCGTAGTAGAGTATCAAGCTACCGCGCTTCTTCGATCTCGGCAACCGAGCTCATCGATGCCTTCTTCTCGTTATTCGATACATCTAGCACCGAGCTGGGCAAGCTCATCAAGGAGCTCGCTGAGATCTACGAAGACGCGTCTAAGCGCTCCGATCTCCTGCGAGCCTGGAATGACTGGCGTGCCATCAACGAGGACTATCCAGCCCTTCCAGCCGGTGGTCTCTTACCTGGAATGTCAACAGGCGCCGTCAACTCTAGCGGCAAGCGCGTCCTGCGCTTGAAGTCATCAACTGCTAAATCCTCCCGCTCCGCCGTAGGAAGGAGCGGTGCTCTCCCAAACGCCCCCTCCAACCCCTTCCCTCCCCTCTCTGCCTCAGCTGGCCCCTCCTCTCGCCGTGGCAAACCTTCCGCTGCCACCCCTTGGGCAGCAGCCGCCCCGCCGCCATCCTTCTCTCGTCCTGCGATGCCTAGCCCGGTCAGCCGGCCCTCATCCGCCGCACCATCCTCTAGTCGCACGCCCACGGCGCCCGCCTCTCGCGGCGCTGATTCCTTCCCTGCTCTCCCCGCAGCAGCCAAGCCCAATGTCCTCATGGCTGGCAAGACTCGCGGCACCGTCCGTTGGAATGATAACCGCGGCCCTGCCCCGAACGCATGGGGCTCAGCCCCGAGTTCCGGAACCGCCTCTCCGGCCGAACCCAGCAATGACGACTCAAGTAATGGCAAAAAAGGAAAGAGGAACAAGGGAAAGCAAACCCTGTTCCACTTCGGTTGATACACTGTCACTTTTAGATTGATTCATGTTTCTTATGTTGATTTGGCCTTGATTTGGCCTAAGTTGGGTTGGCTATCGCATGGCGGGGAGCGCCATTAAAATATATACCATGTAGGGGTAGATTTCTTGTTCTTCTGTGTTGTACCTACTAGCGAATGCAGATACAATGTATTGTATAGAGGTAATCCATGTTATTGTCACTTCATGTGTCTGATATCATATATTAGGGAATAATGTGGTTTTCAATTCCCCGTCAAATCATCAGATTGTCACCATAAAAGTATACATATATGATCTACAGGAATGGGGATAATAAAGAGGTCAGTTCACTTACCATCCTCCTTAACTTCAACATTCAATCAACACCACACTATCATTGTCCGTGGTATCGTCAGGCCCAGAATCCGACTCAGATTCAATGACAATGGGCTCCGACACCCGCATTCCCTTGTCACTCTTGCTTGAACCCGACGCTTGGGTTTCAGGTGCATGAACTGACAAGTTGGAAGTAGTCCCACTAAGAGGCTCTGTCTTGGTTTCATCATCGGGGCATAACTCCATTTCTCTGTTGATGGCAGTCATGCGCATCGCAAAGTCATCCTGGAGTTTAATCAATGTATCCCGAAGACTATTGTTATCCATTGTACCGTCCTTTGTACCGGCACGGATGAGAAGTAATTGTTCACGTAGAGACAAAAGCAACTTCCGCTTCAGGGAAATAGCACCAGCACGCCCCGGGCTGTTCCTACGATTAGCCAGGTGGTCCATTGCCTCTGACACGGAGTGTGCTTTATCCATGACGGCAGGTGGGAGGTCGGCGAGCTTGGCAAGCACAAGCCCATATCGACGTTCTGGAACAGGACCCTCTGCAATGCGGTAATGCATGGTCATCTTGGATTCATCGGGAGAAATGTCTGCTGCCAAGTGGAGATTGATCACACCGCTGCGCTTCGCGAGAATCTGTGGCAGGTGGTGGAAGTGCGTGACAAACCAGACCATGGCCTTACTACAGATGAGTGCTTCTGCTAGCGCGATAGCGATGGCGAGGCCGTCGATTGTGCTAGTGCCGCGGCCTAACTCGTCGATGATGACCATACTGCGTGGCTGAATGTTACGAAGGATGAATGCCATCTCCCGCATCTCTGCCGCGAAGGTGGAGACGTTGGCGGTTAGATCATCTACCGTGGAGACGCGGGCGAAAAGCTGGTGAAAGATTGGGAAAGAGGCGTATTGAGCTGGGACGAAGCAGCCTATCTGCGCCATGACTGTGACCAGGGCTAGTGAGCGGATGTAGGTCGACTTGCCGCTCATGTTGCAACCTGTGATGATCTGGAATCTTGTTTGCGGTGTTGCATATGCGTCGTTCGGCACGAACTTGCTGCGATGAATCTGTTCTCGGATCGGATGACGTGCCGCCTTGATGGCGAGAGTATCGGTTAGCTCTGGTCTGATGTACTCATATTTTGTTGCTAGCTGAGCGAATGATCCAAGCATGTCTAGTATTGCAATTGCTTCACTGACTCGAAAAAGCCCGGATACTTCGGCGGACACATCTCGGATCAGGTCCTGGATCGTCTGGTCGCTCATATTGATCACCTCGTTGTGGGAATCGGTGATCTTTTGATTGAGCTTGACCAAATCCAATGTCTGACATTCAATGCGGTTTCGCTTGCGGTACACGTTGATAAAAACATCCGGCAGCGGACCTAGTTCCGTAGCAGGAATACAGATGTAGTATTGCCGGGCTGTGTCATACTTCAAATCTAAGACCATATCGCAATTCTCTGATATAGGTCAGAATGATCCATGAAATGCCATAATTCCAGACATGCCTGATAATCTCTCAATCATCTCTGTGGCGTCCGCATTCGCTTCTTTATATGCTTGCCTCGCAACATCAAGGAGACTGTTAACTCCGGCCTAATTCATGTTAGCGATCTGTATCCAATGTAGAAGTAGAGTTCTGACCTTGACACAGTAAATGCGCTGGTTTCTCAGATCAAGTGGCTTTGACTGGTAGGCTACATGCTCATTCAGAGTTCTGTCAATCAGCTCCTCAATTGAACGATGCCCCTCAGGAGCGCACAACTAAAATGCATTAGTTCGAGTAAAATACCAAACGAACGTAGAGTCTACTTCGCGTATGGTAAGTAGTAGATCGCTTTCTGCTGCTCCAAGCGCCTGGAAGATGTGTTTGATCGCAGATACGTAAGTCTTGAGCATGATGATAGTGTTGACTGACTGTTCGACATGGTAGATTGTCCGCTTGATGGGAACCAAGATGATCTTGATAATCCGTCAGCACGAGTCTTCAATACTAGCTAGCCTCAGAGACTCTACCGCAGTCAATACTTTATCTGCATCGATAAAGCCTTTGAGCGCCTGCCTCACAGACACAAACATATCCTCTTTAGTGGCCAGATCTTCCACGGCATTGTATCTGGCTGTCAACTTGACTCGTTCTGTCGAAGGCTGTAAGATGCTAGCTCGGAGTAGTCTGGCCCCCATAGGCGTCAATGTCTCGTTCAGTAGTCCAAACAAACTTTCCTTGGACTTCGCCTTTTGCAGGTTTTGGATGAGTTCGAGGGACACAATAGTCGACAAATCAATTAACATGGACCCCTCGGACGGCTGGAAGCGTATCCGAAGAGAATGCGTGGTAAAGGATTGCTGGAGTTCGACTTCAACATACTTAAGGACCTAATTTTTATGTAAGTACGTTCTTTCGGCAGCATGAATAGTGTTCATACTGCGGCAAAACAACACGCTGCGAAATAGTTCCCGCCCAGAGTCAGCTTGAGTGACCCGACTTCCTGTAGACAAGCCAGCCGTTCCACATACTCGTGGCCTGTCTTTTCAGACCACCACCTGCGATCCAGGAAGGTTAAGATGGGATCTGGCAGATTCTCTTCGATGATATAACGGAGCTTCGACTCTTTGGCGGTGTTCATGAACAGGATCTCGTTGGGTTCAAAAACACCTATCTTGATGATTGTTTTGACGTAAGTCTGGCTGTCACATATCTGACAGATCACAGATTCAGCTGTCGCAAGGTTGATAAATGCGAGGCCAACGGTGGTTGAGACGCCCCGCGACTCACTGACAGCGCAGATGATCTCCTGTGCAACACTGCTGGCCCTTGTGGTCGGACGTTTACTTGTACATCTAGAGGCCGATGGGGGAAAGGAATCCAGAGAATTTAATGAATTTAATGAATAAACCGACATTGTGAAGCTCAATTCTAATGGCCAAGAGAGTGTAGATAGATGGGGCAGGGTGTGCCTAGAGGCCGGGGTTCCAGTCCACGGGTTGAGGGCTCATGTGATACTAAGCCAGGGCCCCGAGGGTACCAACACTTCTTTCGTGACCAGTAACCCTCCTATACATAAATCTGAAGGTTTCCAGTGTCGTTTTATTTGATTATAATGATTAAGATTGTTTCCTCTACTTAGTTAACCAACTAGTCAACTATATAGTTATAGTTATCTTATGTCCTCCGTATGTAGGTACCAGGTACGAGTAGATCCATCGATAGGGCCGATAAGATAAGCGTCAAGATATTTTTGCTTGTCGAAATTTCTCTTCTTCCCCCATCGACCTCAAAATCAATCACCATGTCAACCCTCTATCCTCCTCCCAGCAAGCGCCAAAAGCTCGTTCAGGCTGATAAGGCCCGTGAGCAGCAAGAAATTGAGAGTATTCCGTCCGATCTGGGTAGTGTTCGCGTTCAATTCTTCGACCAAGCAACCGGCCAGCCCACCGGGCCTGCGGTCTCGGTCCCAGTCGCCGATGCCAATGTGAAGAACCTGGAGACTCTCCTCAACACATTACAAGGAAATGTAAGATTTGAATCTCGTGACTTCTTGGCAATTGGATGTTGTACTGACGTCGATTTCTTTCCAGGAAGATGATGGGCGAGTACCATACCGATTCGCCTACCATTCCGAAAAAGAGGAACAAACGATCGACATTCTCCGCGACGTTTACCACTCGCTACTCCAGACTGGGATCAAGTCCACCGAAGATACGGTATCGCTCTTCTACACACCGCAGGCGGTTTTCCGAGTGAAAGCCGTTTCACGATGCGCGGCCTCCATCGCAGGCCATGGCGAAGCAATTCTAGCAACATCCTTCTCCCCAGTATCTTCCTCCACCATGGTCTCCGGGAGTGGAGACTCAACTGCTCGTGTTTGGGACTGTGATACTGGAACTCCGAAACATACGCTCAAGGGCCACACCAGCTGGGTGCTGGCAGTCGCATACTCGCCGAACGGTGCCATGATCGCGACCGGTAGCATGGACAACACCGTGAGGTTCTGGGATGCAAAGCAGGGGACAGCACTAGGTGCGGGGCTCAAGGGCCACGCAAAGTGGATCACGAATTTGGCCTGGGAGCCATACCACGTGCAGGAGTCAGGGCGGCCGCGCCTGGCATCCGCCTCCAAGGACTCGACGGTGCGCGTGTGGGATGTTGTCTCGAGAGTAACTGATCATGTGCTCACCGGCCACAAGTCGTCTGTTACTTGTGTGCGATGGGGTGGTACTGGCAAGATCTACACTGCGTCCCACGACAAGACCATTAAGATCTGGAACCCGAAAGACGGCACTCTGCTCCAGACTCTGGCGGCGCATGCCCACCGCGTCAATCACCTCGCGCTATCGACGGACTTTGCTCTTCGCACCGCCTACCACGACCACACTGGCAAGGTCCCTGTGACCGAGGCTGAGAAGGTGGCTGCTGCGCGCAAGAAGTTCGAGGAGGCGGCGACGGTGAACAACACTATTGTCGAGCGATTGGTATCGGCCAGTGACGATTTCACAATGTATCTGTGGGAGCCGTCCACTTCGAGCAAGCCTGTCGCGCGGATGCTGGGCCACCAAAAGGAGGTAAACCATGTCACGTTCTCGCCGGACATGGCTTATATCGCCTCAGCCGGATTTGACAACCACGTCAAGCTGTGGAACGGCCGTGATGGAAAGTGAGTGTTTCAGTCCTTTGAGTATAATGATTTATAGCTAACATCGCCCTAGATTCATCACCACCTTCCGCGGCCATGTAGGCGCAGTCTACCAGTGCTGTTTCTCGGCAGATTCGCGGATGCTAGTGTCCTCATCTAAGGATACCACTCTCAAGATCTGGGACCTGCGCACCGGCAAGCTCAAGATGGACCTTCCAGGACACAAGGATGAGGTGTTTGCTGTCGACTGGAGTCCTGATGGACAAAAGATCGCCAGTGGAGGTAAAGACAAGGCGATTAAGATCTGGCGGAACTAGATCTAGTCCAAAACCCCAAGCCCAAAACATGCTCTTAACAGACAGCTAGTCTGGTACAGGTCTTTGCCGTCTGATATGCATCCAAGACGAGCACAATGTCCCACATGCGGATGTTAGCAATAGCACCTCGTGGGTACCCTCGAGTTGAGGGAGTCATGGGTGCCTCAACCCCCAAGTCAACCCTCCGTGGGTTCGATTCACATCATAAGTGTATAGGCTTATCTACTCAGTGGAGATCCCAAGGCTGCTACTGCATACCGTGGTCAATGGCCTGGATAAAAAAGGGAGTCATAGGAACTCCGAGAGGTGTTCCCGCTCGGACTAGATCTTGCAAATATAGTTAGATGGTGGTTTTAAGTGTGTGGATTGATTGATGAACCCTGTTCTGCCTATTGCCTGGGGCATAGGCCACAAGCAGACGCCCTTTATGTTACTTAGTTGCATTTTCATGAATATAATTGTTGCGTATTGACGGCTTTGTTCACTATAGAGCTCTACTGTAGACAACATCTAGATTATTGTACCCTAACAGTCACTTCGTAGGGGAAGGCACGTAGGAGGTGACAATATAAAAGCGCTTCTTTTTCTCATCCCTCTCGACCCCATGAGACAGCGTAGGCGGGGAGGGTCTAGTAGCTTAATGTGATAAAGTGAGACAAGTGTTACACTGGCTGCCCCCTTGAATCAAATAATTCTTATTTGAGATTATTACCCTTCCTAGGAGTGACTAGCCTTTTACTTCTTAAGTAATACTTCTTGTGTAGTAACTATGATCAGAAAGGTTTCTTAAGAAAGTTAGTTCTCAGACTACTCTTTGGCAATAAATCAATCGTTCCCACACAGAGTACTGCTCATCTCCTCGGCCTTCTCATACTTCTCCTTTAGCAGTAGGCCAACAAGCTGCACGCGTTTGTTCTCCATCCCCTCGTCGGGGAGCCTTACACGGGCGTCCTTAAGTAGGATAGAAGCTTCTCGATCCAAAGGCCCGTAGGGATGCGTGACATTCCAATTGGTCTAGAACATATTAGCAATAAAAAGAGTGCCAAGGGAGTTTGTAGATAATACCGAGGTTGTTCACGTTATCTGGAGTAAAGCCGTACAGAGTAGGGAAATATTTTCACGCGGTACTTGTTTTTTGTACCGTTCAGTGATAACCATAGCATCAGACCGTATATCGCTACCGTGGACGATATCCTTATTGAGTCTGCGAATCTCTTCCTTCAGTCGTTCGGTATTCTTCTGCAATGCATCCCGTGCCCATGTTGAGATGGCCCTTTGACGGAGATCCAGATGGCCCTGTCGGAAGGCTTCGATTTTTTGGTTGTTTAATTTGAGTTCTCTATCTTATCTGTCATCGCAGCATTCATCCATTTTGCGCAGTTCCTCAAGAATAGCGAAGCCGCCTTAGTTGAAGGTACTCTTTCTTGTTGATCGATACGGCGCCTCACGGCGAGCAGAAAGTCGCCGCTAACGAGATAATGGAGATGAAGAAAGGAAGAAGAAGGAAGTTCCAAAGTGGGAAGCAGCCTGTTTATATAGCTGGCCCTTTGCAAACGTTCCAAACCTCGAACCTTCGCGCTTAGCTATCTAGCAAACAAAGATCTCTCGATGATGATGGAGTAGTTTTTGAAATAGTTGTTGAAATAGTTGATGTGATAAAAGTGACTTAACTTTGTTAGCGGTTTATATACAAATTGTAGGTATCCTGTAGTGGGTCCTGTAACAATCCCTTCTCTTGTGATATATTCTTTGTTCTATCCTAGTAGCTTAAGATAAAGTGAGACAAGTGTTACACTTCTTTCACAATCCCATCAACTTGAACTTACTTTCGAGTCTGACTATAGATTTTGTGTACGGGTGTTCCTGAAGCGATTCGGCCCGTTACGGCGGGTGTCGAAGTACAGCTTCATGCAAATGTTTACCATTCAACCTCTGAACTCGAAAGGCATGAGATAGATTATTAGATTATTAAATCCAACCTGGACCATGATAAAGAAGGAGTCAATAATGGTACATGCAAGAAATCAAAACAAGGTAGAGAGAGCATTAAGCATCCACCACATCATTAATCTAGATATACTGCCAAGCAGGCACGTCCCCAGTGTAATCCAGAGCGACAGCCGAGAACCCAAGACACTCGTCAACATTACCATTGGGCACAGTCGCATTTTGAATGGCGGCAAACACCTGCCAGCGGTTATCTTCCGCTGGACAAGCCATGAAACCAGTAGAGCCGAAGGAGTAATGAGCCCAGGGTTCATCGGCAGAGTAGTGGAATGGACCGAGCAAGGATCCCTGCGGGATGTTGGCTGAGTGAGCCTGGGTGAAGCTCAGGGCGCCATTGGGATCGATGTAGACCTGCTGGCCGCCGGGGACCATGGTGTCCTGTTCATTGTTAGAGGGGGTTTTCCTTTGTACGTTTGTTGGCATGAGATAGTGTAACTCGTGACTTACCAGAGCGGTGCCGCCAGGAGCGAGGACGGTTTGGTTTCCCGGTGGGCAGTCTGTGACCTGGGTTGGGCAGTAGGTGGCCGTGCTTCCGCCGAGGTAGAACTTCTGACCGGCGGCGTTCAGCTGTAGGTAGTGGATGGGCGAGCCGGAGCGGATGGACATCACGCTGAAGGGTGGGTTGGCAGTTGACTGGGTAACTGGTGCCGCGGCGGCCAGCAGAGGGAGTGCCAGGGAAGTGAGTGTGAACTTCATTGTGGATTGGATGTTGAGGGTTGGAGGGTTGGAGGTTGTTTTGTATAGCTGAACAGATGTTTTGTTTTGATTTGAATAGTCACAATCAAGGGAGGGTGTACCTTTCTTTATATAGACGAGGGGAGGGCAATATAAATAGCAGCACATCCGAGAAACCGAACCAGGGAAACCCATAGATCAAGGGACTTCTCCGTCATTGACTGTCGGGTTTGGCCGAGAGGTGGCGGGGTCTCATGGAGTCTGAGACATCAGGTACTCTATACTTATCTGCTGCATTCCAACCTTGGAGGAATCGGGGAGTTCGGGTGAAGATCTCTTCTTTTGTCTCAGTTTATAATTGGAATCACCACATCACCATGCCAATGAGGTATCAACGGTCGGCTTAACCCGCAAATATTATACGAAGGACCTCTACATCATACGTTATTCGTTCTTCAAACCCCTCTAATATCTCATTCATCGTCATGGATACCTCGCCTCTTACTTTCCCCAGAAAAACAACCCTCGACCCACCAACGGCCCGATACATCAGCGCATCCACAAATTCCCAAGAAAATTCTAGGAACCTCGTTTCCGAGAGGATAACCACACACCGTCCAACGCCACCGACGCCCAACCTAAACCGGCGAACCTGCAGCAATATGCAATGTCTCACCGGACCCTGCAGCCCACTAAGCCGGTGCTGCGGCTAATCTGGCAATATCGAAGACCCTGATGCAAATCCGGTCTTGTGCCTGCCAGCTGCGATCTAATAAGAATATCTAACGATGCTGCAGCGCGCATACCCGAGACCTCGTGTGTTAGTGTGGTACCTTGCAGATACCATGCAGTGCAGAGGGCTGTCAGGATTTCCTGGCTGTGGGTGATTAGAATCTGTCAGGAGAGGGCTTAGGTCGGTCCGTTTCACGGGCGTTGTACACTGTCCGACGTAGGGAGTTCGTTGAGGTTGAGGTTGGTGTATGGCTTGGGAGACTCGGGTTGGACAATCCGGTGTTGTCGGGTTTCTGTCAGGTCCGGTGTATTTCGGCTTTCAGGGACGGTGTGACGTATTCTGTAAGCCGATGGTGGGCGGGAATTGTCGAGATTGTTGTCGGATATGGGTTTGTTGTACTACGCTGTCCTTTGTGGATCATGTGCTGTGTAAGATGTGCTGGTTGTCTTCTAGAATTTGATGGAAGATGGGTGGGTAAGCTGATGATTCTTGATGATTGCATGCTGTTTTGATGACATGTAAGACATGTGAGATATGGTAGGTTATACTGGGTAGTGGATATTATTGATATTCAAGTATTGAGTGGAAATAGACATTTTAGACTGTAGAGCATCATGAGACTGAGACTGAAACCTGAGATATGTTGAATGGATATAGTATTTTGACCCACAACTATTGGATGTATACTATACTCTTATACAACGCCATGTGAGACAAGGCTACGATCCACAGAAACCACCTACACCTGTTGATACCAAAGGCGAGTATTAGAGCAATACCCGGACAAATAACTAAACAACCTCAGTGTATTGGATATCAAACGACTTTTTTTTCTATGGGCAGACAGTCTCGGCATTCAGCAATTCAACCGGACCTCGATTCACCGAAAAGAAAAAGTGTATGTACGTGCGGGCAATCGGCCGCGAAGGATATGAATAGACACAGCCAGAGGCCAACAAAAGAATAAGGGGAAGAATAATACTCGGAAGAAACAAAACCAAACAGAAAACCCCCCAGCACCAGTCCGTGTAGCAATATAGAAACCTGCAAGCCCGAGTCTTGCCCAGAACACCGTAAGCCACGCGCCACCATCCCCCATGTCGTATTCATAGCAAGGCGGGGAAAAAGTAAAGGTAAGGAAAGGTGAGACAATACGTTGAGCCAAGTACTATGGATCAAATATCGCTCTTTTAATAGTCGCCTTCATCATCGTCGTCTCCATCTCCACCTCGGCGGGGGCCCTTTACTCCATCCTTGCGAATGGGGATCTTGATACCCTGTAGCGCAAAGCACTTGCTGAGCTGGGTGCTCTCAATAACACCGGGGAACTTCTTGGCGGAGAAGACCTGGAAGGGTTCGGAGAACACCGAGGCTAGAACGGGTGCGGTTCCGTGATTGATGACCGGGGGACCGTTGGTAGTTTCGGCAGACGAGGTACCCACGTCAACGAAGCTCATTTTCAGACTGGATTTTGATTAGCGATTAGGTCGTGTGACCCCCGTTATTCCAGACTTACCGGAAAGTGCCTTCTGTCCGCACACTCAAATCCTGCAAGATAAACCACACACCGATTTTGTTGTCTGGGTCTGTCAACCGGAAAGCACTGGCGCTGAGGCTTCCGATCAGATTGCGAGTGAACATGCCACCCGGTCCACCTCCACCAGAGACCGGCTGCGCAGCGGGCGACATGGACGGTGGCATTTGACCACCGGAGTAGTATTGGGGGTACGTTACTGGCTGGCCGTATTGATTTTGGTAGGCCACCTGCTGACCACCGTAGTAGTTGTTCATCTGCGGGGGGTATCCCACAGGGTACTGGTTCTGGTTGTAGCCCGGGTAGGTCGGAGAGACACTCTGAGGCGGGGGAGGGTATGAGGAGGACATGGCGGTAGAGATGGAGGGGGAGGTGGCGGAATGCTTGACGAGGTTTACTTCGTTGGTACCGTCGGCATTCCACAGGTCGACGGTGAGCACGTAGAATGAGGTATCGATCTCACTAGAGGAGATGGTTAGAAAGCCGAGGGGTGCAGAGTTGCTGGTTCGACATACTTGATATCGATTTCCTTGTCGGTTTGCGCATCGCGCACAATGAGCCGAATGCACGGCGGTGGAGTGATGGGTCTCCGGTCCTGGAAGTGTGTTAAGAGGTGGTAAAATAATTATGTCGGAAAAATCACCCACCTTGTCGCCAAATCCACACATGCGAGCCCGGATCGGCTGCTGCACCACTTGTAATGACCAGGAACGACCATCTTGGTAGTTTGTCACGGGTGCCAAATGGTCGGATTGGCGCAGCGAGTTGGATCCTGACGGGTACTGGACGGTCGGAGCAGAGATGCGATCCATTGAGAGCGGAGCTGGGACGGGATGATGTCTATCCTCGACGGCGTACATGGTACCGGATTGTAAGGAACCGAGGATGATTCTTGATAGACCAAAGACGTGTTCCTGGGGTTATAGGTCTATTTTGATAGATCTTCACTACCTGGTTGTTCGAGAAGAGAGGTGGGGGGTTGGAGATGCGACATGCGACCCCGCGGGATGTTCAGACGTCACACTTGAAGCATCGACTTCCGGGGCTGAACAAAGAAATGGCGCGAGAACGCAGCGGGTCTGTTGAATGAACTTTGTACCAAGATTGTACCAAGACCGATCCAAGCCGATCAGTCCAAAGCGTGAAGAATCCGATTGCAGGCAGAAAATGCGAAGCGAAAGAGTCGGAGAGTTTTATTCGCGAACCGTAGAATGAACTCGGAGGAGGGCGGGAGTGGCGATATTAGAGTCCTGGGGTGTTCTTTGACAGAAGATATGTTAGCATCATCTTCTTCTATAAGACTTCTTTCTTGGGTCAACCGCACGATGACGCTGTCAAAGTGCGGGAGATTCGCTGAGGCTTCCACGGCTCACACATATCCCATATATCACGTACCGGAAATAGGAAACTGGAAAAGTATTTCCAAGCGAAGACCGAAGAGAAAAAGAAGACAAAAAAGAGATGTCCTCGAGGTGTCGACGAGGTTACAAGTTGTCTGCAGGAACCACCCAAACCGTCGGGTTACAACTGACGAATGGGACGAAATTTGAGTCCGCATTCGGAATTCTTCATATAACCCGCAAACGGAAATTTTCGACTTTGAACATTTGACCTTGGAACTTTTGACCTTGGAACATAATAAATGTTGGAATAACTAGTATAAAGCGAATAGATATTTAGAAAAGTACATACTCTGATGACCTCGACAGTGGCCAGATATTCTCTCGGAACTACAAATAGACGCCAGGAGATTATTTTTTATTTTATACTCCGACTATACCTCGATGATCTTTCTGCTATCTCCTTGAGTCTAGATCAGAATCAATTGACCAACAGAACTAATCCTAAGCAATGATTCAATTCTGTCTGCTCGTGTCGACGTGTGGCGTTTAATCTGTTGGCGTGCACGTTCCCCGGAGTGGTACCCAACTCAGCACCGTCACCAACCTCCTACACCTCCATTCCATCTTCACCGTCTCAGCCAAGTCGTGGACACCCCATCTCACCCAAAACTACCTGTATCAGTCGTCGGCATTACCGTGACAGTCGCTGCAGGTACTCGAGTCCAATTGAGATCTACTCTGGTATCGATCATAGCTGGGATAAGCGGCCGATTCAGTAGTCACTCCACGAAAGGTACGAGGCTTCCATCTCAAGGTGATGTCCACACAGACAACATTGTACAATACTACAACATACTGCAGTTGCAAATGCCAATGGCCAATCCTTGTGGGGCTTCTTCTGCGCCACCCGACCCCCGACTGGGGGCTTACTCTCCACAGCTACCGGCCTATTAGCAAAGCTTCATCGCTAATGGCAGTCTATCATCTAACCGACTCGCACGCCAAGTGTATTTGACTAAAGTGGTCGGATTCACGCATGACCTCTGAACTGTCAAAGGAGATGCAGTAATATTGCGGTCGGGTCATGTGAGAATCAGCTATAGATCTAAGACAACAATCCGACGTTTTTTCTACACTTTAAACCTGGGTATGTCGAAATGCTCATCGACCTGTCCTCGAGTACGCAGGCAGCGACGTCATCTTCAAGAGGTACGCCGTGCGTGAGGCCAGCGCAAGCTACCCAAACCACAGGTCATCCTTCGCTCGGCAAAGAACTGCCTCTAGAAGAGCGGCAACATAATCCTACAGCGCACGGCTGGCCTCAACTGTTCGCAAGTAAGCGGGCGTGCCGCTCGATGGGGACTTTGGATAGGAGCAGATGTTGTAGTCGTGCTCTTTCCGTAGTAGGCCCACGTTAGGCTTTCGCCGGGCTAGTTCTTGGCCTTAGTAGGGATTTTATATTACTATTCTCATTGGCATTGGCAGCAGTCTTTAGTCTTATATGTGATCCTATCGTCGATGTCGATGCCCTCGCTCCCCGATAGAAGCGCTCTGAAGACCATCGCCAATTCCCCGGGCCAAAATCTCGCATGAAGGTGGGTTATTTCCTAAAATAGACGTCGTGATATTGGAGTGAAGTCACACGACTTTCCCCCGAGGCATCTTTGTCAGTCGATCGTGCCATCGCGGGAGGCGTCAGCCAAGTTGTGTTACACGGCCAACCGTATGGCAACTATTACGGCACGAACTGGCCAACACTACCCTTTATCTTTCCTCTGATTCCTCTAACAAACAGCCTGGAGCTACGGCCTCGACGATCGGCTGGTCTATATTGGTCGCCCCGACGTTGCGATCTATAGCAAGACATCAGCCACAAATCCAAATTTCATACTGTACCTACCCTTCGGATGATTTGAGAAATGCTGCTAACCTGTTAGTTTGTTTCCGCTTACGATACTATTACACCTGTCTGCCCCCAGATGATTTTGCACTTTTTCGACTCAGGGTTTCAGGTGGTACCAACAGCAATCTCAGTCATGATGGTGTGCAGTGTATCAGAAATATGCCCTCCGAATTACCATTCTCAGTGGTAGAGACCTGGCACGTATACACCTAAAAATGATACACATATACGCCCCGTCGAAAAGCCACTGCGAAGAACCCAAGGATATGAAAATGTGTCTGCTGGCCAGACCGCCACCGTACTTCAATCTCGCAGTATCCAGCCCAACATCGGTGTGCAGACCAATGACACTTGATACAAATTTGAGCGGAAGGATGCACGAACCCTATGAATTACGCCTTTTGTCCTGCAGCATGCCAAACACATCAAGTGGCACTGCTGGTATCATCAGGACCAGTATCTCTCAAGTCTCAGGTCGGAAAGTGAGGCCTGGGGTTCGATATCAACGCAAAAACAAGGAAGCAGGGATCACCCCCCTCACCTTGGCAGGCAACCAAGTGGTAATCGCCGGGAATTTCCCTAAAAGTGTTATCACCAGGGATGGGGATTATGTGCAGGATTTGGCGATCACATCACTCCGCGGAGTTCCGCTTCTGTTTCGCACATTGCAGTAAGCCTAAGCGATCAGATAATCGATTTCTGAAACGGAGATATCGAATCGTCCGTCGGAGTCACCGGCTATCCGGCTAGCTAACTGGACCCTTGTTCTAATGCAGCTACTATTGCTTCTACCCGTGCGGACCTCGCGCAGTTACCAAAAAGGGTCAGTGCCAGATGACATTCGACGTGGCATCACATCGTGTCCTCGGTCAGATCTAGAATACCGATGAACTGGCACTCAGCACCCTAAGATCGACGCCACCCGGACAGCAGAATGCGCTTATTGGCGGACTGTAGTTATCAGCGCGAAATGCGGGCTACTACATTAGGAGTCACTTGTCAAATGCCCAATCTATTAGTGTTCGGACACAACAACTGCTCGCTTGATAAACCCGAGGAGATCCACAACGACTAGCGTGAATCCGGGGAATTTCGTAATCATTAAACCCGAGTCGGGACGCCGAAGTCAAATCCCAAAAGTCGGTCTACGCTAGCCATGCGCGTCTCCGAGTTCAGTCAACAGCAAGAATCATGATCATCACGCCATTTACTCAACAACGCTAAAGCAACCCCAGTCGGCAGGGTCCCCAAGCCCAAACAAAGAAAATGCTTCGCGGCTAAGCGGATCGCAAATCAGCCCGACAGGGCCAGATTGCGTGCGAGCTAGCATCTCGGGGCCTAGGAAGTGGCGCAGTAATCACCTTAAAGGGCTCCATTGACTGTAATCAGTAAAAGCAAAGCAAATCCGATCGACGAATACAATCTAACCCTTGCAATGCTTCCATTCAGGAATTGTCCGACTATGGAAATGACTTGCGACAACCAACCCTGGACAACGTTCCCGTTCCCAAAGAAGAAACCAGCCGTCCAAGGAGCCACGGCGAAACGGTGCTAATCGGAAAGGAGCTTAGGGCATGGAGAGATCACGAGCTAGAAAGATACGTACCCGAGATTGTGTCCATGCATAAAGTGCATGGGACAGGGGTTCAAGCGCATGCGCTTTCCCCGATCGGGGAAAAGCATCGCTTGTCAACTGAAACTTATTTCGGATAGACTTGGCCGGCCCCATAGGGCTAGTCCCGAAGAGGGTCTAGTGTGGACTCTTTCTAGGGGCTGGTGGGGCTTAGTGGGGTTTGTCCGAGGTCTTTCGTTTATTTTTCCATATTAAAATGCTGCTAGTAGTGCATCTAGCGGGATCTAGCTTGCGTATGCTCTTCTAGGATAGAGTCTCGGGTATATCGCGCATTAGTAATTTTCACACCCGGTTTGGAATATGGAATACGAGAAGATCGGAAGTTAGTTTTGAGTTGGCAATAGGGATCGGACCTAGGTTCCAATGTTGGATACAAGAGCTGATTACTTAGGTAGTTAGTTGCTAACTAACTATGTGCTCAATTATTTATTAAGCAATATGTACTCTGTAGTAGTCCGTACTCCTAAACATACCAAATCCATCGGAGTGACGAAGTACGGCCCCCGCCGGGTATGATTATGTCATTTGAAGCACGAGCCATCCTGCATTTACCGATTTAGGAAACAACGCCACTTTTACCTCTTTGGTGCTTGGAATGCCGACTTGGCACTGAAAATGGACATATCAAAATATCGACACCCACCGCTTGGGCCTATGACTGATATGACTTTTTCATGATCTCAGAAAATCCTTCTTCCTCCTCCTTCGGGGGATCCCTGGAGGTTGAATTATGAGTCAAATACACAGCAACCCCCGAATCGAATAAACATTCGAGGTCTCGAGCCTGGCACCTTTACAATGCAATTATGCGAATCGAAATCCTCCTGGTCAAATAAGCGACGCCAGACGAGTATGCAAAGTGACCGACGCGTTAAAGTATGATACCCCTGCTTAGGGCTTCTGGGCCTTTCTCAGAGCTTTCAATTGATAATGAGACTGGAGCGTCCAGTTTCTCCTTTGTTTCCTATCTCTCGCACCTCCCCGCTAATGCAACTCTCACAGTATAAGGAGCAGAGCTCGACCTGTGTGCACTGCCTGGATCGCAAGATGCTCAGCCAATATCCGCCTCGGCCCCGACTGACTCGGCTAGACAACAAGCATGGCTCTTTTATCCCCTCAACTAGCACTTCGCCATCATCTCCGACTTCCTCAACCTCACAGTCAAATTCCCAGCCACAAGAGCACCCACCATGTCTCTCAACCCACACCGAAGAAACCCTTCACCTGAAAGACCTCGAATTGATGATGCACTGGTGCACAACAACCTACAAATCCATGGCTGGGAACCCCACCTCCGAACGAATATGGCAAACAACTATCCCCCAGCTTTCTCTCCGCTACACAGGCCTTCGCCAAGGTATCCTAGCCCTCTCGGCACTGCACCTCGCCTCAACCAGTACATCTTCCCGGCGCTGGCGATATCTTGAAACAGCACGCTCGTACCAAGCGCAGGCGCTAGCAGGCCTCGGCATCGAGAGTGCCGAAGACGCCCCGGAAGAAGAAATCCAAGCGACCTTCGCACTGTGTTGCATAATGATTGTATTCACCTTCGGCTTCTGCCAGATCGACAGCGAAACCGACTCGGACGAAGACCAGCCCGACGTGCTGGATGAGTTCTTCGAGGTATTCCAGCTGACCCGGTGGCTAGTCAGCATCCTAGTGGCCTCGATGGAACGCATCACGGCGAGCGAGCTGGACCCGCTCTTCCACCCCGAAGACCCGCTCCCAACAATGCCGGACATGTCGCGGCTAGTGATCCTCTCGCTACAGCGACAGAATAACTTGGAGGCTATGCGGGATGTGACGCACGAGACGGATCTGTATGACTCGGCCATTGAACATCTCAGCCACGCGCTCGGGCTGCTGATGAAGGGCGGCGAGCCCAAGGTCTTTGCGTTTTGGTGGAGTTTCCGTATCCCTGCGGAGTTTCTGGAGCTACTCGAGTTGCGCCGGCCGTTTGCGCTTGTTGTTCTGGCGCATTATGTGGTTATTCTGCATAATCTTAGGAGTTCATGGTGGATGGGCGATTGGGGAAATAGGATTCTGCAGGAGATTGGGGACATTCTTGATCCGAACTGGCAAGATCTTATAAACTGGCCGATTGATGCGACGGGGTGTTTCCTTCCGAGGATTGACGCGCGAGTGCTCGCTTAGCTGTTGATGGCGAGTCTGCAATTTTATTCTTTGGTGCCCTCTTTCAAAGGCTTGGTTGGGCTGAGCGATGCATCTAATGAGACACGAAGCGTATAATTAGCATAAACATTTGGTGTACATAGCATAGTTTCTTCAATTGAGGCAAGGATCGCTTGTCATGGGAGTTTATCATTTCTCGGTGTTTAGGAAGCAATTCCGAAAAACACAGAGGATCGTTGCAATACACATCGAAACGTATGTCAAAGAGGGAAAACACAACCCGCCCAAATGTATCCCAAGCGCCGTTCCTCTCCCGGTATTCCACGATAGGTATGATGAAGCAATTCCCTATTATGTGAAGCCGGGAAAGCCGATTGGGAAAGCCGCGCAAAGAAAAGAAAAGAAAAGAAAGAAAAGCAAATACCACAGACCCATAAGTCCAACCGGTAGGTCGATGGGGCAAAAAAACAGACCCTCGCATCGAAGCAGCACTGCCCGCAGTGGTTCTGATTCGTTTCTGCTCGGACAAATCACCTCTTACCAGATCGGCACTGCAGCCCAAGAAAGGCAAATCTCCTCCGCAGCCAATACCATCAGCTTTCATCGAGCCCTCTTAACGAGAACGAATCAACCGCGAACCAAAGTCCACCCCCGGTAACCAACCTAAGAAGAAGGCGACTCCTTCCGCAGCTCCTGCCTCTCCTGTCCGATCTCCCTAACACGGTCCTTGGACTGCGTGCGCACGCGAATAAGCTCCGCCTCCTGCTCCTGGATCTTCTTCTCGCGCTCTTCCTCTTCAGGGGTGGGGATGTAAGCGTTTGCCGCGCCACCTATGGAAAGAAATAGCACATCCGTTAGCGGAGCTGTACCTGTCACGACCTTGCAAAAATGCATTCGCTCCATATACTGTCATCTGCAGAACATACCTCGGCCTGTGTGGTGGGGGATCTGCTGAGCGCGCAGGGGCGGTGACTCAACGTCTTGGCTCTCGCGCGCAATCTCTGGTCGCTCCGGATCGTTGTGTACCATGTTTCCCGAGCCGCCGCGACCTGTCGTGTAGACTTCTTGCTTGATTGTTGGTGTGATGAAGTCTTTGGGTTCGGGCGCTTTTTGTTCCCGGGTTATGTTGCCTAGGGCATGGGCGTAGTGTGGTTAGTGGACTTGTGTGGCGAGAGATGAAGGGTGGTGTCACTTACCTGCGCCTCCGCGGCCGTAAGAAATGTTCCTTGACATGGTGTAGACGGAATAAGAGGATAAAATTGGTGAGTTGGGGAATTGGGGAAGTTCGAATGCGGCAAGTCGAGACGGGGAAAAGGAAGCTGTGGTGGGGAGAAATTCGCAATTAGCCAAATGACGACAGACTTTTTTTTTTTCGCGTACCTAATAGGGTATGTTGTTAGTTATCTCTATCCAATATCCGATGTCTATGTATTTTATACTCCAAAGTTCTATATTCTATATGCTCTATCTATAAGCTCATATATATATCTGCACTTATTTCCGCGCTAAGCCAATGAGGTCAGAGTCTGTTCGGTCTTTAACGCCTTTCAGCCTAGGGCTGTTAAATTGAATTTCAAAATCTTGAATTGAAATTATATTTTTAATTTTCATGAAATTTAAAATATAATTTCAATTGTTTCACGCTAAGGCGCTAGTAATATATTGGTAATGTTTTGTAATATAGGCAGAAAAAAAAGGCAGAAAAACTGGCAGTAAATTTTTAGTTACACAAGTCATAAGGACGCTTTACACTCATTACAACATACCTACCCCCATCAGTAGACTCAGAGTCAGAAAGCTCATTTCCTAGACTAAGGCTTTCAGTCTGAGGCTTAAGAGAAGTCATATCCCGGAAGAAGCGATTTCTGATAATCTACTCCTTATCAAACTGGTCTATCTAATCCTATACCTTTTCTGGGTCAGGCTACTAGATAGGCCCTTTACTTACAAGTCGATAGTTTATCCGGAGATAGACTAGCTTATTAACCTTCTTAGGTGAAAGCGAATTGCGTACCTTCGAGTAAATAAAGTTTATAGCGGAAAATGCCTACTCCGAGGTAACTAAATTAGCTGTAGTATTATAGATACGTAAGGTAAGATTAGTAAGCTAAGGAGCGAATACTTTCGCCTTATACCAGAAGTCCTCTAGGTCCTGGTTAGACTAGATACCACCGTTATTAGTATAGAAAAAACGCTATTACTAGTTCTAAAATTGCTAGAACTGCTTTTTAGTAGGCTCTCCCCTATACTTTAAGATAAGTATATTTATTAGCTCTTAAAGTACTGGGGGAAAGGATAGATCCTAGATAGCTGTCGATAGCCGAAGATAAAATGTAAGTCAGTAGATTGGCTTAATTTATTGGTTAAATCGATATTTAAATCTATTTAGGCTTTTATCCTCTAGGTATTCCTATATAATTAGTCGAAATTTCGATATTAATATATAGGTCTTAAGGTATTCCTAGATTAAAATCTATTAAGAAATAACCTATCTTTATTAGAATAAAGGCTAATAAAGGTTTTATATATACTTCATATATATTATATATAGACTTTATATATATTATATATAGACTTTGTATATAATAGACTTACCTTTATAAGATCGGATACCTAGCTTTCGGATATAAGCTGTGCCTTATAGATTAGCTCTAGGAGTTGGATTAACTTATTGAGATCCGCCTAAAAGGTAGGTTCTAATAGGGTAGAGGTAATTAAGGCTTTTTTCCCTCTACCCCTATCGTCCTTTTTAATATTAAGGGCCTAGCGCTTGAGGGCCTACTGGTATTTAAGAACTAAGCGGAGTATCTTAAATTATGAGCCCTATTGTATTATTATAGACACTAGGAGCGCGGACGTCTTATAGTAGATTTCGACCTAGTATTTCCGAAGTCGATTTAGTTATAGAGGTACTAAGTTAAAGAATAATATAATCTCTGATACTATCTTAAATGTACTTTTAATCCTACTTCTTAGGAGGATATCCTTTAGAAGGAGCTAGAAGCTGTATAAGTTATATAGGATATAAAATATATGACTTATCTTAGGTTATATTCCGAGTAGTTGGTAGTAGATATTTATTACCTTGTATATATCTATAGCTAGAGAGTTAATATAGAACCAATTAGGTAACCTATTACCTTCTTAGATTAGGTATTCCTATACCTTCTTAAAGACTAGGCTAGTAACTTCCTCCCCTATTATACTTATATCCTTAATCTCGACTCTATAGTAATAGATACTATAGGACCGAGAACTGAATAAGATATTAAAGATTCGGTATCTACTTTTATTAGTCGACTTATTATAGGTAAGATTGAGGTACTGTATTATCTTCAATCTTATATTAACCTTATTCTAAAGGCTAATAAACTGTTTATTAAGGAGTTTAGTACCGATAGCTTAGCGAGTAGGTAGCTTATAAGTACTATCTATAAGTAAATAGAATTCCTAGAAGCCCGGGTTATCTATAAGTAAGAATAGCTAGCTAGACTAGTAAAGCTATCTAACTAGAGCGTTATCCCTTTATTTCCTAAGGCTATAGCTGCCCTAACCTTAAAAGCTAATAGGTCCTTAAGCTATTTTACCTTTCTTTATTTCTTTAATAAAGATTATACAGATCTTAGTAGGGATTTACTTATACTTTCCCCTTAGATAGTCAATAATTTATATAGTATTTCTAGAATAGGATACAGAGTAGAAGTTATATTTAACCTAGATCTATAATAGAATTAGGGGTAGAGTTAGCTACCTAACTATAGGACCTAGGCTATAAGGAAAAAATAAAAAATACTAACCACTCTATCCTCTAAGTATTCTATAAAGTATCTTCGCGCTAAGATACCTAAAGTACTTTATCCTAAACCTAGAGATTAACCTATTAGAAAAGTTATTAATATTATTCTAACTCTCCTTTATAAAAATATCCTAGTACAGTCGCTTATAACTAATAGTCTAAAAACGGTTAGATAGTAATAAAGGGAGATTCTTATTATAGGAGTATCTTTATAATATTAGTATTATATATATAAGAAAGAACTAAAGAACTAAAGAATTCTATATAGACCTCTTCTTTATTAGGAAGGTAATAGAAAGTGATATTCCTAAATACCCTTAGAAAGGCGGAAGGAATACTTCTTTATTAATAGAATAGTTATAAACCCTCTCCTTTCTACTCTAGAATCTCTATCCTCTAAGTCCTCTAAAATTTTCTTAGTCTTTAAGTTTAAGTATATCTTATCTTTATAAAAATAGTAGCCCTCCTAGTCTTCTGGTCTACCGATAGCTATTCCTATCGCGCGTTTATTTCAAATAAAGTCCGGAATGCTGTAAACCCTTATCTAGTATAGGGATATACCTATAGTAAGTCAAAAACCTTATATCTTCCTAATATATACTGAATATATATAGGCCTAGTATAAGACCCTAACCTAGGTTAGAAGCTAGCCGTCTACTAACTCCGCCTAGGCGTAGGATAACGTCTGCCTAAAGTCTTATCTAGAGAGCTTAGGCTTACCCTTACTTCTAGTAATAGACTGCCGAACCCAATACTTAAATAGAATAAAGTTAACTAGGGTATCTGCCCAGTTATTACTAGTAATAGCGATATAATATATAGTATAGTATACAATAACCTATCCGCTATATATCGGCATTTCCGGACCTTCTATACTAGGTACTTCGAGCTACTAACAATAGGCCGAAGGGAATATAGTAGAATCGTTATAGGTAAGAATGCAATTATACGCCTAGTGATTTCGAGGCAATAGTATCGACTGCGTTTCGCGCTTAAGCCTAGCTATAGAGGTAACTATACCTCAGTAGATTGGTTCTATGACCGACTTAAAGGTATCGCTAGCTGTAATACCCGCTTTAGGTAATAATAGGGAAGGAAATTCTACTGTGTATACCGCCCTATAGATTATTCAGAGGCTAGTCCTTGCGCATAGCGATACAGTCCCTTTATAAACCCGCTAAACCATTAAGATAGTAAGAGTGACGACTAGAGTAATGATAATAATAATAGTCCCTATAGTCCTACCGGTAGTACCGATAGTAGTAAGGGAAGTGGTACTGGCGGTAGTAGGGCTAGCGATAGTAGTGTTAGCGATAGTAGTACTAGCGATAGTGGTACTGGCGATAGTAGTGCTTAGAGCGACTCTTTGACTATAAGTCTTCTATAGATATAGGGTAGGATAATTAGATGTCGTCGGTATATAGTTCGGCCTTATATAAGAGTGCCTGAAGTAGGACAGGGTGGCCGGATGTAGGGGCTATGGGGAGCATTTTCTTACCTAGATTACCAGAGATATATTTTTGACCTATGCATTACACTCTACGTGGTCTAGCGGACTAGCGCTATATAAGCGTAGGCGGTCTAAGAAGAATACTAGGCGGTGTAGGTAAGAGCCTGTATTCGGCCTAATTAGGCTTAGAGTAGGCTATGATAATCTTATTGGCTCTCTGAAAAATTAAGGTATCTAATTGGTGGACTACTAAGAGTGGGTCCATGCCTGAGGCATAGACTGATTTTGAAATGAAATAATATTTTAGCGTTGAAATTGAAATTGAAACGATATTTTTAAATTTCAAGTGATTTTAACAGCCCTATTTCAGCCTCTTACTATGTCGATCCGGGGAGAACTCTAATCGAATAGGAAAATAGACTTATATTGACTCGGTGGAATAAAGCTGGCCATGATTGGAATTCTGATATGCTCGCCACAACCTGACCAGTGGACGACCAGCCTTCACACCATTCCGTGAATATAACAGTAGAAGCCAAGCTGGCAGACGGCCCATTCTGACACATGCCCTGGCCATTAAAAGACTATAGCCTGGTAAAAGCAGTCCATGTATTGTTTACAGTTCAACACTTCCGGTCTTTTCCAGGTTCAGGGACAAAAATGGTCTCATTCTCTTATTTGTTCACCATTTCTGCCTCATGAACTAGGCCTGTGTTAACCGGTGTATATAAACCAAGCTAAGCCTTCTAGGTGGATTGTGAAACTCCGACCTGTCCACTCCTCTTTGTAACCATCAAATATAGATAGCATCTCTTTGCCAGTCCCCGGGTCAAAAGTACACTTATATATCGCACTGCCTATATTACCTTATACACCCGACATCTTCAAAGAATATGCATATAGCCTACTGACCTGCCTCTCGGGCGCCTCGTCAATATCGTCTGGCTACCTATTCACTACACCTCACTAGTGACTTGACATGATGCTGCATCCAACTTGAACCAGGGACAAGTGACATTGCGATAGTGTTTCTTCGATGTGGTGCTTTGAGGCTCAAAAAGCTCGAATCTCAATCAGAGTGCGATACCCTACATCAGCTATTATCTCCTCTTTGAGTGGGAGGCCAATTTGCTCTGCCGTGATTCGACAATTTTGGTCTCATCAAACCAATAACTGCCATGATTCTGCGTTCTGTCAAACAGGATATTTAGCCTCGAAGAATACTTGACATACCGGGCCTCAAATGGCTATAAATAGCTCATTGTGTTTTGAAGAATCAATCTTTCTCTTCGTCCTCAATTTCTCTCCTGTAATCTTGGCCCATTATAATCTCCATCTACTGCAAGTAGTTTAACAGATGATAGATCAGATCGTGATGATGTCGGTCGCCCTTAGGCGGGCCCATTACGCTTACATAACCCGGCTCCACCTCCAGGGCCAGGGCTCCAATTCTCACTTCACCTCTGCAAGGAATCTGCAATTAGATCAATTCCAATTCCTCCCCAAAATGAACGCCAATCCTATCAGCATGTCCATCCGCACAGCCATGTTCTTTGGCCGACTAAACCCCGCTGCGCCCTCGCTCGCCAGCGCCCTCCGTCCCCTTCCCCAGACAACTGCCCGGATGGCCAAACAGCCCACACGTCTTAGCTCCACGACAACTCGCCCGGCCGCCGCAACATTGAACCTAGACTTCCGGCCACAAGCCAAGGCTGCGTTGCCATCAACCATTGCTGTGCGCGCAAATTCGACCTCAACACCTGCCAACGACGAAGTCAAGCTCGACTGGGACACCTTCTTCAAGCTCCGCGCTTCCCGCCGCCGATACTCTCTCGTCTCCTCAGTTGCCAGCTCTGCTATCAGCACCACTGTCGGTGTGCAGATTCTGTCTGGCCAGGACCTTGAACATCTCGGCGCCACAGTTATGGGCCTCGACCCATTTGTTGTCCTGGGATTGGCGACCGCTGCATGCGGTGCTGTCGGTTGGCTTCTGGGACCGGCTCTCGGAAATGGGATTTGGGGACTTGTGTACAGGAAGTACAAGCCCTCTGTCAACACGGTGAGTCATTGCAAAGCAAACGAGTGGCGACTTATGTCTGGTCTGTGCTAATGTGTTTTGTTTTCGTTGCGCAGAAAGAGAAAGAGTTCTTTGATCGTATTCGCCGGTTCCGTGTTGATCCATCAACCAACTCCATCGCCAACCCTGTTCCCGATTACTACGGCGAGAAGATTGGTAGCGTGGCGGGCTACCGAAACTGGCTGAAAGATCAGAGGGCATACAACCGCAAGCGCCGCAACTTCATTGCGTAGACTCTTTCTTTCTCTCTTTTCGCTCTTGTGATATTGCAGCATTTCTTTTTTGTTCGTGTCAATATATGGTGGAACCTCTTGGAGCTTCTGTTCAAAACCACATCTGGTGACTTTTTTTTTTGTCCGGGCTGGTGTTTATTTTGTTACAATATCATTAGCGGTCTTGGTAGCTGGGGAATTGCAATGTATTAGGAACGACCTTTGATAACACGGTCAATTTATAGCTATTTTTCGTGACATTTGTTGAGACTTCCATCCTTCGAAGGTCTTGTGTGAATTAAACGAACCCTGAAAGCGCTATCCTCAGTCATTATTTACCTTTCCAATGACAGCTTTGGATTTAAAGCTTCGAAGGCCTTTGGGCTTTAGGCCTACGGCCAGTATCAACCTCTGTCCACCACGGCACACTCGGCGGCGGGTTATCATCAAGGTTAGCCTTGAAGTTCGGCTTTCGCTTCCCAAAGAACGCCGCAACACCCTCCTTCTGGTCTCTGTCTGATATTAAGTATCCGCAACCAGCTTGTTCATATATATCTCACTTACTCCGATCCAAACATATGGTTGATGACTCGCGACTCGACGAGATGAGCAGCCTCCGCCGAACCAGAGTCGCGCCACATAAGCGCCCGATTGAGATACGACGAAGCTGGGCTCACATTCTCAGCAATATCAGTGGCTAGCTCGAGAGCGCGCGGCAGGACCTGCGATGGCTCGGGGAGGATCTCATTGAAGAGGTCGCCAAAGTGCTTGGATGTAGGGGGGAAGACTGCCCCCGTGCTGACGAGGTAGCTGGCATTGGAGTAACCGACTAGACGGGGGAGGAAGTACGAAGAGCATGACTCTAGAGTTATACCTCGGCGGGCGAAGACGAAGCCGTATTTTCCTTTTTCATAGCCAATCCTAGAAGGGATGTATGTTAAATAAAAGGGGTCTGGAATCGTTTTCGGGATGTGGTTGATCTACCGGATGATTGCTGGAAGGGTCATGGTCATCCCGACTCCGACGGCTGAGCCTTGCATTGCTGCAATTGTGGGCTTGCGGCATCTATGGATTGCCAGTGAGACTCTTCCACCGCTGTGTCGGGGGGTTTTTTTAGCAAGAGTATAGAGCATGCGGCGGGCTGTCTGGTGGATGTCCTCTTACCCATCACGATGGTCTACCGTCCTGCCTTTACCACCACCGAAACCAATATCAAGGTCTGCACCAGCGCAAAATGTCTTTCCCGCGCCTGTCAGGATGACAACTTTCACGCGCTCGTCGACATCGAACATGGGGAAGAGCCTCTCGAAGTCCAAGACCATTTGCGGGGTGAACGCATTATGTTTAGCAGGACGATTCAGAGTAACGATGACAACTGGGGTCACTGCCGGCGTGCCTGGGGGGTAGTGAGAGACAACAACATGGCCGGTTGTTTCAACCTTTTCGTAAGAAGATGGAAGCTCAATGGGGCTGGGATCGGAGATCATGATGGCTATTGGGAAGTATACCGTTCTTGCTCAAGAGATATAGTGATCTTAAGTGCGCACTCTTATACACCATCTCCGGCTATATTCTTCAACAGAGCCTACATTGTAAGCCGCGGCTGAACTGGCTTGGTGTGGAGAAGCTGGGGGATCACCATCACCCCGCTGCGGAGTCGTAGATTTCGATCTTGGCATATATCGGACAATACTGTAGTCTATTTGATATCCTAGGGATATAAGTTAAGTTAGAACTAATTGCTCTGTGCAATTTCGACTTCTGGCTTGTGTAATGCAAGAAGCTAGTCAGTTGTAGAATGAACATTATGATTCATTTCCGGCACAAGAAGAGGATAGTAACGTTTATATATAGTGGAAGGCCGGAAGGTGTAGGATAATCCGCCAAACGGCAAACGATGAAGTGCATCGCACGGTAGGTATCTCGCTCTTTTAGAAGGCGAGGGGTATTATTAATCTATCACATCTTCATACTAAATAATGCTTCATCCCAGCTCAGGTCATTGCCAGACATGAGCACATGGCGTCTGCGAATCAACGTAGTCCACCCACTTGTTCAAACCGAAAGCGACTCTAACCTAGGAACTGACCGCTAGCTAGGGCCACCCAAGGCAGGTCTTCATCCCAGCAGTGTTGCATCAATTGACGTGCATTTTGAATCTAGTGAATACAGTGTCAGCAAACTCTTTCAACGAATTTCAGACTAGTATAGAAGCGTACCTGTTTCATGCCCGAACTCTCCAATACAAAGAACCGGTCCAAAAGCTGAGACCTTTGAACTGGATCTCTAGATTCGCAACCAGCCGTGAAGAGCGGGAACAAGGAGCAGACTTCAGTAGCTGCACCAGGGCGCATACGTCCAAGGGCATCAATCAGCTTGCGCAAAACCTCCTTCACGGGAAACGAGTCACGCGGAGACCCAAGGACACGACGATGGAGATGCAGGAGACCTGCAAACCGGAAAGCTTCCTCGATGGCTATCATATCCGAGGACTCAACACCATGATGATGTTCCGGGCTAGTATGAGCACGTTCGCTAATCCCATCGACAACACCAAGTACAGATTGCGCTTCCAGGACCATTTCCGCAGATGCATGCCAGTCATGCCGGAAATTACCCATTTCGTCGAAGAGTTGATTGTCACATTCCTGCACCAGCTGTGCAAGACGGATCAGAAATACTCCAGTGCGGGGGGTGAACCCAGTGAAGCAATCAACACCGAATTCGTCATGACCGTCAGGCGCGGAGCAGGCCGTTAAGATGGAGTGGTATATCATTAGTGGAGGACCAGCTTGGCGACATGACAAAGATCCCATCGTGTCGAGATAGCCTAGCCAGCGGGCGAAGAACGCTCCAATCCTGTTCCCGGGATGCGCCATTCCCTCGCTTCGTGCAAGGAACAAATCGCGAGCAAGCTTGAGGTGACTCTTCCAGGTGATCGGCACCTCGAATGTCCTTGGAGAAACGATCTTCAATGACAACAGCATAATGGCCGTGGCCAAGTGGCTGTCAGTGATGTCTTCCTTGGATGACTCCAATGCCATACGCAATGTTGGGAAGACCTTGCTAACCCAATGAGCGATTCGATTGGCGGGCTCGGGATGACCGAGGTAGCGAGCACGATGACTAGCGGAGTATGCAAGCAGCAAATTGAGGAGATTGGAATCACCGATTGCCACTGTTCGGTTAGCTTTCTGAAGGATAACAGAACATAGAGTGGTATAACTCACTTGATGGCAAAACCGAAATAAACGGATTATTATCGCAGTTGTGTGGGACAAGCATTCGAGCAGTGTGATTCAAGAAATGATGGAAGTACATCAGATTGATGGGGTTCTCCAGCAGCGACGACGGAAGCGGAGATAAGTACCTCGGGACATTGATGGGTACTGGCGAAGCATAGTAACCACTACAAAACTGGACCTGTGGTACGGGGTCAGGTTGAGAGGCTTTGGACTCCTCGTTGCGCCACCGAGAACTGATCAGGTCTAACGCATAATTGATATCTATGGCGGCATGGTCGTTGTTGAAGGTCAGATCCTGATCAGGGCGCCCAGAATCCAATCCATAATTGTCGGTTACACTATTCAGATATGTTTGCCATTTGCTCCGGGCGATTGAAGACTCGTGGGATGTTTGATCGGCTTCATGATTGCTCTCCGCCGATGCCTGATGATCCGGAGTCAACCCATTGTGATAGTCATGTACAGAGCCCATGTTGCTGGTTGTCTCGTGGAGCCTCGGAGACGAGATTGCATCACTTTCAGCAATCGACACTCTGCGTGGATCGAAAAGCATAAGACCGGTAGTATCCTGCGGGCTGTTTGAGGATCTGTTTTGCCCTGTCCTAGACCGAGCGCCAAGATGCATGCCCCGGTCATCATATGACCCTTGAGAAAGATGCTCTTCATCACGAGAGTGCGAGATAGATGGACCCGAGCAGTGGTTGGAAACATCTACAGGGTGGCGCATGTATGAGACTGGCTGCGACACGGGGTTTGTATGGAATGCAAAGGCAGACAGTGATCTGAGGCCGGATGTCTGATCTATCGAACCCAGATATGATGGGCTATCAAAACTATGCTGTCCAAATTGATATTGCAACAAAGGCGCCGAGGTAGCCGATGCGGTCAATGGAGGAGATTGTTCCGCCCAAGTTGAGGAGAATCGAGACTCTAATTGGCCCGGCGATAGCACTCCTTCAGAGTCCGAGCCGAGCCTGGGGGATTCGAAAAGTCCCATTTGTGATGATGTACTTGGAGATATTGCTCTTGGCGAAGTCAACTCCCCGGGATGAGTGTTGATAAATCCATCTGCAGGGTTGTTGCTTGCTGGAGTGGGGAACGAAACTGGGCTCAGATCGTTGATAGCGAATGAGTCCGAAAATCCAATTACAGCTCCTCCATACCCACTAGATTGTGAATTCGGCGAGTCAATTGACATGCGTTTCGTCCTTCCTCCCCAGTTCAGACGGACACTATAATCGCAAGGGTCGCCTTGTCGCTGGCAATTAAGACATGCTGGTTTCTCTTCACCACTACATAATTGTTAGCTACACGAGCATCATACAAGGGTTGTGCTTCTTACCATTTTACCTTGCGTGCTTTGCATGGCCTAATGAGACTGTTAGCCTTGGTAAAGCTTATTGACATCTTAGTAACGTACCAACATCCTTTACGACTTCGGCGCTTTGGTTCTGGTGCACCAGGTCTTCTAGGACGAGGCATTGCACGTCGAGGGTGTCTGGTCGAGTACCGATGCCTGTAAAGAGGACACGGCGATAATTCAAGATAACGGCTCGAAATAGCCAAAGGTCACTATATACTTTCCCGCGGCCATACAGATTCAGTCTTTTCAAGTCTGTATCAGTCCAATCGAGACTCCTTACGCCGAAAGCACGTCAGAATTGGCACGCTTTCTGCGTTTCGATCCTCGTTGACCCCAAGTAGCGACGAAGCGATAATCGACCAGACACCCACACCTAGTATACAAGCACATCGAGGTATGGGAGAGACGTGCCAGAAACAGTTCCAGTCCCACTGCCCTTCAGCAATGGGAAGGCAAGAGAAGCCGGTAGTAACCAGTGGAGTGCCGGTCTTGGCGACCTTGGGGGATGAAACAAGATATCAAACAGAAGATGGATCTGTTCAATATGATCGATTGACCCACTAGGTAGTCGACTGACCTCACTGGGCAGGCCAAGAGCACAGATTCGCAATAAAAGTCACAATTTGATGTAAAGAAGAAAGGCAAAGGTTATCTTTGGAGCGCGGACTAAAAGTGTGGGGAAGCACATGGCCAGCCGAGCCCTGGGAGATAAGGAACGATGAATCAGCCGGGTTATGTTATAATCCGATACAGACGCCGATTGATCCCGCGTGTCACGTGAACTCGTATCTTGAACCAACGTCATAGCATCCGGTTCCTTGGATGCACATTGGTTCCTTGAGCTGCGCGCTGATAGCATTTTCGGGGGACATTGAACTAGGACTTGAGAGCGCTTGTATCCCTAATTTCTTTTCCAAAATGGCCAAATCTATGATCGATAGGCACCCGCTCCAATGGATGTCGAGTCCTTCACGGGGCTTGTCGGCATTGGTTCATGTAAGTACCATGGTCCTTTCACTTATCATCGCGGTTCAGCGCTAAGGGCTTGCCTTCTAGTTGGCCGGACTTTCGAGTTTTTTGTGGTCATTCAAATAGTATGGGTCGTCTGCTACGTTGTCCTTTAGAGTTCTTGCTGACATTCTTGAAGCATGCACGAAAACCCTAACCCAGCGTAAGCTCCCGTCTAGCTTCGATATTGGAAAGCACGCTGAACTTTATATTTGACAGTAATCAAGCATATGGTTGGCATTTTCAATATCTGACCGTGATTGGTCTATCGTTGTCAACACTCACTTTTGCGGTTGCACTACTAGCGGATATTACCTTGTCCCGGCGACTGTTCCTGGTCAAAAACATCCTATCGACATGTAGTGCCCCCCTTGAGGTTGTGATCAGCGTTTTGTACTGGGGTCTTCGTTTAGTAAGTAATTCGATGCTAATTCGACAATGTTCTAATCAAAATAAGATCGATGAACGTTTGGTGATTCCCGAAGATATTGTTATACCCGTCCATGCCGGTACGTCTGTAAAAAGTGCATTTGAGATACCCCTAATAACATGGTTCTAGACATCAGCTTCCACGCAACACCGTCGGTGGTGATGTTGATTGACCTGCTGCTCCTATCCCCACCCTGGACAATCACTGCACTCCCTGCACTCGCATTGTCTGGCACTATCGCCTTCGGCTACTGGTTCTGGATTGAGCAATGCTTCTCCCAGAACGGATGGTTCGTGTATGACCCAGCACCTCCGACGTCAATCGCTAATCAGTCTAGGTACCCATATCCCATCTTCGAAGCACTGCCCACATCAGGTCGTGTTGGCCTATTTACTCTCAGTGCCGCTGTCATGACACTGAGCACCATTACCCTCAAGTGGCTCCATGGACGCGTCAATGGATTTGGTAACCCCATGAAGCCAGAATCCCGTCCAGGCGATATTAAGCGAGATGACGGTTTGTAAACGCATAGATTGGGGACGTATTGCAACAATACTATCACTTGCTCCGAATCGACTGCCTCATATCCGCCTCATGGAAGGCGGGTTTAACCCTGGAGTGGCTACATCAAGGCAAAATGGGCGCATTGCATTGATCATGAGCGTCTCGGTTATCGCGTTTTTTACAAGTACATACATCCATGAGTTTGGGGTCTCCATTGGTCTTACCGGCAAGGTAATTTTCTTGCGAGCCCGACTCGACCTTATGTAAATTTTCCTGGGAGTCTACATTTAGACCTCACAATAACTCAAATTAAAATGATACTACCAAAATCCAAGTTAAACTCCGGAGACAAGTCATAACGAGCGTTCTAAAATAGCTTCATACGACAAATATGTTGCCAAAAGTTCGACAGCGTAGGTTCGACCACCCGAATTCGCTCCAACAATGTCTTTTAAGTTAGCGCTTGTTCCATGAGCCGCCTATTGCAGCTCATGGTATATCAAATTGGGCCGATGTTGTACTACTGCGCTGCGGACGCAACTTTGTGTGCGACGATCACCCCCCGCAACGTCAGTGAAGCCGTGCGCACATTGAATGCGGGGCTTAGCGTGGCTGTCAGTGAAAAATCAGACCTCTTAGAATTCGCTTTCTATATTATCATATAGCTGCATGATCATTGGCACAAATTCTTCGGGGCTACGGAGGAGGAACCTGCCGCAAGGTCAATGCCGAGACAATCCTTCCACTATCCCGAGTTCACTACGTCCAATGAAAACATGGTCAAAAGGTGGTCATCTGTGGTGGATCCGAGAGGCTACACGGTCAATGGCTCGATAGTCGAGGGAACTTTTGGCGATCAACATTTCATACGACTACGTCGGCCGACACCACCTATTTCTCTCGGCCGAGTGCACATCGTAGGCAGGTTTCCAAGCAAAACTCCGCGTCGGCCTAAATAAACGGGCCGTTATAGACTTGGCAGGACTCCGTACATGTGTCCAACATTGATGAGATCGAGACGGCCCCGGGGCAAAGCTTCGCTTAGTGGAGCCCGGGGTATGCGGGGGATGCCCTAATTTTCCCCGGATGCCCAGACTTGGCCTATTTATCCAATGTATCAAAAATGTACTAAAATGGGGGATTCAAGACTCAACATCAAGCTGAATCAGATATTGTACAATGGCGTACAAACATACTTGTCCTTTTCTTCCCGTTTGAAGTCGCCTCCACGGATGATCTCACTTTCTACATGCCGATCACGCCTGAACGGGCCCCAACATCCAGATTCAAGCTAATGCAGCAACCCCTGTACGCGGTTAGGACGCGGGCTAGGATGTAGGGATCATACCATTTTCAGCTGGACCCTGGCAAATCTCGACCATCTGCCGAGCATAAGCGTTGGCATGTCTGCCCCTCTTTACATAGCGCTTGGTGGCTGTCTTTTTCTGCTTTGACCTGTTCCCTGTTCTTCTTAAATAGCTCGCCGGTCGGCGTAGAGCAATCGCACATTCCTGACCATCCCCCGGCCTCTGCTCGATCTTGCATCATGGTCGTTGAATCCTCCGACAAACAAACCGAATCCTGGTCCGAGGACCCTGAGAATATTTCCGATTCTAAGGATGCGCTTGCTGCAGCTGGATTTGAGGATCCCGACGCAGGATTGAGCGACGAAGAAAGAGCGGCGATTGTATGTTATCAATTTCTGTTCAGCATCGTGTAAAGTCACGATAACTAACCAGATCACGAACCGTATAGGATCGTAGACTACTATGGCAACTCGATATCCGCCTCGTGCCATGGCTCAGTCTACTGTATCTCGTCTCGTTCCTTGACCGGTAAGCAAAAGAGCAATATCTTATTCGCGCACTGGCTTCCGAGGAAATATCACAAACTAATCTCACCGCGCTCAAGGACAAATATCGGCAACGCAAAGCTCGTCGGTCTAAAAACAGATCTAAATATGACGAATGCCCAATACAATGCAGCACTGACTATATTTTTCGTCTCGTACTCGGTCTTCGAGCCCGCGACCAACGTCCTGTTAAAGCGGATGCGGCCGAGCGTATTTATCCCACTCATTATGATGGCATGGGTAAGTGAAATCTTCCCTTCTTCCAACACATTACTCTTCTAACCAATTCCAGGGAATTTGCATGACCTTCATGGGCTTCGTAAAGAACTACCACGGGCTGATGGCAGTCCGCTGGTTCCTAGGCCTATCGGAAGCCGGTCTATTCCCAGGAGTGGGCTATTTCCTCTCATGCTGGTATAAGCGCTCAGAATTCGGCGTACGAATGGCGATTTTCTTCTCGGCGGCGGCGCTCGCAGGTTCATTTGGTGGTCTGCTAGCAGCAGCGATTGCGAAGATGGACGGCGTGGCCGGCAAGCCAGGCTGGTCGTGGATTTTCATCCTGGAAGGCCTTCTTACGTTCTTCATTGGTATTGCCTCATTTTGGTGTGTCTATGACTTCCCCGATCAGGCGCGGTTCTTGTCGGATCCCGATCGCAAGCGCGTGCTCAGGCGACTCGCTATGGATCAGCAGTCGAGTGCTGAGCATGAGGAGTTCAAGATGGAGTACTTCTGGTCGAGTCTGAAGGATTGGAAGACTTATACTGGGGCTGTGATTTATATGGGGGCTGATGGGTCGCTTTATGCGTTCTCGCTTTTCGTGCCTACTATTATCAATGAATTAGTGAGTTGTCACATCGCCACATTGGAGATTCTGAAGCTAACAAGATTTCCTAGGGTGAATATTAAGCTTGGCTCTTGCGCTCGGTATATCGGAGCTATTTACTGACTGGATGCTTCTATAGGCTACAGCGCGATTCGTGCACAGTTGCTGAGTGTACCGCCATATGCCGCCGCCGCCGTCTTGACAGTGGCAGTAGGCTTCATTGCAGACCGTACAAGACAGCGTGGCCTCTGCAATATCGCCGTCTCGTTCCTCGGTATGATTGGATTCGCTATGCTACTAGGCTGTAAGTCCGCCGGCGCTCGATATGCAGGAACTTTCCTCGGGGCCATGGGCATCTACCCAGCCATTGCGAACACGATTTCATGGACTAGTAACAACACCGAAGGTAATTTCAACCTGGATTCCGGTTTTTTCTTATATGAATGACCACAGCCAAAACTAACTCGAGCTGTCTAGGTGTATACAAACGAGGTGTCTCCCTAGGGTTTATCATCGGCTGGGGAAATCTCAACGGCATCGTATCATCGAACATCTACCGCGATAATGATAAGCCAAACTACTACCCCGGTCACGGAGTAGTACTCGCCTACCTGGTCCTGTTCCTCTTTGGCGGATCCGTGGTGCAGTACCTCCTGCTGCGGCGTGAGAACGGCAAGCGCAGACGTGGCGAACGCGACCACTGGATCGAGGGCTTGGACCAGAGCCAGATCGAGTTGTTGGGTGACAAAAGACCGGATTTCCTTTACACGCTGTGAGCAGGGGTGGAATGGGCGTGGAATGAAGAGCGGAGCTAGATCGAGATATAAGTGGGAATATATGAACATCCATAGACATATCATCACGATCGTGATTTCAGTAGACCTCGGGAAATTCCAGGTTCCAAGCAACCCGACCATCCGCGTAGCCTCATGAAAGAAGCATCACAATTGTAGGTTACTTTAAATCTTATCTCATGCCTCCTTCTCGTACCGATTAACAATATCCTGCCCCTTCTTCGGGCCGCGCACAACATGCCGACTAGCCCAGCTAAGCACCTCCCCGGTATCAGGCTCAATGCGAAACGCATATGCCGTGCGATACATATCGTTGATACAGAGATGGTTGCCCCTAGCATTAAGCACAGTAGTCTCCATCTCATTGCCGGGGGTTGACACAGCGGGCGGCACGGGCGGCGCGACGAATTCGCCGGGATCCTTCTGCGCAGACCCAGATTCCGACCCTAGCGGCGAACTCGAACCCGAATCAAAGTCGAAGTCGTGGAATAAGTAGTCTGCTTCTTCCGGGCCCGACGCGACTTTCACGAACCAGACGCTGACGTGTCCGCTGTCGCTGCCTAGGCGCCATATGTACTTCTTTGTCCAACGTAGTCCCGCTGGTAAGGGGCCTCCGACATTGCTAGGGATCTCGCCTTCTTCGCAATACAGCCAGTCGCGGTCGGCTGTGGTGGTGGGGGGTTGGGGGGTGAAGGTTGCGGTCCCGCGAAGCTCGCCGTTTAGATCCAGGGGGTTTTCGCTCCGGAGAGTTCGGGTTAGGGTCCAGCGGGTGTTGGTGAGGGAGGTTATTAGGGTTGAAAGGAGTTGCCGGGAGGGCATTGTTGGCATTGTCGGCATTGTCGGTATGATGGGAGGGTTGGAGAAGGGAGGGAATGCGGGGGAGGAATAATAGGTGGAGCTGTTATCCAATCATCTCCGAGATTTCCTCACGGACTAGCCCTGAGATTGCTATTGCTTGTTTTTCTAATTTGGCCTCTTTACGTAGATCGCCTAACTTGTCCATACATCACAAATAACCCGGGGGCTTACAGTATAACCACACATCAATAAGTCCGCTAGAGGTGGCTAGGACCTATTATATGTTCTCAATCGAAACCTGATACATATGTTGTAGTGTATTCTCTGACGCATGTGGTTCTATATGAGATTCTATGTCTGGATATAAATAATTCATTCTTCCTTGGTATCGCGAAAGAGCATCCCGGTAAACGCATCGGGAACCGAACTACCAACCACAGGAGTCTTTTCCACGAGCGCTCTAATCTCCGCTTCTTCTTCATCGGTAAGATTGACATCGAGAGCCCCCATATTATCCTCTAAATACTTGATTCTCTTAGTACCGGGAATGGGAAAAATATCGTCACCCTGCTTAAGTAGCCAAGCAAGCGCCAATTGAGACAAGCTGCATCCCTTTCTGTCGGCAACAATCTTGATCTGCCTCGCCAAGTCCGCATTGTGCTCTTTAGCACCATCCTGGAACTGCGGCATCATCTTCTCACGTATATCCGCCTCGGCACCAATTGCTTTACCCTGACTGAACCCGGAAGTGAGAATGCCTCGGCCCAGAGGCGTCGCGCACACGATTGCAATCCCGAGCTCGCGGCACGTGGCTAGTGCATGGGTTCCTTCAGGGCCTTCGATCAGACGCTCGAAAAGTGAGTAGCCGGGTTGGTAGGCGGTAATAGGGGCTATTTTAGCCGCCCGGCGAATAGTGCTGGAGGAAACTACCGATAGCCCGATGTGCTTGATCTTGCCTTCGCTGAAATGCTCAGTCAATACCTAGTTTTGATTGGGGGTATGGCTTGCCTTACGCCTGTAATTCCACGAGAGCGCGCATGGTCTCTTCAATAGGAGTAACTTTATCCACGTTGTGGACATAGTCTAAGGCCGCGTTAGCTATTATGGAGAAGTTATGATATATCGAATGCAGATTGCATAGTTCAACACGTACAAAGGTCCAAATATTCAATGCCTAGGTTCTCCAAGGTGGAGTAGCAAGCTTTCTTGGTATAGGCAGCAGATGTGTCGATTTCCAACGTATGGCTACCTTTGACATATCCAAATTTTGATGCAAGAAAGATCTGGTCGCGCTTCCCAGACCTTTTGAACCATTGAGCCAAAAGCTTCTCATTGTCACCATACATACTGTTGCTTTGTCAGAGACATTAAAACGATATGACTTTGAACGGAATACTCACTCGGCCGTGTCCCAAAAGGTTGCCCCAATTTCGACTGCACGATCAAGCAGGGCCAAACGCTGGTCATCTTCAAGCGAAGCCCCGTAGCTAGGAGACGTCATGACCATCATACCATATCCAATGGCTGGCACTAGGGGACCATTCTTGCCTAAAGGGCGGAGTTTGGTGAACTTCGGTGCCATTTTGAGGGTTTGTTTATGATAGGATGATTCAGCTAAAAGAGTCTGGGTTCATAACTATATTTGACAAGCCCTTTTATGATATACAATAGAACCTTGACGGCGACATATCTCCTAAATCCGTCGGAATTAACAAAGTATATAAGAGCATATTCCCGAGCGATTTCTCGACATCCAGAGCGAGCGAATCACAGAGCGACTTATCATCCGGACCCGCAACCCCTCAATCCCGGACGATCTTGGGCCTGTCGTGAAAAGTTCGCCGATCCGCGCAATAAACACACCATCAGCCTGTCTTCTTCTAAAAGCCCGCAGTGTTTAGGACATGGCTGCCGTGATTACAAGCGAGTCTGGATGCAGACTCAGATCATTGCATCTAACCGAATGATTAAATGTAGGAAGAAAAGTAAAAGTTAAGAAAAAAAGATAAAAAAGATTTAGCCTCCTGTATATAATAATACTGAAGAGGGGACCCTGCCGCGGGGGACAGGGGCACCGACATGCCTGCCTGCGAAACAGGTGTGAGAGCAGAGTCATCACTGGGAGTAGTAGGGTGCTAGAGAGGAGAATACCATGGGGTGACTGCTAAGAAGTGAAGGTGGAAGGGTGTCAGCTTTTGGTAGACCTCCCTGGGGTCGTACTTCTTGGCAATATTCTTCAGCTGAGCCTTGTTAGCAGCACCATATCCAGCGACAGCATCCTGGGACATGCTGGCGTAGTTCATATAGACATATTCATTGAAGACTCCGACGCTCTTAGCCTCGGCAATGACCTTCTCTATGGTATTGTTGACAAACGTGTAGATAGTCTCTTTATCAGCCTCGTTCTTCTACTAGCAAGAAATGTGCAAAAGGTGAAGAGGGCCAGATAAGCCAGTGAGTCCGAGAGGGTTACTACCGTAGTTCTTCATATTTTCTAATATAGGCTCGGTAATTCCCTTACCTCAGAGATTATCGAGTAGTTAGTTAGTTAGTTAACTAGGATTCGCGATTACCTAAAAGGTCTACCGCCAGTCCTTCCCTTCGGTAATAAAGCCCCTAATAACTGGTCCTAGATTCTAGATACAGTTAAAGAATTTTTCGGTGGAATATCACCCTAGTGCTGATCTTTCAAGCCTCAACGAGACGATCAGTATACCACAAAGACAATGAAACCTCTCTGCTCCGTATCTAGCTAAGTACCTGTACGATTAACCGCAGATTCATCGCATTATTCCAAGTATCGACTGCCGATCGTGGTGGGCCCTTGTTTGGAGTTAATGAAAGACGGATGAGTTACAGGTTAGTAAATTATATTAGAAGGGAATAGGCAAGTAAATAACTCGATCCTATATAACTACTTCGAGTACATCGCACATTGTACTCCGTACAGCAGCAGAATATACATATAGTTACTCCTTGCATAGGAAGTAGTTAGCGCCAATAGCTCATTCCATAGAAACTAACCTTGAGAACCAGCCGAGCATTAACCTAATATCGGACCTGGCAGACGTCAGAATGCGACAAGGTAGAATGTGAGGTTTCCACGGTCCGTTTGCGGAAATTAAAAAACGCATGCGATGCCATGTACAGGTACAGTACTACAGTACTACGATACTACTTTATAAGGTAATTAAAAGAGATTAAAGAAGCAAAAGAAATTAACCAAACCGATCCGACCAATCAAACCCGCGGATTTCCCCTCGAGAGCCATAAAAAATCAAAGAAAAAGACCAAAAAGCCGAATCCGGAATCGTTCGGGCCCCGACTAGACCCAAAACCATCTTCGTCTCGTTTTCCTGGTCTTTCGGGCGACTCTTCTCTCTTTCACCTATGCAACAATGGACTAAGACATCCTATCCAGACATCTAATCGAGCCTCAGGGACGGCTCTCACTTCCACATTCGCTACTCACCCCTCATTAAAATAGAGAACTCGAAAACATCACTCTCACCATGTCACTCACTACGCGCCTCTCATTCCTCTTCCTCGCCCTTATCGCCCTCACAATCTCAGCCTTAGCCGCCGACACCATCCTCCCCGCAGCAGCCTCCAGCAAATTCCCACAATGCGGCCTGACTTGCACCACCCTGACAAGCGCGCAGACCTCCTGTGAATCAGGCGAAGCCTCCACCTGGACCTCATGCTTCTGCCAGTCATCCCTACTCACCGGCCTCAAAACCTCCGGCAGCATCTGCCCCTCCTGCAGCGCCGCAGACCAAACCACTCTCTCAACCTGGTACGTCGACTACTGCAACTCCGGCGGCAAGGATACAACCGGCACTGCCACCACCACAACCAAATCCTCAACCGACGCAACCTCTACTTCGACTTCCACCTCCAGCGCAACCACAAACACAACCTCCACAGCGGACACGAAGAAGTCATGGTATGTTTGATCCCCAACACCGCAGCGCAAATTAGAATCGTAACTGCACCATCCAGACCAATCACTAAATAAATCCCCCCTAAATAGGTGGAGTACCCACTACCGCTGGATCATCATGCTCATCGTGCTGGTCATCGGGTTTAGCACCATCGCCGTACTCGGCGTATGGTTCAAGCGCCGCTACGATGCTAAACGGCCCAATCTCTACCACGGTGGCGGCAGCAGCTTCTTGACTGCTGCTTCCCCGCCCGGTCCGCGCGATGCCGCCTGGGCTGTCCCGGTGCCGGTGCAGACCACCGCCCTTGGTGCCGACTCCTTGGCTAGTAGCTCGCGCTCTACGATGGCGAAGACTAGCACCCCGGTGCCTGGGGCTCGCACGCGATTGACAAAGGTCGACCAGAGCTCTGGGGATTTGGAGATTCGGCAGGTTTAAAATCTGTTTTGGTTCACTTCTTATTTTGGATCTTTGGGTTTCTTATGTCCTTTTCTTGTCCTTGATTTTTTTTTTGTTTTCGCAATGCGCTACTTCTATACCATGCTACCTGGCCATGGTTGCATTTCTTGGTGTTTGGTGCGGATAATGGGCTTCATGCTGTGTTTTTGTTCTTGTTGGTTTTGCGCCCCTTTTCTCTCTCTTTCTTTTCCTTCCTTTCTTTTCTTGGGCTTTTGTCCTAAAAATAGGCGGAGTCGACTTCTGCCGACGACTGTGTCGATTCTCTTTCTACGGTCATATTCGCCATTTTTTTTCAACCTGTCTGACCAAGTGACTGTGTACATAGTACAACGCACGCGGGCATTTCATGATTCCTTATACACATATTTTGTAATACAACGCCTAGATTCCACCCGGGCCGATATATCACGAGATACTAATACTAACTATCTTAATATCAACCTCCGGCTTCTCCTTATGCGTCCGCACATTTTCGATCTTATGCACGATATCCAAGCCCTGCACCGCACGTCCAAAGACAGTGTGCTTATTATCCAGCCACGGCGTCTTCTCCGTGGTGATGAAGAACTGACTAGCGTTGGTATTAGGCCCGGCATTGGCCATCGAGAGCGTATACGGCTTATCGTGCTTGAGAACGGAGAACTCGTCGGCAAATTCCCCGCCCCAGATAGACTCTCCACCCGTCCCGTCGCCTTGCGGGTCACCACCTTGGATCATGAATTTGCGAATCACACGGTGGAAGATCGTGTTATTGTAATAGCCATTCCGGGCGTGTGTGACAAAGTTCTCCACGGCCCGTGGCGCAGCCGAGGGATATAGGCGCAGGTGGATATCGCCGAAAGTTGTGTGCAGGATTGCAGCAGTGCCGGTCTCGGCCGTTTTGGTGGCGGTTGGACCAGTGCCGGCCGCTGATTGGGTTGGCTTTTCGTTTTGGACGTCCCGAGTGGATTTCGAGATGTCTGTTTCGTTCGTGAACATGTAGAAGCGCACCTTGGCGAAGCCGGTGCAGAGGAGGATTGGGTCACGTTCTTCGGCTTGCTGGAGGAGCGGGTTGCTACTGGCTGCCATTGAGACGGTCACGATGCCTTTCCGTTGCGGTTGTCCTTGATACAATGCGAGATTCAGGGCTCGGAATGGCTCCTCGCGGCCGTAGACGCGGACTACGCGGTTTGTGTAGGTGTTGATACATTTCACGCCGTAAAGAGAGCCATAGAGGAGGAAGTGGCCGGATTCGTCGAAAGAAACGTTTACTTTGTTGCGCGTTCCTTCGTTTTCCAGTTCGCGCTCAACACCTAGGCGGCGCCCGAACTCTACTTCGTCCAGTTCGTACGGTGCTGTGCCGGCTTGCTGCATCTCCGTGATGGTGGTTATTGATTCGTCGTATGTGCGGTAAAGCTTCCCTGTTGCGAAGTCGAATACTCGAATCTGTCGGTCTGGGAAGGAGACCGTGGCGAAGTGTTTGCCGGATGGGGAGATTGTGATGGCTGTCGGAACGGATTTGGCTTTCTTAAATGCGAAGAGATTTGTTGAGGATTTGAAGTCGAAGACATTGTCGGGTTTCTCGAAAGATCCGTCTCCGGCTCTCCAATATTCGATCATTCCTGTTTCATCGGCTGAGACGACACAGTCGAAGGCGTTGTTGAATGCCAGCGAAACCACCGGGCTGCGGTGGATCGACTTCAAAGTGTGCAAAGGTTCGGGATTTTCGCCACGTCCATCGAATACTTGAATCGTATTACTTGACTCGTCTGTTACGGCTAGCAGGGGCAGCGAGGCCCCACGCGGGTGTACCCAGCAAACACATCGAGGTACAAAGTCTAGTGTATACATCGCCAAGAGATCTGTCCATGTTAGTAAGTCATTAGACCGGGAGAGCAACAATTATTGAACCTACCAAATGTAATAACATCGAAAATCTTCACTGTCTTGTCTATTCCCGCTGTTGCGAAACTGCGGCCGTCGGCGCTGACAGATACGCCCCGAATCTCGCCTGGGTGAGCAAGGAATTCCTTCACGAACTCGATGCCTTCTGCCATCTTCTTCCAGAACTTGACATATCCATCGACGGAGGAAGTGATCACAAAGTCCGTATAGGGGGCAACCGTCACAAACGACAATTGGTCCTTGTGCATAAGGGACTTGGAGTACCGTGCGGAGACTGGTAGAGCATTGATGTAGACTT